AACATTTCAAGTTTTTCCCTTCGGTATTCGGAGATCCGAAATGAGATCGGAGATCCGAAATGAATCGAAAAAGTGGAGGAAGAGATTTTAAAGCAGAGAGGCTTTGAGTGAATAACACTTTGAACAAAGGAACAGGGGAAATCTTTCCTTGGTGGTATTCTGATGGAAAAACGATTGAATAAGTACTCGAATTTTAATGAGAAACAATTTAAATCACCGAGAAGAGTCGAGCGAGGCATAAATGAAAGCACTGTGGGCAGAAATTTCGTCTGACAATGAGAAAACCAAGTGATTGATTGGTGGAAAATTCTCACTTTCTTTACTAAGACGCACTAAGACCGAGTATTGTTAAAATACTTAAACGTAGAGAATTGAGTACACCAGATGCCAAAGTTTTCGAAGGTTTAATGGGAGCAAAAAATCAACTGGGTATAGCTAGGTGAAAAAAAAACAGACTCTAAAGCATGGGTAATGGCTAGATAGGAGAGGAACTGGACGGCTGTTCAAGCACAGAAAAGCACACAAAATATTGAGAGCAGAGGAAAAGAAACAAAGGAAAAAAAATGGCAATATTGAGTGTTATGATGAGAAACGAGAGAAAAAGATTGAGAAAGATGAATGAATGAATGAGAGGTGATATTTGTCGAGAGATTGTTAAGAGATGTGCCCTTTCCTTTTAAAGTCGATTCGTGCCTCTTAAAAGAAAAGAGATAAGGGTCACACACGGCTAGAGAGGTCTGTGATTCGCATGCAAATTTTGATCGAGAGAGGGGAGCGGAAATCAAGCTTTTGTAAGATCGAAAGATCGCTGGATGGGGGAAAATAATTTTCATTGCATTTTCATTTAAAAATACAGATGTTTCAGGAAGCGACAAGTTAATGAAGTTAAAAAAGTCTGATCCATAGATTCTCTCTTCAAACGTAAAGGATCATTTGATTCGTTTTGAACTGGTATACCGATAGCTTTAGGTAATTGTTAAGCGAGCCTGACTCCCATTACTCCTAGGTTTCTCAGTTTCCCTGATTTTGGTCTCTTTTATCCACCATCCGAGACATACAATTTTCAATTTGCAAAATTAAGACGGCTAGCAAAGAGCTAGCTTTTTTAAAGCCAGCGTCAAAACTCTATAAGAGCTGGAGTAGCACGCAAAACTCAGTGGTGACTTTGAAAGAGTTTTGTCGAATGAGTTTTTCCAGTTGACGATCATGAAATCAAGAATCAACACACAAACTAACAGTGATCTCCTATAAACTAGACTATAGGTAGTTCTAAATCCTATTCAACATATTTCCTCATCAACTCATCTTTCACAAAATCTTCAACTCCCATTCAATTACATGTTTCTAATGTGGTAAATGGGTGCGAAATGGCGGTGATGACGAATGGGAGATTGGGATGAAAGAATAAAAGGAAAGGGTAGAAGATAAATGGAGTATGAAAGAAGCGAGACTAATTGAGGTGACCATTGGCAACCGATCGGGTCAGATAAATGGGGGAAAGCGAAAGGGGAAATGCGCGTGTGATGGACAACTCATTGATGAGGGGTAATTCGAGAAGAAGGGCTCATTTGGCATAGGTCAATCACACCTCCGATTCTTGGATTCTTGGTGATTTTTGCAGTTTCTGAAGGGTTGAATGGGTTAAAATGAGAAAATCTAATCATAAACTCATCGTCATTCTCATCATCCCATAACTAGGTCATATTTGCATGAACAGCCTTTCGGGAGTCAGGTACACTATTACGCAACAGTTGTATATGGATGGGAAAGAGACGAAATCATTTATTTGTGTCTCTAGTTTGGTCTGATAGAATAAAATCTAAAATATAGCCGGCATGTAGGCGTTGGATAGTTTTGTTGTACATTTGAGATCAGCTTTTTAAGTTCAATTAACTTATGCTACAAGAGCCAAAGTGCAAACATTTTTCATTTCCCGTCTTTGTTTTTAGAGTCTTTATCACGTTTTACTGCTTACTGAACCAAATCAATAAAGTTTATATCATTCACTAATAACTTAACAGACATATGAGCTAACGAGGAAAAAAAGTGTCAATTACAAACACTGACACTGACTATATTAATGAGATAAGAGAAAACAGGCACCACAAAAACGAAGAGAATACTAAAGTTAAATCTGAAAACTTGCATACCGTATTTTCTGTAATAGTACTATTTTTGCACTACTATTTTTTCAACCCCCCTCCAGCCTGCACTACTATTAGAGTTTCTTTTTTCACTAGATCCATACCTTTACCATGCAATAATAATAGGTATCATGTACGTATGTCATCTCTTTCTTCCAAATGAATCGAGTTGTTGGTCGACGCGTCGAGAGGTGATGTCTTTCTATAAAACAACTTAGCCAGCCAATTGATGCTGAAAATTTTTCGTCGTTTTTCCATATCATTCGAGCTTGGTTTTGGATCATTTTGCGAGTCAATCGCAATTTCTTTAATCGCTTTTCTCGGATCCAATTGACAAGCTCGTTGTCGAAAGCTGCGTCCTTCAATTTCCGACCACCACCTTCCAGGCGCTTCAATCGTTTTCGCTTTTGTTTCACAAGATCGTCCTTTGCTTACACCACTGGAGAACATTTTTGCCGATGAACACCGAATCTTCTAGCGGCGCCTGATTTGTCCGTCTTTTCCGCAAAAGCGACAACCATAAGCTTGGTCTCGACGTCAAAACAGCGTTTTTTCTTCGACCCCATCTCGGATGGGATCACTTGGGTTTTCGAGAAGGTTCCTCATCAGGCTCCTCTTCGCCAGTTGCCGATAGGTTGTCAGCAATGTCGGTTTCATTTGCATCCAAGTTTATTTCATCTTCAGGCACGAGAAAATCCCTCTTTGCATTGAGCGTTCCAATCTCGAGCATCCTTTTCGAATTGATAGTGTCCTTGCTTTGTACAAAATTCTTGCAATTGTTTGTCGGAATCGCCGTCGAGTTCCATTTCTAAAAAATCAAACTTTGAAAAGAATAAGAAAATGCTTGTAAACGAATAAAATAGAAGAGTACTTATGGGTTATAGCCACCGCATATTTTTCCATCATAAAAATATGCCAATTTTAGTGCAAGTAGATTTATTTTATGGGCAAACTACGTTTAAATTATACTTGTAGATAAAATTATAGTAGATAAAGCTTAAACGTGCTTAAATGTGCGATGGGTAAAACCCATAAGTACCAAAAGAAGTAGTAGCAATATGTCAAAAAGTTAATTACAAGCGCAATACAGTCATGCACAAAAGTCTTGTAACATCCAGTTTAGCAAATTTCAAAGTGTAATAACTTTTTTTGCAAAGAGGCGAATTCCCAAGCAGTTTTTGGTTTTCAGTTGTCAAAAATTTCTATTTTTATATGCAAGAAAAACTTTATTGAAACGATTAACAAAAATTAAGAAAAACAAATAAAATTGAAGTATTTTGCTTTTTTTTGTTTTTATTTACTTTTTACATAACAAAAAATTATTTTTTTAGATGTCTGGACAATATTTGTCAACTCGGGACAAAGAAAAAATTGTGGAAGCGCGAGAGAAAGGGATTCAGAGGAATTCAAATGCAGTGAAAAAACGGTATCTGTAAACGTCGGGACGTTCAAAACGACTGGATCTGTTCACCGAGCTTCAAAATCAGGCCGTCCACCAATTACAACACCCAGAGGGGATAAAGCGCTCGTCAAAGCTCACAAAAATAACAAGGATCTCAATGCGAGCGATGGAGTCGTCATGATGAAGAGTCAATTCGGCAAGGATGTATCACGAATGACAGTGAGCCGACGCTGGATTCGTGGTGGGTTCGTGACAAGAAGCCCTTGATGAATGCCAAGCATCGGAAGATTCGTTTGGAGTTTGCAAAGAAGTATGCTTCCTGGACGACAAATGATTGGGCAAATGTGATTTTTACTGATGAGTCAAAAGTCAATCTTTTTCGCTCGGATGGCAACCACTTCGTCAGAAGACCAATAGGGAAAGCGGTACAACATCAGATATGTGCGACCAACCGTGAAATTAGGCCAAGGATCAATCATGCTTTGGGGTAAGGGCTACTTTCATGGTGCACACTCTCAACTCTGTCTTTCAGGTGCAATGTCGAGAAATTCACCAGGTCCGCTAGTGCTACTAAACTCAACGCTCAACGCTGAAGGCTACAAATCAGTTCTCCAGAATCATCTTCTGCCATTTTCAATTGCAAAAATGGGTCCTGGATGGCTGCTTTATCAGGATAATGCGCCTTGCCACAAGAGCCAATTGCTAATGGGCGGGGTCGTCAGTCTCGCAAATGGTGGAAAAGCTCGCCTTCCAGGATGGTTCAAAGCAAATCGTGTTCAGCTTATCTCAGCTCCTCCATACAGCCCAGATTTGAACGTCATTGAGCATCTTTGGGCTTTTTTGTCAAAGCTGAAGGGAAAGCGATTCAACTCCAAGATAGAGCTTTGGTTCTTCATACTCCGTACCTGGTCATCCCTGAGAGCCCAAATTCTACGCGATTTAGTTGATTCAATGCCAAAGCGGATCCAGGAAGTCATCAAAGCTAAAGGTGGACCAACGAAGTATTAAAAATTTGGTAATTTCTGTTTTTTTCAAATGTTACAAGACTTTTTGAGCATCAAAAATACGCCCGTTTTTTGTTTTTCTTATTTTTTGTTAATCGTTTCAATAAAGCTTTTCTTGCATATAAAAATAGAAATTTTTGACAACTGAAAACCAAAAAAAGTTATTACACTTTGAAATTTGCTAAACAGGATGTTACAAGACTTTTGTGCATGACTGTATGTTAGTCAGTACTAAATAAATAGCCACAATCTCATAACAGCATCTCATTTAGCTACCAGTATGCTTTTAAAGCAAAGGAAGTCAAAGTGAACAACAACAGAGCAAATTTTAGCAGGGTGCACTACTATTTTTTTTTCAACCTCCCTCCTGCCTGCACTACTATTACATAAAATACGGTAATTAAGACAACATTTAAAAGAGAGCAATAAATCCGTTTCTATCTTTAATTATTTCTTCCTTTTTTCGTCCATCAACCGCAGAAATTTGCCTCTGCGAGCAACCTAAATCAATACAATATAATGATATCTTCTCAATTGTGTTGTTTTGAAGCCAAGCATTTTTCCCAGACTGAGCATTTCGAAATACTTACATAAGATCGAATTTCCATTGATCCTCTGGTGCCACTTGTTTCGTCATACATGCAGTGGTATTCGAATGCCATCTTCTCATCCGGCGCACATTCGGGGCGCACGCGTATGAAAATCTGAAATTTTATAATTAATATAATATAACCAAAAACTCACTTCGAAACTCTTCAATTCCGTATATTGATACAGCTGTGTAAGCTCCCTGATGACATGTGAGGGGAAATAGCAATCTTTCTGTTGTTTCTCGAGAAATTCATTGCGCAGACTATTCCTAAACAGTGTAAACCGAAGCCGGCACTGAAAAAAATACGTATAGGTGTTATAGCTAAACTCCAAAACTAGCGCCGCTGCTTAAGATCTTTGACCAAATCTACCTTGATTGTGTCCTTCTTGGGAGGGTCGTCGACGGTAAAGCTTTCTGTTCTAGGTGTGCAGAGCTAAACAAAAGAGTTTCAACGTAAAAAAAAAACTTTTAAACTTGAAACTTGATATTAGGCGCATCCTCTTCCACTGACACATCGACAGCCTAAAGATCACACTGCAAACTATTCGACTACCACAATTTTTCCAAACCTCTAAAACTGAATAATCACTACCTGAAGATTCACACTTTCCTCGTTGTTTGCGGCGCCGGGGCAACATGAAAAATCGACCATCTTCGTAAAAGTGACAGCGACCGTTGGCTCATGAGAAAGCTAAACAAATGAAAGATAAGTCAAATCGACAATTTAATCATCATCAAAATCACCTGCGTTATTTTCGAGATCTTCGTCAAATCGTACCAGATCAAATTGCGTTGGAAACTGTATGCGATTGCGTACTTGCCATGGACGACTCGAACGATGTAGGCGATTTCTAAACGTCAGCTATTTTAAAAGTTACAAACGCGTTTCCAGAATTTTCTAAAAGTAGTCCCATAAACGCTAATCATCAACTGACCTGGTGATGCTAGATTTGCAGTGCTAACTGAAGCATTATCCCGAGATTGCGTTTTCCAGATGCTTTCACTAGTTATCGCTTTATTTGTTCTAAGCCATCCTCTGGATTCACCAAATCCTTGAAGCGCTTTCTTTGACGATTTTGGGTGCGCTGACCAAGTTTTATCTTCCTCAGCGGCCTTATCTTGCTTGATCTCAAAAGACTTTTTGAGTGCAGACCTTGGTGGCGTCATGATGCTTGGTGACAATTGTTTCTGCTCATCATCCATTTGTGACCATGAAATAGGCGGTGGTGAGCGAAATGGATTAGTGACATCATCCATGATCGTTTGAGCTCCTTGTGATTGGAAATTGAGGACAATGGGGCTTGGTTGTTTGACAGGAGGCGGCGCCCTCATCGGTTTATCGTAAATGCTGATGTTCAAGGAGCTAGGCGGAAGAAAACTCTAAATTGTAAACGCTTATTCAATTTTTAAATACTTCTGCTTGTTTTCTTCCTCGCAAAAAAGAACCTAGCAATAAATAATTGCTCGTTTGTAAAATCTTATTTTTTCATTAGCAATTGACTTCTAGGTTAGGCAAAAAAAACTCACCCAAACGGTAGCTGGTTTTTCTTGTGAGGCTACCGGTATTTCCTAAATGATTAAAATTATCCAGTTTGTGGACTATCATGATACCTGTGTAAAAAGTTTCTGTAGAGAGCCACGCAGCTCAGGGACGGACCTCACAAGATCCTGCACAAGCCACATACTTTCATGTTGATGCATCAGTTGTCTTTCCTTTTTAATAGAATTTCGTGCGGGGCTAAACCGGCAACATGATATGTAATAGATATAGCCAATTGTTTTTCCGCATAGGCACTATTGCGAAAATTGCTTCGACTTGCTATTAATGAAAGATTTTATCAAAAAAACCCATACCAGTAAATGAGTCCTTGATAGACGATTCCAGGAAGGAGCCTCCCACCGCGCCTGTCTGTCAATGAAGAATTCGACACCATGACTCGCCCAACTTGGAGGTTCCATCCAATCAGTCCGTCCAGTGCGTCCTTGTCAGCAAATTTCTCGTTGAAAACGACAAGCGATTCAAACTAAAAATAAATTACTTCAGTCTTTAAAAAAACCAACCGCAACAATTTCATTGTCATCGAAGAAGTCAGTTGGTAAACACTTCTCCGTCTTCTCGAAAGTAATGTAGGTGTTGCTTTGCGTGTCGTAAGTGGAGCTTTTGAGCCTTATTACTTCCCCAATCCAAAAAATTAATGAAATTATATATCGTATTCATTCTAACACGCCACAACTACCCACTTTTAACGGCGTTATCTCATCGCAATGAACCAGGACTGGTCTTCCATTATGATTGTTTTCGCTTTGCAGAGGTGATGCATACGCTCGAAGAGCGTCCGGATCTAGTGCAACGACCAACGCAAAAAACCGTGACATCGCGATCTGGAAATTTGAAAAAAAATTGCATTTGCCGGACAACAAAAGCGTTTGCAACGTAAAGAGTACATAAATAAAATCGAAACAAGCGATTTATGACCAAGTTGAGTGAAAGCAATAGGTATTATTTATTCATAGTAAACGAACAAGACTAAAATAAAAATAAAAACAAACAGAACACCTGTCAAACAAACAAATCTTACAACAAAAGACTAGCACATCATAACTTATACTTGAGAGTGGGAGGTTTAGCGAGAGATGAGGCACAATTAATCACCAAACGGATTTAAGTCCTAAAAACATGTGATCAAAAAAAGAAAAACAAATATTACCGCTGATGAGCCAGAGTATGTCGTTAACACAGAGTATGTCGTTTCATTGAATGGGTCTTGCTCATCGCTTTCTTGATCAATTGGTATCGTGACATCAAGCTCGCTGAAAATAGGAATGTTGGTCACGATCTGCAAATCCAAAACTAACCTATTTTGGTTTTGAATGGTGTCCTCCGGTTGAGATCCAGAATGCCGCGTTGAATTGAGCGACACGCAAACGGGTACTTCGCCCTCTAGTTGATCACTCTAAGAACTTTGATTAAAACAAAAAACAAATCAAATAGTTCACGGTTGGAAATAGGGATTCTCCGAACTCTTCCTCAAGTCGACAAAAACTGGGAAACGAGCGAAGAACCACACCGCACGAGACCATGGCTAACTAAAAAACAATAGTGTCGTTTCAAATTTACTAACTTGATATTCACGGGGAGAATCGCTTTTCCAACGCTTAAAAGCATCCGACACTCTTCCAACCTAAATCCAATAAAGATACCTTGAATAGTAAAAAACATACGTCGTTTGGTCCCCGCATTTCTGATCGAGACACATCTACCTCATTTCTTGGTTGATTCAGAGGCTAAAACAAAATCAGATAGAACATTGAATACGATAGTTACCACGTTTTCCTTTTCAATATTTGTTTGTGATTTGAGCTGTCGAGAAAGTCCCTCATCCTTTACAGTGCGCAGTTGGGTGGATCGTGATTTCTCGTTCAGGGTTTCATACTCCTAAAAAAAATAATTATTGGTTGATTCAGAGGCTAAAACGAAATCAGATAGAATACGATAATTACCACGTTTTCCTTTTCAATATTTGTTTGCGATTTGAGCCGTCGAGGAGGAGTTTCGTCCTTTACAGTGCACAGTTGGGCGGATTGTGATTGCTCGTTTGGCGTTTCATACCCCTAAAAATAATTATTTACGAACTTTTTCTCCTTATCTTACACTCTTTCCTGGTTCCACTTTGATGTAACGCCCAAGTTCAGCGCAGAGCATCATCACGCTGCTTTCATCAAACAAAGTAACTCGAAATCTACAAAAATGTCATTAAAACAACATTCAATATAAACCTGTAGTTTTTGTTGGCACTTCTTGACTCAAAATAGATTTGTTTCTTGAAGAAGTAAGCACAAGGACCAGGGTTTAGAAGAGATACCTAAAACACAGAAATAAGGTTTGCTAACAAATCCTCACCTGTTGCAGAATCTCTTGATCTTTGACAATGACTAACATGTGCATTTGATGATGGATTGTGAGCTCAAAGGATCCTGCCTTAAACAGAAACAATCATAAGAAATATTACCAGCTAAAACATTTGTTACCTCTTCCAGTTAAGGACAGACGTTACATAAAACTTGAAATGTTTTTATCGTGTTGTTATCTAGTTTATGCATTAGATTTGATATTCACACAAATAATAAAGGTTTTGGTCCCAATTTGGTGTTGAAAAACAAAAGACTGCTTACCAAATGCTGGTCAGCATTTAAATCCTTGTAGCGAGTCAGCATCGTTCGGTATGTCGATGGCGACGTTTGCTCCGACATCTGAAAAGCAACAAACCATTAAACGATCAATAGAAACGAAACAATCAAATGGAAAAAGCTACAGTTCTAACAAATCCAATACAAAAGCTATTACCCGTGTTGGGCTCAGGGTCTTCTACCGACGCTGTTTCTTTTAACATGGCTCAAAACAATGGTTGATCTTGGAACTAATAGTAAGCACAGGGAACGAGTTACTAATAAATCATCAAACGATTCAGTTTTTAGAGTTTAGCCTCCTGCAAGGCAAAAGCTCACTTCATGCAACCCCTCAAAAAGCCCGTTAAACGTTTAACGAACATGAAGAAATGAATTGAAAACTAAAAATGTTGGACACAAATCGGGGGTGGGACAAATGCGACCTTTTTTTTGCGCACCTGGACATTTGCGCACCTTTTTTTTGCTGGAAAAGGCCTTAGGAAAGACCGTAGAACTTCGAAAATATTTCGAAAATTTTTCCATATAAGGGAATCGTATGCGTAGATTCCGAATTTCGACAAATCAGACCTCGCTGACACGTCAAATTTGGGCTAAAAGGCAAAAACTGCGGAAAAGCGTTAAGTTGCGTAGTTTTTGCCTTTTAACCCAAATTTGATGTGTCAGCGAGGTCCGATTTGTCGAAATTCGGAATCTACGCATACGATTCCCTTATATGGAAAAATTTTCGAAATATTTTCGAAGCTCTACGGTCTTTCCTAAGGCCTTTTCCAGCAAAAAAAAGGTGCGCAAATGTCCAGGTGCGCAAAAAAAAGGTCGCATTTGTCCCACCCCCACAAATCATCAGAAGTTTATTGGAACAGGGTGATTAGTGTGTTTTAGGAAATACAATAAACATCCCTAACTAAACCCCTCAAATCCTTTTGCGGGGTTGTTTTAATATGGCGAATGCTGTTTGTTTTCAATGAGCACTAGAAAATTAAAAAGAATATCATATGTTTGTTTGTCTAGTCTGACCTTAGATTTTGCTTGATCTCAAAATCCTAGAGGACAAAATGAGCTTCACTCGTAAGGTGTAAATGAAATTTTCACAAAATCACCATTTATTTTGGAAAACAAGGCGTACCAAAGGGTCATCACAATGAAAATAAACAATCACCCGAAGAATAAAATAGTCTTGACATCGACTCACATCTGAACAAGCGTTTAATAAATTAATGAAAGAAAGAAAAGTGTAAATGAATTTTATAAAAAAAGAAGATACATTTTACAAAAGAGATTTCATCACTTGTTGGACATTCTGAGTGGGCAAATCGACACGTCGCGTGAGAATGTTCTGTATTTCCCTTTCGCTCACAAAAGCTGCCGGCGCTTGTCTCCAAAGCTCGCACGCTTCTTCGACACTATCCACATTGAACAAAGCCACAATCTAAAATTTTTATTACATATTTTTAGTTTTTAGCCCAACTCTATTTTTTAATAAACTAAGTAAGTAATTACAATAAAACAACAACCCAAGCAACCACACCTGAGCCAATCTTGTACATTTCTCCCTAGCCGGCCAGCCACCAATCGCCGAGAAATAACTAAAATCAGCTTTAAGATATTCACTGCAAAAAAGTACCTTGTAATTTGCCGAAATTCTTTGTCCAACAATAGGCCACCAAGTCGATTGAAAGAACACTTCAAAATGACACGTTCGAACTGTTTGCAAAATTCACCACAAGAAGAAATCAATAAGGCCTAAAGTATAACAAAAATAAATGTATGAAAATAAAAAGTAAACCTTATAATTTAGCGGATGAAGTGAGGCTTGGAACGGAGCTAGCACTTTGTCAATTGCCGCAATACCTCCATCAACCCAGGGATTCATCTCATACGCAGAGAGTTGGTCATCATTCAACACATGGTTCAAATCAATGTACTGATCACAACTAAAGCATTATTAAATAACTTGAGTTGCGCAAAGATTTACCTTGTTTTGATTCTTGGACAAAACGCCGCCACACACAACGAGCTTATACCGGCATCGGCGAGATTCGACATTTTGTGCGAGATTTCCACAAATTGTGAAACTGAGTGCTCAAATTTTGATGCCGCCACTGGATCTTTCTAAAATAACAATATTCAAAGATGTGCAAAATTTTACTCACAAATAATTTTGATGCTTCAGGTATGAGTCCATCCTTGAGTTCGGTGATTAGCTCGGAGGTAGCACGGGCATTGTTGACAGCCAAGATGAATTGTTCACGTTGAGCATCAGGTCCGGCCTAAATTTCAAGAATATTTAGACCGTAAGTCATGTAGGAAACTCTTAATTTAACAAATTTAAAACAGATGGTATAAAAACATGAAAAATGAAACCTCTTGTGTTGATTTTCCGTGTTGCAACACATTGTAGGCAGTTTGGGCCGTTTGGAAGGCCTCTGCCACGTAGCCGACTGATGGATAACCAGACTAATTTTAATTTTTAAAAATGAGCAAACTAGGTCATCACCTTTATTGTTTCAGAGATGTACTCGTAAAATGTCGTCTCCAGCAACATGGACGCATTATTGATCACGGCACAAGTTCCATCCACGTAATTGCTACTAAGAGAACGACGAATCGAGCGGCGACAAAGAAAAAGCACATCATCAATCACAGAACTAAAAAATCTCCAATTTAACAAATTGCGTTCCAAGTTACCTATTCATTTGCTCATCTTCTTTATGATCCATATTAATAGCCTTGTTGATCGTTTCCAACATGTAAAAGTGCTCAAGTTGAATGTACTTGCTGGTGATATCCTGGCAACAAGAGGTTCTTCATGCTTTAAATTTTATATTACCTGCATGCTGGATCCAAGATAACTTTCATTTAGCAACTTCGCTAGTTTCTGTTTTCGTTTCTCAATTTGGATGCTCTCCGCTTCCGCTTTCTTTGAGTTTGTATCTCCAGAATCATCTGTTAGTTCTTTCTAAAAGAAAATTTTGGTCTTTTATTTTAGGGAATGGCTACCTGAATATTTTCAATGTAGTTGAATTGGCGCTCAAGGAAACGGGAGAACTTCTTCGTAAATGATTGCATCAAAACGACTTCATTCAACAATTTGTCAAGTGTTGGCGCATCCGGCTTTTCTAAAAAAAGTAGCAATACTATTTGTCAAGCTTAAGCTTTCCTAAAGGACTAAAAATTACAAACCTGTAGCGCGAGCGGGATCGCGTAAATATTTCTCCACTGTTTTTGCAATTCTATCCCATTGCCGACTTTTGATGAAATCCTTCACAACATTTTGAGCAGTTTTGTCAATCTCATTCTAAAAAATGTACTCAAAAAATCATTGGTTAAAAAGTAAAAAGTAAAAACCTGCAAGATTTTGATGTACTCCAAATACCTCTCGGGTCCATATCCATTAGCAATAATCTTATCACTTGTCTCAATGATCAAAGCAACGCCTAAATTGAGCTGTATCGACAAAACTGCTGGTCGAAACATACCATCAAAGAATCGAATCAGCGTATCTGAATAAAGAACATCCAAACGATCACTCGTTCCTCCAGCTTTCATGACCTTAAAAGTCAATAAAAAAAGTTCAAGCTTTGAATTTTAGCAAACCTTAATGCTCTCATCTCCCAGTTTCGCAATTTGCTTTGATACATAATGTCCAAAGATTTCTAGACCAGTGAAATGCTCGTTGATGAGTGGGAAAAGGCGAACAAATCTAAACAAAATAATTTTCAAAAGGTTTATAATCAAGGCAGTATGTTTGCTTACCGTTTAATTTGCACGTCATCATTTCTTTCCACTGCATCGTTTAGCCTCCGAGTGATCACTTCTTTTAGACGAGCTGTTGCCGTGGTCAAAATATCGTAGCTCTGTTTAATTGACTGGCCAGCTTCTAAATGTACGGATTTCTATTTTTTCAGATTCACGGACACTTCCCCAACCTTTATCAGACGAATCACGTAGCTGAAACACGGCTTTGTCAAGCGTAAGAAACCTGAAAGAACATACATTAAGAAAAAGGACAACACCTATGAATATTACCTATGAATATGGTGTGCAGCTTGTTCAAAATCTTCTCCACTGATTGCCGCATCGACTTGTTCACTTGAAACGCCCAAATCACGCATATCACCTAAAAATATTTCCTGGTTGTCAAAATAAAATCTTCCAACAAACCTGCTAGTTGAAGGCACTCAACGACTCTAGTTTTTGCTTCATCCAAAGAAGAAACCTAAAAGTTTATTAACCAGGCACAACAAAAAAGATAAAACCTTTGAACTGATGCTGTCAGCCAATTTTGAATTGACTTTCAATGTGTTGGCAAGTTGTTTTGTGTCGGTTTCAACCAGAAGAAGAGCGTTGTTCAAACGGGAAACAGCCAACCCGAAAGCTCTGTTCAAGTCGACACTTCCTAAAAATACAAATACAGCATCGAAGCTTGTGTGCCGCACCTGAGTTTGTTTGGCTCATCTTGTCGTTGATCTCCTTGATCAGACGGGCCTCTTCTCGGTGTTTCAAATCCAATTCTGATCTAAAAGAAAAAAAAATTCAAATAGAACTTTAAGTGCTTACCTAAGCTGCGCTATCCTTTCGCTAAAATCTATGCCAAAAGGATTCGGCTCATCAGAGGCGTTACGATTGGCATTGCGACGACGAGATTCTGACTTCTGTGTTGGTTTCTAAAACAAACACCATACAACTCAAATTTACCGTGATCTAAAACTAAAAAACTAAATCAAATTTTGTTTTGTCAAAGACTTTAATAACAACTATTTAAATTCACCCTAACCGATTCCGATTGTATGATTGGCGTTGGCTTTGCTTTTTGAAAGTCATTGGCAATCGTGACTTCACCGTTAATTTTACGGTGTGAAGATGGTTCGATTGACATTTCCGGCATTGACAAATTAGTGTGAGAAGAAACTAAACTATTCAATTGAATCCGAAAAATGCTACTTCAAACTTACACAATCATCAAAAAGATAATGAACACGTTCCAAAAAGCAATAAACACCCGAAAGTATTGTAGGGCAAGCAAGAATTCACGAATTCTAAATGAAAAGTTTAATTGGTAAAGTGAATTGGTAGACGGCTTCGTTTCTGATCATTTATTGCTCTAAAAGTAATTTTTTTTTGTTTAAAATAGCAATCATACGCAACTATTCCATTTCCGCACATTTATACTATTAGTGCTACTACAAAATAGTACAAATTAACGCAAAAACGCAAATTCCAACCTGTCACCGATCGATTTCTCCTCGCTCTCAACGATGAAATGATTTGCGTCAGCGGGCTTTTTTCCTCTAGAAAACAAATACCTATAGAAATGCAAAAAAAAAAATATTTAAACTTACAGCTTAAAATTGAGAACAGCAAAGGCGTTAATGAGTAGAGTGCCTGAGATGATCAGCTCTGATAGCATCCCTTTCAACAAGCGCACATCAACAATGTCGGGAGCGACAGAAGATTCGTTTTCTGGAACAACAACGTCAGTTAGATGCTTGAAAAAGTTAAGAAAAATGCCAAACAAATGAATTCACTGGAACCATTTACTTTATTAAAATCAGTGCCACGCTACTGATTCAACAAATGATTCAAGACATAAAAGCGGGACAGCTACGGTAAATAGAGCGTAAAATCTTGTGCACTCTCCCCGTCAGGCGTAGGAAACTGATTGTGAGAATATTGCTGAAGCGTGTAGTTTTTTTTACGGTACAGTTCTTTTCAAATTATAAACGAAAGCTTTTGATTTTATTTCAAGTGCGAGCAATTAGAGGTAGGTAGATATGGTGTGGTTAAGCCTTGCTTAACTAATGCATTGTCAACGGATCAATTTACTTTCATATTTGGTAATGCTTATCTCGAAAAATTCTTAGAATTGAAAAAACAACATTTATTAAAGTTGAAATCAGAAAATAAGCATGTCAATTGAATTGTCAGTTGATAAAAAATTTAAATTCTAAATTCATCAAAGCAATTAAAAAAATAAGCATTCATTTCGCGATGTGAATTTTTAGGGTTCCTCGCTTAATTCAGTCAAGACGACTCTTCTATAAATTCGAGATGAAAGATGTTTAAAACACTTTTACCTTGGATTGAGGAGGTTCGTCGTGCTTTTGATCCTTGTTCAAATCGCGCTCGTGCATTTCCTTCTCGATCAGCAAAAGTAAGGTGTTGCATCGGCGTTCAAGCTCCTAAGACATTTTATGCACAGAAATTGTATGGCAAAACATACAGCTGGCGTGCGACTCTTCAGGTACCAATTGAGGCGAAACTGTGGAGTTTTATGGATACTTTCTTTCAATTCATTATAGACGGTTTTCTTCTCAGGGCCGATACGATACAACTCACAAACCAGGAATCTAAAGTTTATAAACTAAACAGAATCTGCAAAATACCAAAAACCTGTCTTCGTTCTCCGTAAAGGTTCTGGCCTGTTTATGGTGATGGCCATATGTAATCTTCAGTTGATGATATGGGGCTGAATATTTTGCAATTTTCTCAGCCAAAGCCCGATGATTTTTCTTGTTGCGTTCAATTCGACCCTCACCCTAAATTGCATCTTACACAAACTAGTCATAGAATGTATACCTTTTCAATTCGAGCCAAAATCTTTTCGCCGTTTGCAAGATTGGATAAGCGAACCCAGAAAGCTTTTGCATATTCGACCACTTGCTCGCGAGTTTTGGTTTTCTAAATGTGCTTATTAAAGCTTGAAATCAAAAATGGCTAACGATTTCGTCACAAATAGCATCGATATTTTCACGACCGTACGCCTCGTTTGCTGCAACAAAGATAGAAAACTCCTGGTGTGACCAGTCAGGAAATCCATCTTTTATGAGTTCATCGCGTTCAGCCTAAACATACTTTGGGAAATTGATCAAATAACAAGTCAACCTTTTCGTCATCTGTAAGCGGTTTAGCTCGATCAATTTTTTCTTGTTCCAGTAAGAGTTTTTCTTCAGCATTAGCCACATGACCTTTCTTGGGAGGCTAAAATTATTCGATTTGGCTTTTGGGACATCCTAGCCACATTTAAACCAACTTTTTACCTTCCATCCAGTGACTTTTCGATAATGATACATCTCTTGGTCGAGTAGTTCAAACAAACGTCGAGGATAAAGCTAAATAAATTTATAACATAGCATTAGCAAGTCAGCAAACCTGGAAATCGTGAGCGTTCGGCAACTTAGGAGGAGGAACGCTGCGTTTTGGAAGCGTATTTGATGCTTCGTGAACTAATTCAACGTCGGAACCACTTGACTCTGGAGCTGGTTTTCGATTTTCCTAAAAGATGTACCATTAAATTTTTTATAATTAAGTGTTCAAACCCCATAATTCACTTTACGTCGTTCTCTTTTTGAAGGCTTAATCCAAAAACCCGTCAAGCCGCCTTGCGATCGATCAGCCTCTTTCCTTAAATTGAAAAATTTCAAAAAATTATTCAGTAAGCCACCTCCAATCTTTGCCGTTCCAATTATAACATGTCCATCTATCGGTGCCGTCAATTTTAGATGAATCGTATTCCGTTGCAAGTGAGTGCGATGACTCACCACCAAATTTCTGAATTAGCAGATTTATTTTATCGAACCGCAAATTTTATTAATTTCACAAAAAATTTATTCGAACACTAAACAAAAAGTGATCACCTGCATTTTCTCATTGAATTCTTTTGTTTTATCTTCGGATCGAGCAAGAATAGCATCAATGTCTTCATCGCTGATTGTCGAATCCTTCGAAGCAAACACCTAAATTATTATGCGCTTGAGATCTATCTAGCAATTACCATGTTGGCGCCGCAACGAATCATTGAAAGTAGGTCACCTTTATCCAATGTTTTTGCTGCTTGAGCAACTCTAGAGATTTGTTTCACAAAATAACAAAAGATTATCAAACCTGCCCTGTTGAATCACGATTGAGTCAAGGCGTAACTTCATTTCAGCACGTTCGATGATGCGCTCATCTACCGTGTTCTCACTAATAAATCGAAAAATCCGAACCTAGAATTTTCGAGACATTTAAATTGAAAAGACAAATAACTTGTTTCTTTTGTCCGATACGATGAGAGCGATCCATCGCTTGCAAGTCAACTTGTGGGTTCCAATCAGAGTCGTAAATGATCACCACATCAGCTGTAGCCAAATTGATTCCAAGCCCTGTAAATCTAAGTTGAAAAATAATGTTTAAAAACAAGCCTCCGGCGCGAGTCGTAAGCATAAAAATGAACTTTTCCGAGCCATCTCGATTGTATTCCTCAATTTCCTGTTGGCGGTCTTCAAAATGCGTATCTCCGTCCAATCTAAAAGTAAGGCTTTTGGAATCGTAGGAGCAATGGATACCTGCAATATTTATAGTTCTTCCAAATACAATAATCTTCGAATATGTCCAACATCATCTTGAACTGCGAAAAAAGAAGAACACGAGATCCTGAAAGGTTGATATTATAAAAAACAGACTTATAAAACGTACCCTGTTCTTGCAATTTTGGCAACAACTTATTGAGCAAAACCATTTTTCCAGAGTTATCAACAATGTGCTGATCCGTCGTATATGGAGGTCCTGAGCTATTCACTAACAACATTTTATCACAGAAAAACCTGGCTCAGAGGCAGGAAAAAGATATGGATGATTGGAGCATTTTCGTAAGTGCATCAAAATCATTTGCAAACTAAATTTGTAGGTGGATTGTGGCGAAAATATCTAAACCGAGATTTTGCCGGTTCTCCCGCTCCATTCAAAATGTCGATTTCTTTCAGGAGAACCTTCTGATACCACTCTAGTTGCAATTTTGACATTCCGACATAAACCTAAAGAAACATAATTAAACGTTAATCGACAAAGCTTACTTTTATTTCCTTTTTCGGTAGAAGCGATTTTTCCACATCCGATTTAATGCGACGAAGCATAAACGGTTGCAAAAGCTGAAAGCTTAGTTTTGTTTGCAGTTTAGTGAAGTGAAGTTACCTTATGCAAGCGTGAAACCACACTTTGATCATTGATGGAATTCGCTGCAAACCAGGCATCAAAATCTTCGGAGCTGGAGAACATTTCTGGTAAGAGAAAGTTGAGAAGTGCCCATAACTAAACAAAAACTTTGACAAGTTTTGATAAAAAAAATCGACCTCATGCAAATTGTTTTGAAGAGGTGTACCCGTGAGTAGCAAGCGATAACTTGACGACAAAGAGCGTACAATCACAGCCAGCTAAATATGCCTTGTAAGCACAGAGTATCTTTAAATAACCTTTGTATCTTCATTTTTGATACGCTGTGCCTCGTCAATGACTATGTACGTCCAGGCAAATTTCTTCAAGATGCTTTTCTCCTAAGAATACAGATTAGTCTAACCCTTAATAAGCCTACACTAAGGACGTTGTTATAAGAAGTCACTAGCACATCAAACTCTCCGGAAAGAATTTGCTCTTGAATAACGGCTTTCTAAATAACATTTGAACCTTCGTGAAACTTCTAGACAATACCCTCTCATCCTTATCGCCAATCAAAGAAACAGCTTTCAAAGTAGGGCACCATTTCTCGATTTCCTTAATCCAATTCAGACAAGTCGATTTTGGATTGATCACCAAATAAGGACCGACGTCCTTTTTGCAGTGTTTCATATAGCCAAGAAGAGCAATCGTTTGAAGCGTCTTTCCAAGACCCTAAAAGTTCATAGCGCTTTGTGCAAAGAGTTATCAAACCATTTCATCTGCCAGAATTCCGTTAATTCCATTGTTCTGCAGTTGAATCATCCAATTGAGCCCACGAATTTGGTAATCCCGCATTTCCCCGTTTTTGATATAGCTCGGAGACTTGTCGAACAGCATAGGTCCCACATCGGTAGCTAAACGACAAAAATTCAAAATGAGACGCAGAAAAACAAACTCGGTTTATCCATGAGCTCCTGCTCATCTTCCTCGCTTGCCTGATGTCGCCGAACAGTTCCCGCCGTCATTTTTGCACGTCGATCGTGCTTGCGGGAAATACCCATGTCTAAAGCAGAAGCTTTAATTGAGTTTTTAAGAACAAAATACTACCTCCATCTGCCTCAACACAAACACCGGTATCGATAGCTTTCGCGAAGTTCTCCGTCTTCTTCAAGAGATTCTCGAAACGACTGACAGCGCCTGTTTCATCTAAAGAGGTTTGTCGTAAAGTTAAACAGATTATCCCTCAAAAACATTTTTAAAGGATCAAACTCTTTCCTTTAATTCAAACATTGTTAATCAATTAAAAATCTTACCCGCTTGGTTTTCATCGCCTTGTTCTTTTCGTGGCCTTTTTCTTTCAGTCATAGCGCAACTAAATAACATGAAAATTAAGTGGTATTCATAAATTAAATCGCAAATCAATATAAAACAAAGAAAGGTTGTGACGAACTACTAACAATTCATTTAAAATTTGGGTGCTATAGTAGTTGTTGAGGGAAGCCAATTTTTTTGTATTTTTGAGATTTATAAGATGAAGATATTCAATCAAGTAGCTGACACACTTACAACTAGACATTTTTTGGGGACTACGCAATTCAACGCCGACCATTTCAGCGCCAAATCAACTTTATACTTCTTTTGCATGTTTTTATGGTTTTACGTTGTCTTTAAAAATTTTATTTTTTTCAACAACAATAAATTAACCAATTTTTCAACAAAACAAAAAAATCACTTACAATGAACAAATAAAGACAAAGATTTTAAATGACCAACGGTTGATTTGCCTAAATTACCATTTTGAAGAGCGATCTTTCGACGACGATGACATTCTCGGATCCTTGGCGGCTGTAAGAAAATTTTTGGTGGGTTTGCCCACATCCTTCTCGTTTGAAACCATCAAGTAGACGCTCTAGAAGAAAAAGTTAACAAGAAGAAAAAAGCTAAAACTCGCGCATGTGACGGATGTGCACAAACACATGTTCCCGATACTAAAAACAAAATAGATGAACAGACAACACTCGCAAAGCTACCTGGAAAAAGCTCGAGATCGTGAGATGTCGACGGAAACATTCACTTTCTGAATTCTGAAAATTGTGAAAAGCATAGGATACAAACAGTAATTATGCTTATAAAATCGTTAAATATTTACCCCGCAGAAATAGTCGTTCGATGAGAAATGTATTGACATTGAGAAGATCGCACGAAAACTGCTCAATTGAAGCTTCACATAGCGAATTTGATCAACTCTAAATGCACAAATGCCATGAAAGTGCTATACAGTGATCCGCTTACTGAATCATTGTCGGACCAAGAGGCGCTGCTCGAATGATGTCGGATCTGATCTTTGGCGGAAAGAAAATCTAAATCAAAAGCTTGCAAAAATTCAACAAAACCAGCTTACTTTAATCGATCGCCAACAATTCGCACGAAAAATTCGGCGCTGAAATCAGCATTTTTAGTGCTTTTTTGCTCGGCGCTGAAATGGGCGGCGCTGATTTTTTCGCGCTGATTTGGGTAGTCCCCATTTTTGGGCGTTATTTGGAAAACCGTGTCTGTTTCTGTCCTGTGCATTTCTCTCGCTTGTACAAAGTAAGATTTATCAAAGTTCTGAAATGGTTTTGTGCATAAAAATGAGATTAATTTGGGTATATTGATGAATCAATTTGGATCCCTTCAAGCATTCGACACAGTACCCGCTGCTCCCTTCGACATGACATTCAATTCACTCGTCCCGATACTGCTCGCACTTCTGTACCGACCCACTGTCCTACATAGCGTATTAATTTTAATTTTAATTTTGTAACTGTGCCTCTATCAAAACTGGATGAAAATCTAATGGCATAGTCTGAATTTAAGAGTCGAATTTGAAAGTAAGAAGGGCGGTGGGACAAATGCGATTTTTTTTTGCGCACCTGGACATTTGCACACCTTTTTTCGCTGGCAAAGGCCTTAGGAAAGACCGTAGAGCTTCAAAAAATGTTTTCATATAAGGGAATCGTATGCGTAGATTCCGAATTTCAACAAATCAGACCTCGTTGACACGTCAAATTTGGGCTAAAAGGCAAAAACTGCAGAAAAACGTTGAGTTGCGTAGTTTTTGCCTTTTAGCCCAAATTTGACGTGTCAACGAGGTCTGATTTGTCGAAATTCGGAATCTACGCATACGATTCCCTTATATGAAAACATTTTTTGAAGCTCTACGGTCTTTCCTAAGGCCTTTTCCAGCGAAAAAAAGGTAGCATTTGTCCCACCCCCGTAAAAAGACTGTCATTTAAAATTAGCACGAAATTGGTCTATCTCAGGGTGCCTTACGGTATATATTTGAACCAACAAACCCTTATGGATTACGGTATCAAGTCAAGTGATACTACGAGCAACTGTACCCAGCCAGATTACGGTACTCGTAGAGTTAATGTAACTGTACCAAAGACAAGATTATTACTGTCTATCCACTAATAGAGCTAATTTTATTTTGACTTTCCTATTCAAAACCTACTTTCTAAAGCAGCTAATGAAATATCTGCGATAATCCTTGATAAATAAAATGGTGGACAAAAAATGCGAGGTTGCGTAGAATTGTAGCAACAAAGCTAACGGGAAGGGTAAATAGTTGGCTGAAAAAAAGTTATGAATTTTTGTGCTCAATCTCTTTACGTTGTTGAAATCCGGTGGCTGTTGAGACAATGTTGAAAAAAGATGGCGTTTGGAGGAAAACGATTGGACAACAAGTCTAAAATCATTGGCTTAAATTTACTGTTAACCTTTTCCCACCTGCACGAGTAACATAAAGAAGATTTTCCTCTGCAGTGATCTCGTTTTTCGACTTCTGCCATTCTGCTTTAACATTGTGTAGATTTTGAGGCCACAGAACATCATGATCGCTGAACAAATCGAGAAAACGATCATCAAGAAAGTCATCGAAATGAGAAGACCAACGAGAAACTCCAATTGCTTTGTGCTCTGAGAAATATTTCGTTTGCATTTTTTTTTCAAAATTCAAAATTTCACTTCAAGTGCAAATCCCATAAAGGCTCCTTTTGTTATCTGAATATTTTTCGCCATAGCCGGTTCTTTTGCCAACGAGTAAACTGTATCAGAAGCGCCACAAAATATCTCCACAACAACTGTCCAAATGATCGTCAACGAGAAATGGACAAACGCCACGACAAGGATTACAGTAGTTGATCGGAGATACATTTTGAGAGATGGTCTAGAGTGTTCTTTCATTGATAGTATGCACATATTGATTACTTGCACATATTGATGTAATTGAAAAGGAAAGTCGTTGCCAACATCACATTCACTTCTCCACAGAGTCCACACAGTACATAACAGACCCAGGCTCCGTAGGGTGTGTCACTAAAAGTCGATTTTGAAAGAAAACGCTGACTTTTTACCGAAGTATTCCGGTTGGCATCAGCACAAAGGCGCCTGGGACGGAGATCCAGTACTGGAAATGGAAAGTTGAGTGTAACTGTGACCGTATTATGACTGTATTATTGTTCAACCATAAAAACACTCAAATGACAGTATTCTATTGGTGTTCAAGTACAGTTGGTAGTGTTTTTGAACACAAGTACTTAACAAGTACTTACAAGTACTTACAAGTACTTACAAGTACTTAACAAGTACTTAACAAGTACTTACAAGTACTTACAAGTACTTACAAGTACTTAACTTAATGATGAACTCAAGTTGAACTCACCGGCAATGAGACAGCTTGCAGTGAGGCGAATCCCAGTGACAATAGTGTCTGCAGAGTTAGTATATGTTTATATGCACTCATCTCTTTTCCCGATTTCAATCGAATCACCACAATGAGCAAAATGTTCAATAGAATATTCATGACGGAGATCGGTTGAGCAATCGTCGCAAAGAGTCGATCCTCGGTCATCGTCATTCTAATGACAAGAGCGGATAAATTGAACATTTGAACGAATTCAATGTAAGCTAAACTTTTTTGATCCAAGAACTTTCAATTTTTTCTCGTTTGTGCTTTTGTTTCTAAATTTTTTTTGACGCCCGACACCTCGTGGTTACGAAAATTCGCTAAAACTCTAATTTAATCATTCAATTTTTTGAGATTTCCAATTCGAACGTTGCATTTTGAATTCCCTGGAGGGAAAGAGAAAGAGAAAATAACTTTGAATTCATAAGTTACATTTTTTCGAACTTCTAAAATAACAAATAGTAAAGAAAGTTGCGGTAGAGTCTCAAATGAAAATAGTCAAGAAAGTTGCGGTAGAGTCATTTCTAATCTGAAGTAGAGTCATTTCTAATCTCAATCATTTCTAATCTGAAGCTTAGAAATGATTCTAAGCTTCAGAAAGCTCGTGTAGAAAATTTGTTTTCCAAAACGATTAGATTGGTAACTTGAAAGTTCCATAAAACATATTTAAGACGCCAAATTGAATTAGACTTCTCTAAATCTCTAAATAAAAAGTTATATATTAACTAATTTAAGACATTCTTAAGGAAACGGTAACTTTTGAACTTTTGAAACGAATTTCAGTAGAAATTAGAGTTTTTTTCTGAAAATTCTTCAAATGGAACTATAATAAAAACGACTGAATAGATCTAGCTGAAAATTTAGCTATTTATCTAAATTGTTATGCTCTCTCTTTTTTTTATTTACACTAAAATCGTTTTATGTGGAAGAAAGTGCTCAAATTGTTTCATCGAGTATTCATCATTTTTGGGTCCTCAACGTCTTACCCCCTAAAAACCTACAAAATCGAAGCTTTTCTAAAGCTATTAAAAGCCTATTTTAGACAATAAATGAACCTTTTTATTCGTGAAAACTGTAGATTAATTGGTGCGCTAGTTATTTCTAAAAAATGCAATGAATAAGTGTACCAACTTTCAAGTTTCCAATCTAATATCTCCATGTGACAAGTGACTAACTGTTAAACTGACAACAAGAAATGAGAAAACAAGAGACAACTATTACACGTTCTTGCATTATAGATGTTACAATGATTGTTTTTGAAGTGTAAAACGAAGAAACCCGTACGAATTCCTGTAAAACTTGGCGTTTTTACCCTTTCAGACAATTCGTCATCTACTCACTCTATCAAAAAAACCCGTCTACTTCTCATCAATTTTCTTTAAGTATTCCACCAGGAGAAGGCACATTTTTAAAACAAAAATAGCACATTTTCTATCCCATGGTCTGTATTAGAAATCAAATCAAATCAAATCAAAAAATAAAATTATTACTAATCATATGAAAGAAAAATGAAAAGGGAAATCTCCCTTGGAACACATTTAAATGTATAGTTAAATAGAATTGTTTAAGTTGAGAAAATAATGGAAGAAATATATGAATTTTCTTCCAATTACATGTAATCGATTAGATTGACCATGAAGAACATTTTTTATAGTGGCCAGGAGCGAGATTTGTATTTTTGCATTGAAAATTTTCTCTTAGGGAGGGGTAGATTTCCAAATGGTGATACAAATTGACACGCAATTGTCTTAAAAAGGAAACTTTTTTGTAGGGTAAAGAAATGAATTCTGCTATTTTGAATGAATGAAACTTCCGTTGGAACCATAAAGAGAATTTATTATAAAAATCCTAATACAGAACCTCAGTCCAAAAGATATTCGCCATCATTATCAATGACTCTTTGCCATCTTCCACGCAGAGAATGGATGCCCTTTTCGAAGAACTCGGGCAACTGCGACTCGAAGAAGTTGGACACCCAGATTTCAACTTCTTCGCGGTTTTTGAATTTTTTTTCTGCTAAAGAGTGCTGCATGGACCGAAATAAGTGGTAGTCGGATGGGGCCAAGTCCGGGCTATATGGCGGATGAGGCAGAACTTCCCAGCCCAATTCCTCGATTTTCTGCTGAGTGATCTTCGCGGTGTGGGGTCGAGAATCGAGGTCGAGTCGAGTTATCGTGAAGGAATTTTGTAGTCGCCGTGTTATTGCCTTGACGACGCAATGCCTGGTTCACGCGGCTCAATTGGGCTTTGTAGAGATCCGCCGTGACTCTTTGGCCCGAATCCAGCACCTCAAAATACACGAGACCTTTACTATTCCACCAAATACAAAGCATCACCTTTTTTCCGTGGATATTCGGTTTTGGAGTCGGTTTTGGCGGTTCACCGGCGTCCAACCACTGCCGTTTTCTCGTTGTGTTGTCGTAACATTTCCACTTTTCATCTGCCGTAACAATGGAGTCGAAAAAACCGGCGGTCTTTGCGCGGCGGACGAGAATTCCAGCCATCGTAACTCGAGCCGCCTTGTTTGCGTCGCTGAGCTGATGTGGCATCCATTTTCCACACCGACTCGTCTAACCAATTGCGTGCAAATGGCGGAGGATGGTTGCATGGCCGAGAGTCAAACGGCTCTGCAAACTCCCAAGTTGTTTGGCATGGATCCGATTCGATGGCGTTCTTCAACTCATCGTTGTTGACAATTTGAGGCGGATTCCTGCGTTTTTCGTCTTCCAAACTTTCATCACCGTCTCAGAAGCGCTGAAACCAAGTCTGGCATTGACGTTCGGCCAACACGTCATTGCCGAATGCTTTGCACAGAGCACGATGAGATTCCGCAGCCAACTCTGCCTTGTTTAAAATCATACAACAAGCAAACCCGCACTCGACATTTTTGGTCAACCATTTTCTAGAAGCTAAAAATTACTTCAAATTAATTAAAACGCATGAGTCCTAGATATCAAAAGACGCGCAAAGAGACGCTCTTTCAGATAGACAAATATATTCAATAAAAACTTTTATTAGGTCCAAAATGTAAAGAAACAAGTGTGACGGAAGTTTCATCTGCACCAACCTAATAGAATTTTATAAGCTAAATTCAATAACAGACTGTACACTTGTACACTTTTTTTTATGACATAATAGGCTGATGCATAAGTCTTTTTGTTTCTTTTCGTCTGCCGTTTCAAGCCAACAAATGCACCAATTAAACTACGGTTGATTTCATTAGAAAAACCAATTATTTTTCTGCAAAATAACATTAAAACGGGTTTAAAAATATTTTATGCCTGGATTTTCTTGAGAGTATGAAGTCGGGTAGTCAAAAAGGGCTAACTCGATGATGCGGTTTAGACACCTTAGCTAAAGAAAACCTATCTTCGTGTCAATAGATAAAAGATAGAGAAAAAAAACGTTTGATATTTCGCCAAAATTTCAGAGAAATTCATTCAGCCAATTTTTCCGTAGAGTTTTTTATAGATTTTTACGAAAAAGGCGTTTTTCACTCTCGAATTTGCTTGAAAGTGAACCGAAATTCATTTAAAAAGATGCAAATTGAACAAAAAAACACTTTTTTTATAGAGCAAACTATAGATTAATTGGTGAATTTGTTACTTTTTAACAGAAGTACGAAAAAAACGAAAAGACTTATGCATCAACCTAATAAACTTGTACTTTTTCTGATAAAAACAAGCCTTTTCTAGCACAAAAAAGCAAAAATTTAATGTATTTCCAACAAGTTTCTTCTGTTTTAGAATTAGAATTAGAAATTACAATATTTTTTAGAATTACTACCGTAAATACTGTAATAGTACCCCACCCCCATAATGACGGTGCGGAGCGTTGCGTAGTCTAGCTTTGGACGCGTTTTTCTTGACACTGGTTTATACTACAATGCGCGCTTAGATATCAAAAAATAGCTGAAATTCAGGGCTATTTTTTGATACCAAAGACGCATTTTTTGAAAGTACGGGTGCTTTGAAAAAAATGAAATACTAAAAAAACTTTTGCGACTACGCGACTGTACGAGGGGGGTGGGGTACTATTACAGTATTTACGGTAGCTGAGTACAGATAGTTTTTCGGTAAACGCATTTCACATCAGTTTTCTCAAAAAGAACTTTCCATTAGTTTAGTTTGATCAACGAACAAAAACCAATTTTTCTTTACGCGAAAACAGCGTCAAAGTCGATTTGTCATCAGGTTTATATGCAAGATAAGCTTTGCAATGAGCTTTTAAGACGCTGAATCATCAAGTTTAGAGAAAGTCGTCTTATTGTTTAATTGCCTGCAAAAAAGTGGGCAATGATCTGAAATCTAAAATATGTGAAGATCAATGATTTAAGAAATTCTCGAAAAATATTGCACTTGCACAAGTAAGCAATTTTCTCGAACCAGGACAAGTAAAGCCAAGCCAGAAGCCAGTCTTTGCTGAAAACCTGATCCATAAAAGTCCCTGGGTCTACGAGAAACCAAAACTCAACTCCTGACTTCTGAATCATGGAAACATCCTTCAAATGGTCACAATGCTTCACAATGTCTTATCATTTGCTTTTCATTTGGCTAAGAAATGTCAAATGAATAAACTCTCTGTCTTTTCATTTGTTTATTGTTTCCGGTGGCTATTTTGTGTCACTTTTTGACTGGCTCTGATCTCTTCCAGACTGTTGTTCAAAAAAAAAATTCTTTATTTGAAATTCAATCTCTAATCAAATTGATCGCGAAAATGATTTCAGAAAAAAGATTACAGATTTTCTGATTTACGAGTCTTTTGCCCGTTCTTATCAGCTCGTTTGTTATTCAATGATTCGTGAAAGAAATGAAGGGGAAGGGGGTGATCACCGGAAATAGAGATGTACCAAAAAGAACAATGTTCGTATCTCTTTTGATCTTGAAAGTGGGTTGGCAAAGTTTTTTTGTCTACGTAAATTTTGAATTGGTTAGGGTTAAGGGGAAGTTCGAATAAAAACCAAAAACGAAATCGGTACTCGTTAAATCTCAATCAAGACGGAAAACTAGAGTATCTCTGAATTGGGAATACGAATTTCAATTGTGTGTAGATTGTAAAAAAAATATGAGCATAAAAGACATGCCTTTTCAAAGAGTTTACGAAAAATTGTGCTGTAAATCTCATCAATTAATCGATTTTCGAAAGTAGACTTGTGCACTTTCTTTGGTATAGACAAAATGTTACACACATCCAATGTGAGAAGGCAAGATTTTTGAGTAGCTCAAAAAGTATATGATTGCATTTCATGACTGCATTTCATTTCATGACTATTGAGTATCATTTATATTTCTCAAAGTCATAAATGTGTAAAAATAAAGATTTTACAATAACAAAAAACACGCATTTTCTTACTTACTTGCTTTCGAATGCTTTCGAATTCTTTATCCAAAAGAGTGGTTTAAAAAACGATTGTGAGAAGCCCAGTTAAAAGCACGACATTTTTTTCAAACAGTTTTTCTTAAACAAATTCTTATCCAAAAGCGAATGCTTACAAAACAAAAACTTAAAAACCAATGGTCAGAGCTGATTTTGGAAGAGATTAAAAACGATAAAGAGGTATGCTAGAGAGGGTGCGTTTTCCAGGGGCATAAAGTACTGGTTAACACCTAGTTGTGTCTTGTGCTCTATCATCAAAACAGGCACTGTTTTTTCAGCAATGATTCCCTGCCATCCACAATCAGCTGACCACCCCCGCTTTCCCATTTTCTTTAATTTCCATATATATTCATTTACAATCGAATTGATTCTGAAGTTCGCCTCTGTGAATAATCACCCGAAACACATAAAGATATCGAGAAAGCAAACGTCACGGATGAGATGAGTCAACTTTTAGGGAAATTAAAGTGATTACCAAAAGAGAAAGGTAAAAAAGGACAAGAAAGTCGATGGAATTAGGTGTGAAAGATGACGGGAGAAAAGGAAAGATAAGGGAAATAAGTAAGGGAAATAAGATTAAATGTCTATATAATAAAGGGTTCATTCGGTGCTAATCGCTAATCTTCTTGGTTCAATGATTTGGGAATCACTAGCACTTGACAATCTTTCGATTTTTCAAAGCAATGCTGCTTTCTGAGCTACCTTTCTCACTACAGTACCCCAGAAAGCATGATCTTTAGATTGAAATTAACTACCGTAAATACTGTAATAGTACCCCACCCCCCTCGTACAGTCGCCTAGTCGCAAAAGTTTTTTTTAGTATTTCATTTTTTGCAAAGCACCCGTACTTTCAAAAAATGCGTTTTTGGTATCAGAAAATAGCCCTGAATTTCAGCTATTTTTTGATACCTAAGCGCGCGTTGTAGCATAAACCAGTGTCGAGAAAAACTCGTTCAAAGCTAGACTACGCAAAACTCCGCACCGTCATTATGGGGGTGGGGTACTATTACAGTATTTACGGTAGTTTCAGTGTCTAGATTGAATATCTTTAACAGCAAGTTTCTTTGATAGATATCCACCCCCATATTATTCCTGAATTTAAAATTTAAACCTAATTCTTTTCAGCTTAGTTGGCTTTGACTTTCAGCTCTGACTTTTCAGCTTTACAAGAATTTCTCACTGTGCCAGATCGCCTCTCATCTCTCCATTCTAACATTTATTGTTCTTCTTTTAACACTTGCAATATTATAACCAAGCCTTTAAATGCTCTGAATTTTTAGTCAATGACAATAAACCGAATAGCTTTCTTCACCGGGATTCTCACCATTTGTGTGACCGGTCAACAACTTTTCGATGCTTTCCCAAAGCCCCCGAAAAACTTCTGGGCAAGAAATGGGCTTGAGATAAATGATGTAAGTTGGAAAAACAATTTCATATTTCAAATCTGAACTTCTTATACTGTCTAAACTTCTCGTTTCAGCAGATACCGCAAAGCATTCGCAGCTTCGAGATGAAAGATTGGCTTTTCCGAGTGATCAAGGTTTGAAATCCATTTGAAATCGGATTTAAATCCAAAAGTTTAACAAAAAGATTTACTTACATTTTATTAACATAAAAATTTCAGCGAATTGGTGCCACGAATTGGGCAAACGCGGCCTGCATGGAAGATATGGCCGATCTCGAGGAATCGTATGCGAGAATTCTGGAGGCGTTCGTTGAAAAGAATGTGACGATGAACGATTTCGATAAACAAGTCACACTAAGTGGTGGGGTGAAATTGAAATTGCTTAGCGATTACTGTACTGTAAAAGTTTTCAACTCTTTTCAGTGATCGACTCAAATGGTGTTTACAGTGGAGGGTTTTTGCGTGGGCGAAAAGTCTATCAAGGTGCTTATGCTTTACAAATCAATAAAATTGGTTTAATTATAAAAATAAAATAAAATAAAATAAATAATATGAAATCTAGGTAATCTAGATAATCTCTATATTTTATTGGTTAAAAGTTTTACAGAAAAAGGATTTCAGGACGATTCGATGAGTGCCGTCAGATCAAGTACCGAGATCCGTCTCGATCGCATACCTGGGAGGGTGATATTTTTAGGTGAATGAAACAAAGTTTATTCTAAAAACATTTTAATATAAAAGCTAAAATGAAAATCCAATTCGAATCTTGATGATTTTAGATTCTATTTTGGTAAAGAAGATGGTGATATCTGTGCGACAGGGACAATTGTTGCTGCTTTCGATCAATGTCTTCCAAAATCATGCAAAGTGCCTGAATTGAGAAAACTTCACGAAAATGAGAGTTCGTTTAAGTTTCAATTATTTCAATTATTTCAATTTAAATGCAAAATCGAAAGTGACTTTTCAGCAAATATCTGCCTTATAGTCAACAACGACTTTGCTCGAGTCAACAAAACGAATTGGTTCTCGTGGTTTATCGGGTTTGTGATTTAGGAAAATGAGATTTCATTCGAAAGATTTTAGAATTTTAATGATAATCATCATCGTGATGAGTATCGCTTCGGGAATTGTCGACTATTTCCTTTCCGATTACATTAAAGAGACAACGATTGAGAAATGTTGGTCATAAACTCAATTTGTTTATTATTTTGCTTTTGTTTTTGTTTATAGAAATTTCTATTATTTATATTCGATCTTTTAGTGTTATGGTATCGTCTTTTCATGGCATTTTCTCTGTCAACCAATGTGAAAGGGATCATGAATGTGAAAGGAGCGAGTAAGGTACTGAAAATACTGAAAATTGGTTAATTTGGAAACTTTTTTTTAGTAATTAGTTGTTATCGTATTTTCTCTAAGAGTAGTGCATCCCCGGCGAGCCGAGTTGGTGACTATTTTACGGTTTCAAAGCTTTTGCAGAAGCTCAACACTCAAATCCCCCACTAGATCTCATCGTCAGCTACATTTTCCGACCCCACATCGATAGGTTCTGATAAGTGGTTCTCGAGATTTCGAGCAATTTAGGGGAAGCTTAGGGTACACTACTATTAGAGAGAAGACGGTATATTATTCTAGGTTAGGCTAGTAGATCAGACTGATCTATTTCCCTAATATTTCCCGGTGAGCCAAGTTGGTGACTATTTTACAGTTTCCAAGTTTTCCCCAGAAGCTCAACACTTAAATCCCCCACTAGATCTCATCGTCAGCTACATTCTCCGACCCCACATCGATAGGTTCTGATAAGCGCTTTTCGAGATTTCGAGGAATTTAGGCAAAGCTTTGGGTACACTACTATTAGAGAAAATACGGTAGTTGTTAATTAGTTGATTAAAGTTTCAATATTTCTTTTTTTCAGTCTGGTCAAATCGGTCCCCTTCATTGTATGCGTTTCTTGTCGATGGTTTGGATTATCATGGGGCACACAAACGAGAATCTCATCAGTTTTGCTTGTAAGTTTCGTTTGTTAAATGAATTATTTATAAATGAATGAACTTTTCAGCAAACGTTTTGGATATTGTCGACGATGCAAAAGCGGCTCCATTCTACGTTTTGTCGAATTCTTTCTTTTCCGTCGACACATTCTTCTTCATTGGCGGCGTTCTGCTGTCATATATTTGGTGAGTTCATTGGCGGCGTTCTGCTGTCATAGTGGAGAGAAAATGATTAAAATATTTCAATAATTATATTAAGATTATCAAAATCGACATTACAAAAATCTAGAGTACTTATTCTAAAAGAAAATCAAAAATTTCCAGGTTTAAAGAGTTCAAGAAAGATCGCAATTCGGTGATGTCCAGCAAGGGATGGATGATGTTTTATGTGCACAGAATTTTACGGTACCTTTTCCACAATATAAAAATCGATAATAATATGTCATTTGAAGATTTTAAAGGAAATTTTAGCCTCTCACCTCCCTACTATTTCGCCTTTTTCTTTTGGGGTTACGTTTTCTTGCCAAACTTGCCCGATGCACCAAATCGACTCTTTTTCGGGTAAGAAAATTCTCCATTATATATATATATATGCTTTATTCAGTTAAATAGCGACAAAAAAAATCACAATAATTACCGGGGACACCACTCAAAACACCCAAAAGATAAAAAGATATCTCAAGAAAGAATCACAGAGCAGTCAAATCAATTGCCGAAATTGCGGCTTTAAATCTAGCTAAGGTGGGAATATCACGAACATGTGGGGGTAAAATGTTACAGGATTTAATAACTCGGTTAAAAAAGAAACTGTGGGGGCTTTTAGAGGAAACGGAAGGTTGGCGTATGAGAAAAGGCCTCCTTCTGGCCTCCTTCTGGCCTCTAGAAGCCCCGTAGAGAGCCGAATTCTACATTATCTAGTGAAACGTATTTAAACGAAATATTAATACTTTATTCTTTAGTGGAAGCGAAGAGGATTCATGCCGAGAATTCTGGTGGCCTGCAATGCTCTATGTTCAGAATCTAGTTCACTCTCACCATCAGGTTTTTGGAAATGGTTGTAAATGTTAAAGCTGAGATTTCCAGTGTTACGGTGTTTCGTGGTATTTGGCGGCTGATATGCAAATGTACGTCTTCTCACCAATTCTTCTCGTTGCTCTGGCGATGAATGTGGTAAGGAGTGAGTGTTTGTAGGGAAAGTTCAGGCAATCGTTTTGAATCACTGATTAAAACAAAACTTAGCTAAACAAGTTGGACAGCTTAAAATTGTGTTAAAGGGGAAGTATCGAAAGGATTTTTGGTGTCAAATCGTGAAAATGCTGACATTTGATAAGAAGAGATGATTATTTTTTTGAATTTTGTTCTTCAAATGATCTTTGCGCCATTTTTGGTGTCACGGAAAAAATGCTTGAAAGAAAAGGAGAAAAGAGAGCAATGAAACACCAAAAAGCAGAGAATTCTGGGGGATTCGTGAGAAATTTTTGCAGAAAGCTTTAACTCGAAATTGTTTGCGAATACTGTCGTATTGTACAGTAGGACATCAGAAAGGATGTGTTTCCCCTTTCGGAGTTTTAAGTAGAGTGTGTTCCTCGCGAGTAAGTTAATTATTCGAGTAAAATTTGCATGAGTACCTTTTACTCGATTAATCGACGTTTTTTCGTCGAGTAGCTACGAGTAAATCCTCTTTACACGACGAGTAAATTCAATATCTTTACATTGGAAGGGAATTACCCACCAAATCAGTTAAACGGCTGAGTATCTTTAAAAAGTGTCGTATATAATGTGGGGCTCGTCATTTTTGCGTCATTTTTTTGTTGCAATAATTTTTGCTAAAAGTACGGTAATTTTTTCCCAAGAAGAGATGATGCGTTTTAAAAAACGTATTACTCGCGAGGAACACACTCTAGTTTTAAGTACGCGAGAGTTGATACTGTAAACTATATACCGTATTTTCTCTAATAGTAGTGCACCCCGGCGAGCTGAGTTGGTGACTATTTTGCGGTTTCCAAGGTTTTGCAGAAGCTCAACACTCAAATCCCTCACTAGATCTCATCGTCAGCTACATTTTCCGACCCCACATCGATAGGTTCTGATAAGTGGTTCTCGAGATCTCGAGTAATTTAGGGGAAGCTTAGGGTACACTACTATTAGAGAGAAGACGGTATATTATTCTAGGTTAGTAGATCAGACTGATCTATTTCCCTAATATTTCCCGGTGAGCCGAGTTGGTGACTATTTTACGGTTTCAAAGTTTTCACAGAAGCTCAACACTCAAATCCCCCACTAGATCTCATCGTCAGCTACATTTTCCGACCCCACATCGATAGGTTCTGATAAGCGGTTCTCGAGATTTCGAGGAATTTAGGGGAAGCTTAGGGTACACTACTATTAGAGAAAATATGATAGTTTAACTATTCAAAATCTGATTACATGTCATCATAAAAAACAATCAGTGGAATGGTTTTTTTTGGTGCAAAAACAGGATATCAAAAAAATTCATTTTTCAGTACCTTGGCCTCGGTGTCGCGGGAGCGATTCTCTTCTTGTCAACCGGCGGCAACATTGCCACAATCTATCGATACCGTTATCCAGCAACTGTTGACATTTTTGATGCACCCGATCCAAAAATGAAGGAATCCGACTATGAGTGAGTTTCAATAACTAGGCAATCACAACTTTTACACTTTTACAGAGTGTTCAATATTTATGGGAACCAGTAGATTACTGGGTTCATTTTGTACAAGTTTAATTCTAGAAAAAAGAAACCCACTTATCAATACGCCCAACGTTAAAAACTTTAAGTTACTTTTTCTTTCAAAACTATTACCTTTTGCACTGTTGCTTGCCTAGGAACACCTGTGAAAAGCGTCTACTGTGGCAAAAGGTTGGATAAACTATCACAAACTGAATTTATCACAAACTCTCGTTAAGCTTTCTTGGAAAAGCCAAAACTAAAAGGTGATTCTAACATTTTTAATGACCTGTAGATTCTAAAACTGTTAAATAGTGAGGGTTTTGTTATCGTTAAACAAGAACGGGGTCTGACTGGGGTCTGACAAGAACTGGGGGTCTGACTTTTGGTGAAATTTGGTGATCGACTTTTGATGAATCGATTTTTGGAAGATCAAATTTAGAAAACTGTAAAAAATCCTCTAGAAAGTCGAGTTTTTTCCAACACCTATGCAGTGCTTTCTTGACGTTTTTCTTTCTTCTTCATAAATCACTTTTGAGAGTGCTAAACGATCTGCTCAAAAGCTCAAAAGTTCCCATAAATATTGAACACCCTGTACAAACTCCAAATTCTTCAGCAACTACATGTTCTTGATGTACACGGCCGCATGGATTCGTTGTCAGATCTACGTGATGGGCATTCTCGTCGGATATTTTCTTCAAATGAAGAAAACGCTCAAAATCAATAAGGTAACGAAAAGCTAAAGATAATCTAAAGATATTCTAAAGATAATCTAAAAGATATTCTAAAGATCATCTAAAGATAATCTAAAGATCTTCTAAAAGATCTTCTAAAGATCTTCTAAAGATAATCTAAAGATCTTCCAAAGATCTTCTAAAGATAATCTAAAGATCTTCCAAAGATCTTCTAAAGATCTTCTAAAGATAATCTAAAGATCTTCCAAAGATCTTCTAAAGATAATCTAAAGATCTTCCAAAGATCTTCTAAAGATCTTCTAAAGATAATCTAAAGATCTTCCAAAGATCTTCTAAAGATAATCTAAAGATCTTCCAAAGATCTTCTAAAGATAATCTAAAGATCTTCCAAAGATCTTCTAAAGATAATCTAAAGATCTTCCAAAGATCTTCTAAAGATAATCTAAAGATCTTCCAAAGATCTTCTAAAGATCTTCTAAAGATAATCTAAAGATCTTCCAAAGATCTTCTAAAGATCTTCTAAAGATCTTCTAAAGATAATCTAAAGATCTTCCAAAGATCTTCTAAAGATAATCTAAAGATCTTCCAAAGATCTTCTAAAGATCTTCTAAAGATCTTCTAAAGATAATCTAAAGATCTTCCAAAGATCTTCTAAAGATAATCTAAAGATCTTCTAAAGATCTTCTAAACATATTCTAAACATATTCTATTCTATTTTAGTATCTCAACTTGGGTCTTCTCATTTTCTCGATGGCTTTCATGCTGTTCGATGTGATGATTCTTCATGTGTCACCCCATGAGTGAGTTACCTCAGATAATATTATTTTGGCGGATATTTTGAGTCAATGGCATACGGCTTAAAATTATTAAGATAAGCAGATCAAATTCCAGCAAAGTGATGCCAATCTTTTGGCGTGCAATCTATTCGGCTTTCTCGAAGCCTTTATGGGGTCTCTGCCTTACATGGATCGTCGTCTCATGCTATTATGGATATGGAGGTGAGGTTTTTGTATTCAAACTCAAACTCTATTAATACTATTAATCCATTCAGTCATCTTAATTAAAAGTTTCTATATTTACAGGCATAGTCAACTCTTTCATGTCGTGGCCTGGATGGACTCCATTGGGTCGTCTAACCTATTCCGCTTATCTCATCCATCTAATCGTTGTCTATTACTTGCTCACCATTCATCCATCCGAAATCATTTGGGGAGCCTACGCGGACATTGTGAGGAAATAGCTAAATTTAGAAGCTGATTTTCTGTAAAGGGATTGGGTTGATCAAAATCATTTTCCAGGCAAACGAGGAAAAGCCAGACTCTGGTCCACTAATAAAGCCTTAGTTTAGCCTGGTTTACAAGCCATAGCCAACTCCAGGCAAACGAGGCAAAGCCAAACTCTGGTCCACTGATAAAGCCTTAATTTAGCTTGGTTTATAAGCCATAGCCAATTCCGGTTTTAACAGCCGTTATCTAAAGCTTTCAGCTAAATATAATTAATTTTTTTTTAGTTTTCGAGCTTCGTGATTCCATCTATTGTGATCACTTATGTTCTAGCCATATTCTGGAGTTCTTGTTTCGAAGTGGCTATGGGAAAGGTTAGTTAATACGGTTAGTTAATACAGTTAGTTAATACAGTTATTTTATTTGTTAATATCTATAGTATCTAAAGAATACAAAAAGTTTCAGGTCGAAGTGATCCTTGTTGGTGGTCGTCAAAGAGCACGATCGGTGGTTGAGAAGAAAGATGAAATCAAAGGGAATGGTGTTCCTGAAAAGGCACATCAAATAGAAAATGGGGTAAGTTGAAAGCACACACTGTTAGAATGAGTATTCAGTATTCAAGTATTGAAAGATTATTCAAGATTATTCGGTATTCAAGTATTGAGATGTGTTTGATTCAATTTCAGCACACTAATGGCTATATGGTGACACCGATGAAAGTCACTCCGATTTCATCGTCAAAAGATGAAGCATGGTCATAAAAGAAATCATATGTGAAATGTTTTCCCTTCTATTGTACATAATAAAGATTTTATTGTAGAGGTTTGTTGTAGAGGTTTATTGTAGAAAGCAGTTTTTTTGTACCTATCCTTTATCTTTCAAAGTAAAAGAAATTTACAAAATCTTTACTTTAAAATAAACTCTGATCGGATGGAGTGAAAATGACCAAAATGTGTAAGATTGAGGAGAGAGAACAAGAGTGGAAAAATCGAGAAGAACGGCTCATCTCTTTTTTTTTTCTTTCTTTTTACCCAGTTGCCCATTTTGTTCTCTCCAAATGCAAAAAAAATGTTTCTCATTTTTATTACAGCTATCTAAAGTCAATTTTTGCTTTTCGAAATGAAAAATTGCCTGATCTGTTGTTGTTCGGTAATGAAAAGCGTCCGATAGGATAGGAGTCTTAAGACCGGATAGGAGTCTTGTCTAGTCCTAGTCAGAGTCCTAGTCAGAGTCCTAGTCGGAGTCCTAGTCAGAGTCCTAGTCGGAGTCCTAGTCGGAGTCCTAGTCGGAGTCCTAGTCAGAGTCCTAGTCAGAGTCCTAGTCGGAGTCCTAGTCGGAGTCCTAGTCGGAGTCCTAGTCGGAGTCCTAGTCGGGGGTTCAAAGGTTCGATTCTGGTGGCCAGAAAAATTGGTTCTTTTTCCCATCATTATGGGTTTTTTTTCTTAACGACATTTGGGTAATAGGATACAAATAAATAGGGTAATAATAAATAGCCTAATAATAAAGGTAACAATTTCTTTCCTCCGTTGTGTTGTAATTGATTATTCGTGAGACTTTTAAAAGCTTTAAAAACAGTTCACTTTATATCGAGTTGCTTTGGAACTTTTTAGACAGTGAAGTTCAACGGTAATTTAGGTTAAAGTTCACCGCAACTTGGCTTGATATAATGATATTATTAGACTATTATTAGATTTTGGATTTGATACTAGATTTAAATTGAGTTTAAATCAACGAATCGAGCATATCAAATCCAAAAGTTAAACTAAAAAAAGAACAAATAAAGTAGGTAAAAAAATAGCCTTCAACCCTTTCCAATAACTTCTAGCAAGACTTTAATTGTACTTAAGTTAAATACCGTATTCTCTCTAATAGTAGGGCACCCCGGCGAGCCGAGTTCATGACTATTTACAGTTTCAAAGTTTTCAAAGAAGCTCAACACTCAAATCCCCCACTGGATCTCATCGTCAGCTACATTTTCCGACCCCACATCGATAGGTTCTGATAAGGGGTTCTCGAGAGTTCGAGCAATTTGGGGGAAGCTTTGGGTACACTACTATTGGAGAGAAGAGGGTATATTATTCCAGGTTAGGCTAGTAGATCAGACTGATCTATTTTCCTAATATTTCCCGGTGAGCCGAGTTGGTGACTATTTTGCAGTTTCAAAGTTTTCACAGAACCTCAACACTCAAATCCCCCACTAGATCTCATCGTCAGCTACATTTTCCGACCCCACATCAATAGGTCCTGATAAGCGCTTTTCGAGATTTCGAGCAATTTAGGCAACGCTCTGGGTGCACTACTATTAGAGAGAATACGGTATATAATTTTTTCATTTCCATTTCCCCATTGCTCACTCAATTTGTTTCCATGTAATTAAGTGTTGTCGTAGGTTTAGATTTGTTTGTAATTGGAAAAGAAAAGAAATGGAATTGAATGGAATGGAATGGAAGAGTGTTTTTATGTGATAAATCGGTTTTGATCCAGTGGAACAGTTGTTCAAGATTTGGGGAAAAAGAGGACAAAAGATTGACCTTTTCATCTTGATCTTCGACTTGAGAAAAATGAGGGAAATCCCTCAAAAAAAAAGGCTCAATCGAACTCAAGAAATCCTCAATGATTATCATTCAATGTTGTCGATGATCTATCTTTCTTTTTGGGGTTTATTTTAATTTGTTATTAGTTTATTTGTTCAGAAAACAATTTTCAGTTGACCATTTGCTGATAGATTCGTTAGAGCTTTCATTTTAAACGAATCCTAAACAAATCAGTTTAGAATTCGTTAGAAATGAAAGCTTTTTTTTGAGTCAGATATCAAATTTTCCCTTTCTAAAGTTTACTTTCCATTACTTTCCATTAATGTACTTTGTTCGCTTAAAAGTTGTTGTCTTTTGTGAAAAATTTGAGTACAAATTTGAATATCAGATTCAAGCTTACCTGAACTTTTTCAAAAGTTTACATTCAATTTTATCGAATCAATTTCTCCAACACTTTAATCGCATCTTTTTCTTGAGTCAAATATCAATCTGCGCTGCATATCGACCTCAGATCAGAGTCAGCTTTCAAGCTGCTCTGCATATCGATCTCAGATCAGAGTCAGATTTCAGTCTGCTCTACATATCGATCTCAGATCAGAGTCAGCTTTCAATCTGCTCTGCATATCGATCTCAGATCAGAGTCAGATTTCAATCTGCCCACTCATCTGCTACTGTAACTTACTACTTTAACTAACTAACTACTTTAACTTTAACATCTGCTACTGCTACTTAGCGTTTAAAAAGAAAAATTGAGAAGTAACAGTAAAGAAAACTGGGGTGAAGATTGAGGGTTTTTTTTTTCTCTAAAGTGAACAAGTTGTTTGGACAAGAAACACTTTCTCTTGAGAGATCCCATTCTCTTTCTCATTCTCTTTCTCATTCTCTTTCTCATTCTCTTTCTCATTTCCCCTTTCTCTTACAAGAGATTTACCAATCCCTTTCACCACTTCAACTGCTTCACACCGTTCTTTTTTTGCGTTTGCTTGAATTTTTCAAGAAAAATGTTTGATACATTGATTTTAATTTCAAAATTTCCCATTTTCTTTCAAAATTCCAATTTGAATTTGAAACGATTTTAGTAAAAACAAGAATGAAGGTTCGTCTGGAGCAAAAAGAGTTTGATGCGCTGAAGAAATTCGAGTCGCTTCACCATCCAGATATCTGGAATTGGATTATGGATAAGGTGAGCGAAAGAAATATGCCAAAAAAAAGAAAATCTTATTTAGGTGGGTCGACGCGAGAATCTGAACATTTTGGATGTCTCTGAGGAGTGCGCTGTCTTTGCAGTGATGCTCGCCGAACAATATCCAACAAATAAGTGAGTGCAGAGGATTCGGCTTTGTTTTCAAATTTAACACAAGACGTTTCTTGAGGGATTATCAATAATCCTCAAGAGTTTAAAGATGATAAAAAGTTCAGAACCAGAGTCAGAGCAAAGCTTTGGCTTTAGATTGACTTGTGCAAGCACACCCTTTCTGCTGCACTCAATTTCCCATTTTTCTTGCAGTATTATGAGAAAATGAATAAACGAGTGTGCCAGAAGGGACGTGTTTACCTTTTTCAACAAAATACACTCAAATCTTCATTGCAGAGTGACTTGTTTGATTCGTGGAGAGAAACCGAAAGTCCCTCTTCCATCAAATGTCTCATTTCTTCGATCGGATTTCAAGAATTGTAATTGGTCGCAGATTGAAGAAGTAAAGGGATTTTATTCTTCTCTTTTCATTGCTTCTTTACATCTTTTTAGCTATCCACATATGATGTGATTATTGTGAATGAGCTCACCCATGAGATACCCGAGATTGGACAATTCTTCAAAGCGCTCAAGGTGAGTGGAGAAGGGAATTGAAAAAGGGTTTTAGTATTGTAAGTGATCTTAAATTTGCCTCAATGTTACTGTAGAACTTGTCTTTGATTTCAAATTTATTCAGAAACATTTAAACCCTGGTGCACCGATTGTTGTCTTGAGTCGACCCAAAAACCCTCCACTTCCTGTGCCCGAGTGTTGTCTTTTGTTGTGGAGAAAATTGATGCCAACAAAAGAAGAGATCACCGCTGCAGCTGCATATGTAAGAGATATAGAAACAAAGAAATTAAAGAAAAGATCTTTAAAAGGATTATTGAATCATAAGAGTACAAGAGGTGAAGCTTTAAAAGTACAAGAGTACAAACGAGTACAAGAGGTGAAGCTTTAAAAGTACAAGAGTACAAACGAGTACAAGAGGTGAAGCTTTAAAAGTACAAGAGTACAAACGAGTACAAGAGGTGAAGCTTTAAAAGTACAAGAGTACAAACGAGTACAAGAGGTGAAGCTTTAAAAGTACAAGAGTACAAACGAGTACAAATGTACAAACGAGTACAAGAGGTAAAGCTTTAAAATTATCGAGCTTTATCGATCAAAACGGTTGGTGGTTCAATCCCGTCTCCGTCTTTTTTGCTGTCCTTACTTTACCTATAGCAACTTTGGTATTACAAGTATTACATTACTTATTACAATATTAATTTATTCAAATAGTTAGACCGATTTTGTAAAATTCTTATTTGTAAATTGTTTTCCTAAAAACTCTTAAGCTCTATTTTTCAATGTTAACCAAAATACCCATAGACTGGTAATTTGATCCGTTCAGGTGAAGGGAAAGGGTTTACAACAAAACAAAGGACATTTTGTGAGGGTGATGTGGAGTGATTTATGATTTGAAAGGCGTTATAATGATAATGATAAGTAACCTTTATGTTATAATGATTGTAAAATATTGTTGTTATTGAATAAATTGAATTTTGAAATGAAAACAAATCGAAATCTCAAGGCTCAACTCGGTTACACGACTTTCTCGGCAGCCGTCCCGATCAGTGTTGATCGCTTTCAATGGGAGAGCATGCTCTATTCGGGTGAGTTTATGAGAAAAAAAGTGTTAGATTTGTTAGATTAAAATCTGACCAATTTCCAATGTTAAAGACCAATTTCCAGGCTGTTTCCCAGCTGTTCGAGCGACGATCAAATGCGGTGAGCCAGAAATCCGTCAATACTGCAATAAACTCTCTCCAAAAGTGAATTTCGAGGAAAAAATGAGCATTTATGTGTTCAGAGAATGAGGATTTTTGAGATTAAATGTGATGCTAATAAATAAAGAGTACATTGGAAGCATTTTGAGTTCACAAAACAATCGAAACATACATTTTCTGGTGTACTGAAAGGGTTGAGTGGATGAGAATGGGTGTATCCACGTTTTTAGTGAATGAGAGTGACCGAGAATGAGCTCGCCTTTTCTTTCTTCCTCCTTGTATTTCCTTTTTCCTCTGAGCAGAACAGATGCCGAATAGCTCAGTGGTTAGGGCGTCTGACCGGATGGTCGATGGCTGATCAAGAGGGTCGATGGTTCAATCCCGTCCCGGAAATGCTTTTTGCTGTCCTTACTTTACCTATAGCAACTTTAGGATTACAAGTATTACATTACTTATTACATTACTTATTACATTACAATACTACTACTATTTTTCATTTGAAAAATTTGTTTGTTTTAGTTTTTTTCTTAATATTTCTTTCTTTCATTCAGCTCTAATCTGTCTAAACTTTGACACCTAAAGAGAATTATTTCCAAAGCGTGAAAAGAAAAAGCGGATTTTGCGATAAGAAAGCGCTCCAACCTAAGCTTTTTTTTAAACCAATTTTTCTCTTTAACGAGGAAAAGTAATTCAAAATTCAATCGATCGTTATTCAATCGGAATAAGTTATTCAATCGATCGTTATTTAATCGATCGTTATTCAATCGATCGATGGTTAAATGGAAATTTCTCATATTGTTTTTACTTCTTCTTGGAATTCGAAGCTCAGAAATTGGACCGGAAAACGATGATGTCATCATGAATAATTGCTTTAGTTGGTTGAGAGATCTCTTTTTTTTGATTTTCTATAGATTTTCAGGGGTTTGCTTTCACTTCAAATCAATTTTCTTGCTTTTTCTCTCGAGTCAAAGCTCAGTGGATACAGTGGAGAAATTGAAGGTTGGGCTTTGTGTAGTTTATGTACTTTGTGCTCTGGAAAAGCAAACCCTATCTGACGCACCCTCGATCTCTCAATCTTTCATTTCAGAAATTATTTAGTTAATGTTTTTGAATGAGATCACATCGTGTGGTCTTTTTCAATTCTCGTATTCATTTTCTTTGTGGTCTCCGTTGAAAACGATACATTGTTGTCAAATGGGTGATTGCAATCGAATGATTGATGCGATTTCGTGGGATGATGTTACCCTTTCTTTACACAATGACACTGATAATGATGGTGGGGGAATTTTGAAACGATAAAGAGTGTTAAGGAATTGTTTTTGATGTTTCCCAAGCTTGGCCCAAGCTTCGTCCAAGCTTGGCCCAAGCTTTGCCCAAGCTTCGCCCAAACTTGGCCCAAGCTTTGCCCAAGCTTTGCCCAAGCTTCGCCCAAGCTTCGCCCAAGCTTCGCCCAAGCTTCGCCCAAGCTTCGCCCAAGCTTTGCCCAAGCTTGGCCCAAGCTTGGCCCAAGCTTCGTCCAAGCTTCGCTCAAGCTTCGCTCAAGCTTCGCCCAAGCTTTAATTTAGTTCCATATGATCCGGATGATCACCATGGAATGAAAGATTCCTTTTTGCAGTCTCTAATGATGATTCCAGAAGCTAGAAGGTTGATTACATTGATTTTCCAAAAAAAAGAAAAGTCGATTCGGTTTCCAGAAAAGTCGACTCGGTTTTTCTCATCACCGATTATGGAGTTGATATGATGGAACAAGAATATCTCGATCGTAAGTGATCAGAGTTTTGTTATTTCTCTGAAATAATCACTTTAGAGTTGTACCCATTTATTGGCATGTTTCACATAATCGTTCTTGGCGGAAATGTCGCAAAATACTATCCGAATCCGATCATTGCTGAGGTTGAGAGTAAAACAAACTTATTGATAGCATTGCACTCAATTTTCGGTTCTTTTCATTGTCAAAAAAGCTTTCATATGCAAAACCCAAAGCCAATTTGATCCTTTTTCGTATCTTTATTCTCCAACATCGGAATATTGAACAATTTTTTACAAAGTCGACCCATCAGGATGTTGAATTTGTTGCGGAGGTACATTGAGATATGTATGGCGGGATTTGGGTGAGAATTGATCCCCAGGGATTTGGCCTAATCGCGTCAAAACGGGAAGCCAATTCAGTCGTCCATCGCTCCTTTCCTCTATTCCATTACTGAACCTATCTATCGGGGCGGTTTGCCAGATGGCGAGCGATTACCCACAACCTCCGCAACCACAACCTCCGCAACCACAACCTCCGCAACCACAACCTCCACAACCACAACCTCCACAACCTCCTCCTAGATTACTCCACAACCTCCACGCACAAAGAACACCTCCTCAATCACTTTACACTGACTTTTTCTTCTGTAAATGATTCCCAAATGAGATTTAATGTTAAAAATTTCTGCCCTAGGGTTTTCAAAATCGTAGAATCTATTGGCGGAGTTTATTTTAAACCTTTGTTTCAAGAGAATCCAATTGGCTTTGGGTATATGATAGCTTTTCACAATGAAAAGACCCGGATTCCCGAGAAGAACTCAATTTTCTTTTTCTTCTTTCCAGGATGCTCTCGAATTGGTGAGAACAGTGGAGATCCCGGCAATGTGCGCTCCCCATGAATTGGGAGTGGTGACTGGCGGGAATGTGAATATCTTTCATCGAAGAGAACATCCAACAACAACAACGACAAAGACTACTAAACTGCCTCTTCTTGTCACCAGCGCTCATCCCGAAGCGATCACTGATCTTTGTCCAGAGTTGAGGAACGTCAGTGAGTCTTTTTCTTTTTTATTGGATTTTCTCATGTGTCAAACTGGGTCAGAACCAGAACCAGTTTGGTCAGAACCAGTTTGCCAGCCCAGATCTGACTCAGATTTGTTTTTCGTCTGATCTGGCTTATTTTTAGAAACATTTCTTGGTATAAACTTTTCCTAACAAATGCAGATGTGTCATTTTCAGCTCTGAGTCCCGAGTTGCCAATCGATTTTCACATTTTCGTCGCATTCTCCGAGAAAATGGGATCATCAGACGCGATTTGTGTGCGCGAGATGTTCCACTCGTTGCTCAACCTGGCACATTTGGAAACGAATTCCGGTGAGGTTGAAAAAAATGACGGTTAAAAACTTTACGATCGAATTTGCGCTCTACTTTTGAAAACTTTTCTTTCATCAGGCACAATTACAATGCACGGCCCTCGAGCGCAAACTTTCGTCACGTGCGAGTGGGCGGACTACGAGAAATGCCTTGAGGCAACCGATAAACTGTCAATGTCACTTGTTCAGGTATTTGAAAAGTTAGCTTTTAAATCCATGTAAATGAATTTGAAAAAGAGAATATAGGTGAGAACACCGGGCATAAATGATGCGGATCTTGATTTCGCGCCTGATGTTCTCAACTTTTTGCGCTCCGAAGCGATCCGAGCCCATGAGCAGAAAAGAGTTGCAAATCTTTCGTTATTTTAATTCGATTTTTTTTTTAGATCTTGATCGTAATCATTTCGGATTTTATCTCATTGGAGTTTCCATTAAATTCTTTATTTTTCCAAGCAGCTATGTCACAACAAAACATCGAGTTGACAATGGCTGTCGTGACTGAGTGGAATCGAGTAACAAAGCAGGATTTATATAAATATTATGGGTAAATAGAAGTAGCGCTTTTTAAAAAATCGATATTCTTCAGAAATTTGACTTCAACGATCTATGAGATTCCGAGCTTTCAGAATTTGTCGATGTTGTTGGGAGTGTGGACACCAATAAAGAGCACGGTTGGGAAAAAGAAGCTAAAGAATAAAGTTAAAGAAGAATGAAATTCAGTCAATTATTAAATTGGTTAATTAAACATGGGTAAACATTGACACTACAAACTACAAACGTAAACTACAACACTACTCGACTTCCACGCATCCGACTCTGAGTAACGGTCTTGCTCCCAATCGTCGTCCATCGTCGATGGGCCGACTGAATAAAAAGAATAATTTACAGCTTATCAGTTAGACAATGACACTACAAACTACAAACGCTTCTAACTTGCTTCAAATCTGTTGGATTGACATTCATCTATAGCTCAAAAAAATCGAGAATTTCAAGAGCTTTCGAATGAACTAAAGCATATCGAAAAATATCAATTTTAAAGAAAGTTACAGTGATTTGTAGCTTCGACTACGCGCGAGTACGGTCTAAAAACCACTGTAACTTTCTTTAGAATCCATATTTTTGAGCGTGCTTTAGTCCATTCGAAAGCTCTTGAAATTCTCGATTTTTTTCAGTGATAGATCATATCAATCCAGCAAATTTGAAGCAAGTTAGAAGCATTTTTAGTGTGACAGTTTGTCATTTTTACAGTTTATAGTGCTCATGTCTAGTTGTGACCAAACTACCGTAGCCTGTGATACGATTACTATATGTTACTGTAACCCGAGCAATGTCAAACCGTTAAAGCATGCCCCAAGCTATCGTAACCCGGCTTATAGGCAGGCAGGTAGCTTGGGCATGCTTTAGAGCATCTTCAGTAAAAGCCTGGAGTTACGGGCTTTTGCAAAAGATCTTTTAGTCATCACCAACAACAACAACAGCCACTACCACCGCAAATCCGACCATCAATGGATCAACCACTCAATTCAGCAATAACTATCCGACTCAACCAAATTTTCATAAAACTCAAAAAGTGCCACCGACAACGATTTCGGAAACGACGATTACCCCAACAAGCACACATCATTCAACCTCTTCAACTGCAAATAACACATCATCAGGTTTACTTTATCTAAACTTGTCATCTAATCTTGTGCCAGGTTTAGATGAACAAGACGAGCATAAGCATCCAAAGATTCTCTACATTCTCCTTGGAAGTATTTGTGGATTGGGATTGATAGTGCTTGGATTTTATCTAATCTATTTCATCATCAAGAAAAATCGTTTCTTGATTCGAGAGAACAAAATGCTAACACTACAGCACTCATTGAGATTGAGTGATGATGACGAGGAGGGGTATCAAACGTTGGTTTTGAATTTAGAATTGTATTGAATTGTATTGCCTTTAAAAGCTTGATTTACTCAGATTCTCTTCAGAAAGAGCTCTTCTATCACGGAAATGCCATTGGGAGTGAACTGGATTCTCTCCGAGTTACAAAAAGATCCATGGGAAATGGATAGACAAAAGATTATTGTTGGGAGACAAGTGGGTAGAGGAACGAGTGGAGTCGTGTATAAGGGTAACTATTTCAAAGCATTATTATTGTTGTCGAGTCGTGTATAAGGGTAACTATTTCAAAACATTATTATTGTTAAAATTTTCTTTTTAGGTGCATTAATTGGGAAATCGCCCGTCGAGGAAATTCACAAGAAATCCTTTTTCGCTTTTCAATTTGACAAACAAGCTGTTGCCATTAAAATGATGCCATTGCATTTTGAAGAAACAAAAAGACATGCTTTTATTGAGGAAATCGAAATATTAAAGGTAAGGAATCAATTAAATTACCAATATCAAATTATCAAATTATCAAAAGTCTCTAATATATTCACATTTTAGCAACTTTCCCCTCATCCAAACATTTGCGGTTTATTGGGTTGTGTGAGCAAATTTGCTCCATTATGTATGGTGATCGAGTTTGCTGTTTACGGAGATTTAAAGAGATTTCTACAAACGAAGAAAATCGTTGAGTGTGTGAGTGTTAGCTGAATATCTTTTCCTGAATATCTTTTCCTGAATATCTTTTCCTGAATACCTTTTCCTGAATACCTTTCCCTTCAGTATACTTTACGTAAAGGCTTCATTAAACTTCATTAAACTTCATTTTACCCAATCCAATTACAGCCAGGCACAGCTTGTGCCGTTCATTCGGATCAACCTTGTCTCAAGACGTTGATCACTTTCTGCTGGCAGATTGCTGATGGATTGGTGAGAGATTTTTGATAAAAAAATGATCACAGAAATTTTAGAAATTTCTCCATTCTAATCGACTTTTGCATAGAGATTTGGCAGCGAGGAATATTCTGTTGAATCAGAGTGGAAACGTGCAAATCTCCGATTTCGGGCTGGCTGTTTGGATCGATCGACCCGAGAGAAATAAAATGAGTAGGCGATTTGGAATTGATTTGATTTGGAACTTCAAAAAAGGAAGCATGAGCTCTAAAAACTAAAATCATGTATTTTTCGAGTTTGCAAACATTTCCAGACCGTTTACCAATCAAATGGACAGCCATTGAGACCCTTCGCTATGGGGAATTCTCAACCTTTTCCGACATTTGGTAAATTTTTCTAAGCTTCAGTAGTTGAATCCAAATTTTTTTAGGTCTTTGGGTGTGTGTTTATGGGAGATTCTCTCAATGGGCAAAGAGCCGTATTCACATGTTTCGAACGAAGAAATTCTCACGTATTTGGCGTGCGGGAAACGGCTGAAACATCCGAAAAAGTGCCCACAGCAAGTGTGAGGGAAAAATTTGTACAGTATACTAAATTGAACCCATCAAATATCCTGTGATCAGATTTTTAAAAAAACGGATTTATTTTAGTTGGTCACTGCTTGAGTTGTGTTGGAGTGAGCATCCGCGTGATCGGCCGACCCTCGATGCGTTACGTGCGGATTTCGGACGAATTTTGGAGGATTTCACAGCCGGATATGGATATTTGGACTTACAGAATGCTGTGAGTAATGGGTTTATTGTTTAAAATGCAAATTTATAGGAAATGCTAACTTTTCAGACTTTCAATAACATCACATTCAAAGAGGAAAAGGCGTGACTCAGAATGGGTTTTTGAAAAATTGGAAATTGGAAATTGCGCTGCTTTCAATAAATATTCGAAACTTTATGTAAAATACATATGATAACGTTTGTTAAATGGAAATTTTATACTTCAGCAATAATTTTTGGCTAGCAAATGGAAAATTGAGGTGTAGAGACATGGGGAGTGGGACAAATGCAACCTTTTTTTGCGCACCCGGACATTTGCGCCGTTTTTTTTCCGCACCTTGCCCATTAGCGCACCTTTTTTCGCTTTTTTCGTTTAAAAAAAGCTCTAAAAAGCTAATATTAACCAATTTCTATTCCAAAAGTTGTTTTTCTAGGTAATTTTAGGGCGTAGAATCGAAATTTTAGCATATCAGAGCTTGTGGAAGCGAACGGACGGAGTTATACAAAGAGAAAAATCAACAATTTTCTGTAATTTGATTTGACCTAGCCGTTTTGTCTTTCAAATTGGTTCCACACGCTCTGTTATGTCAAAATTTGAATTCGACACCCTCAAATTACCTAGAAAAACAACATTTCGAATAGAAATTGGCTAATATTAGCTTTTAGAGCTTTTTTTTAAAACGCGAAAAAAGGTGCGCTAATGGGCAAGGTGCGGAAAAAAAGGTGCGCAAATGTCCGGGTGCGCAAAAAAAAGGTCGCATTTGTCCCACTCCCAGAGACATGTGCTTTCGGGTCAACTTAATGTTTTCTATAAAAAAAAAAATGCAAATTTACATTTTCTAAAATAATCTCTTTTGTTTTTAAAGGTATTAAGCTAATCAATTGAGTAATTTTTATTAGATTAAAGTTCTAAGTGTCGATTTTGCAACAAAAATCATTTCATTTTTCACTATTTTTCTGGCCGATTAGCAGCCTTTTTATAATTTGTTTTTAATTTTGTTGATTTAGTTTCGATATTTAATATATTTCTTTAGGATCATCGGAGTCACTTCAATTCATCCATCTGGAACACACGAAATCATCGCTTCGCTTCTTCAACATAAAGTAAGTTGTGTTTAAAAGCTTTTACTTACTTTTTGCTCAAATGAATTTATTGACTTTAAAGTTGTAAAATAGTGAATTGATAAATTGAGTTGGCTGCTAAGCTTAGGAAGTTGCAAACTACTTTATTGACTACTTTACACAAACACCACTACTTTATTGGCTACTCTACTCTACTACTTTACACAATTTATAATTTAGCCATTGGATGAGGACAATCGTGTGGCTGCACCCGTCACCTGATCCAAGTTAGCTGCCGCTCTTGAAAGGGTAAAGAGTCTATGCACTTTAAGTTCAATTTTGTTCATTTTAGCCATCGACTGTCGATAATCGAGTGGCCCAAGTTGCATCAGCCGATAGTTGCAGTGCTTAATAGGGTGGGTTTGACTTATGCGTCATTACTTTTATAATCAATAATTAGGTCTTAATTTTTCTAACGACGTGGTAAATAATTTGGCTTTCTTCAAACGCGTGACTAATAATCATATTTATAATATACGTACCCAAACAATTTAATAAACTGTTTTTTCTAGAAAGTTTAATATCTTTAACATCATTCGAACCGTTTCTCGGGTGGTGCTTTAGAATTAGTAGAAATTATTATCAATTTGTGGGGTTTTTACAGTTTGGGATAATGTGTCCCGAAAAAAACCGGCCCGGAGCCCATCTCTTACTATCCGTAATTCCCCGTTTTCGTTCGTAGTCAACCAGATCTTTTTTTAAAAAATCCAACAGTTTTTAAGTCTTGGTATTTTGCTGTACGACTTTAATTGTAAAAATTTTCAGTTTCTATTATTTATATGGAAAGAGAAGTAGCGGATTTGCGAGCGCAACTCGGTTTTGGCGCCGAGTCGGTTCGCGTGAACGCTTTCGCGAATGTGGTCAAAAATTTGGAGCACAAAGATGAGAGAAAAAAGGTAAAAACAGGTTCACAAATAGGAACAAAAAGCAAAATAAGGGGAGTTCTAATTATTGAAAAATTTTATTGTAGAAAGAATACCATCGACTCTTTTGGCAGTGCGTGAACGAGTACGGCGACTACATCTCGTCGCTGGCTGAAAAGGTTGGTCATTCAAATCATTCGGCTCGAAAATCAAAAAGTTATCTGAAACTTTGGCATTGTACGTAGAACTTTTCAATATTTTTTAGATAATCTCATCTCGTCTCCAATCGAGCGCTTTCAGCAATGAGGCGGTGATTACCGAGATGATGGTTTGGAATGAAAACTTTTCATTGAAAAAAGAATCTAGGCGATTTTTTCCGCAAAAAAGCCGGGATCGAGAAGAATTTTGCGGTTTCTCTTGCATCAAAATGGAGATTTGTCAAGGTAATAAGAAAACTTAGAAACAAAGAGTTGTTATTTCAGAATCTGTGCTCAAATCTACTCGAGAGTGCCCGAAATGCTTGATGAGATGATTGAGGAAATGAAAGGAATCGATTGGGAAAGGTTTATTTCAGAAAATGATTGAATCTAAAAATGGTAATTTAGAGCCCGACCTGCCGTGCTCTCATTTTTGTGCATGGAGACTTTATCAGAAAGTCACAGAGTGATTCTCGCAGAATATCTTCTCGAAAAAGAGACCGAAAAGGCATCTCCACTCTTCGTGTTGACGCTGAAAAGATTGTAAGTTTTCTTATTGCAAGTTTTCCAATTAAAGTCATTTAAATTAACCAATTTAGTCTCCCACAATCATTTCTTCGCCGTTTACCCCCAAGTCAACTGGTTTACGAGCATTGTATCAAAGAGGGAACATCTTTATCCGTCACATCACCCGTTCATTTGATGTCAAGAGCCAAGCAGACACTTTGCCAACCGAATCTTTTGAAAATCGGTAATTTCACAGGAAATTCAGTTATGGTATTGAAAATTACAAGGCCAAATATCTGGGTAACACAGCTGTCAAAGGTACACCCATTGACCCTTTCAGCTGAAGCTCATCCCTGCAATTTGCCCGTTTTCCTCACCCTCGTTGCTTCAATCGGGGAGTTGGCAAAAGTCGCTTCAGAGCTTGTCGATCGAAATGTTTTGGATCAGGTTAGCAAAATTAAATAATAACTAGATAATCAATTTTCAGGTTAAACAATTGATTCTCGAGATTCAATCGTGGAGACCAACATTTTTGATTGCTAAAGATGAGGGCCAGTCGATCACCAATTTCGACTACTTTGAACGGGTTGTCGGTGACGGGGAAAGTCTGACAGCTTATTGTAGGTTTTACGAAGTGCTTATAAACTTTTGAAAATCCTGTAAGAAGATCCAATTTTTGATTTCAGTTCAACGTTGGCTTAAAATGAATGAATGGGAAATCAATGATGATTCGATTTCTTTTCTCATTGGAGCGCTCGCCTTTGTGAAACAAGATGAGCACTCTATGGTTTTTCGGTTACTCGAAGAGTTTTGTCGGCGAAAAGCGGAATTTGTAAGTTTTTTCAAGGAGTATAATGACAACGAAGTATCAAAAAATCATGGAAACATTAGTTTAGATTACATTATCGTTTAGACACCGATTTCGATCCTTTGTCTTCTCACGATTTACAGTCGTCCATGGTTTTCCGTGTCAAAAGAGGCAATTATTGAGTGTATCGGACGGGTGACGATAGCCGCAAAGAATACGGTATTTTGTCCAGTTTTTAAAGTTCAAGTAATTCATCATTTAGCTCGTCGTATCACCGGCACTGCGTTTTCTGCTAGCCGTTTGTCAAAAGGTGGGTTTTGTAAGTGTAAATAGTACAAATACGTAATAATTAGTACACATAAAAATGCTTTCTAGAAAGTCCAAGACCCTGTTGATGACAGTGTGGAGAATCGAGAGCGTTTAGCGGCAATTGCGGCAATTGGAGAGCTCTTTGTCGAATATAATGGTAAATTGATCATAAAAATTCTAAAACGATTTGATTAGTCAGCTTAACGATTTACTTTTTAGGTATCTTTGATGAGATCAAGTTTTTTGTGCATGGTGAAACCGGAGGATGGACACTCGCGGTGGACGGAGGCTCGCTTGGAGCTCGCTGCGACAATTTGCAAACACAGGTTTGTTCAATTAAGAGTAGCATTGGTTAAAAAATACTCTAAATTTATAACATTCATTTATTTTTCGATATCTAGTGAACTCTCGGACGAGCTCCTTCCATCTCTATCCACTCTTCTCACCAAGGGCGGCCCACTTCTCCCAGCGGTGCTCCGAGTGATCAAAGTGCTTTGCGAAGAAGGGGTTTGTCGAATAAAGCTAATTTCTTTGTTTACTTTTGTTTATAATACTTTTATACTTCAGGTATTCGAAATCCCAGTGATCGCCAATCAATCCCGAACCCGATCCGTCCACGATCCAAAAGCCCTCTCCGAGCATGCAAGAATTTTGGCGTTATCTCGAGTTGTGAGCTTGTTTTCAAATTGTTTAAAAAAACAAATCTGCTCTTAAATATAATATTCTTATCATCAAAAGTTTCTGTTTTTCAGGAATCAAATCGACCACAAGAAGAGCTTGATGAAGAGGAGGCGGAAAATTTACAGAAAAATCAGGTTAGCTGGGACCAGTTGCAAAGTTATGGGCAAATGATTCATTTAGAATTTAAAAATGACATTTGAAGTGGCAGTATTTATCCAAAATTTGTTCAGGAATTCGCTCAGCAAGTCGCTCTGCCAGAGCTATGGACGATGACGGGTCATTTAAGTGAAATCGTTCGCGATGCCGCTTTTGAAAGTGAGGGATTTTTAAATGAACATTGTCGGAAAATTTTAAATCCACCAATATGCCTTTAGGCCTTACAAATTTCTCACTGGAAGAAATCTATGTTCACATTGATTCGATCACGGAAAATGAGAACGAAGAAGGAAAAACCGTCAAAATGGAAAAGGTTTGTCTCTTTTTTCAATAACTAAACCAAAATCTTGCAGTTATCCGACGTTTTGCTGGATCAAGTTTTGGGCAATGATGTTGAAAGGAGTGAAGGTGAGAAACAATGAACTTTTTGTGATCATTTGCCTTTAGGTCTCACTAAATTTCTCCACAGAGCTGTAGCTGAAGATCTCGAGAGTTTGCCACGACCATTGTACACCAAAAAAGTTAGTAAAGTTAATTAAAGTTAAAATAAAGTAAAGCTTTTGAATTCCGATTTTTAGGATCAACGAAGACGAGGATCCACTTTTTCCCACCACATTTGCCATTTATGAAACAAAGCAAAATGAGGTGGATTGGAAAAGAGCTTACTTTATCAATATTTCCCTTTTAGGATGCCGATTTGAATTTTCTTTCGATTCTCTCAATCATCCTCAAAGGGATCCCCATTGATAAACGACCATTTCTGGCGAAGAGAATGCTCACGAAATGTTTGATACAGGTATTTGATGATTGAACAATATCCGGATTAGAATCTGTTTTCTAAAAGTGCATTTTATGAGTTACCGTATTTCATAAAGCATAAATTTCATAAGACTACAAATTTCAGATCTCAACTCCAAGCACCAATTCGCCAGATTTCCCCAAATACCTTTCCGCTTGGCGATCGTTGACGGAAACTTGTTTAGAGGTGTTCGCGAAATCACATCTCGAACAAGGAGAACCGTCGTTTACTTGGTGAGTAACTGAACTGTTTTACTCTTAAAAAAAACCAGTATACTCACTCAAATCTTTAGGGCAAGGGATCAACTTTGCGAAGAGCTTCGTCGTGCTCTTTTGCAAGCGGAAGACTCACTCTCCAATGTGCTCACCGTGTTGATCTACATGGCATTGAAGCTGAGTAATGTTCACGAGGTAATCAAAAATAAAGTGAAGTCCTAAAAGCTATAAATCTAGAGCTCTTCATCGAATCCCTATCGTCCGTGGTTGATCTCAGTGATCGAGTTCCTTTGTTTGGTTAAAGATTGGAATCACAATCCACGAATGAATCCGATCTTTCAATGTGTTATCGTAAGGATTGATTTAGCTTTTAAAGATAAAAGATATTTAGCTTTATATACTGTAGCTGAACAGGTTACTAATTGTAGTCCTCACGATAATTTTGAAACGATCACATTTTAGAAGTCGATAAGTGAATCAAAGAAGCTTGCAAGGCTTGGATTGATGCTTTTCTCAAAGCATCTTTTAAAAGTAAATTTCATTTCTTTAAGAATTGAAGCTGACTTTTAACATTTCAACATAGAGATTTCATTTCAGAGTGATCTCTCATTCTATCAAGGCAATTCGCTTGTCAATGATGAGCAAGCAATAACCCGTGAAATGTTCGGCAATGACGGAGAATGGGTAAGTTGACGGAGAGATGATCCAAAATACAAAAAGATATTCAGGCAATGTATTTAATTGATGGAACAGCAACTTCAAGTGAATCAACAATGGTCTCAAGGGAGAAGAGTACTTTGATTGGTGAGATTATCACATTATAAACTTTTCAAGCAACAATTCTTCAGCGATTACGATAGCTTTTTTTTTTCTAAAGGACATCTTTTAGAAAAAGCTTTTGTCACAAAATTGTGATAAAATTGATGGTTTTCAGGTTATTCCCTCGGTTTGGCGCCGATGACGCTCGAGGTGGAGGCAAATAAAACGACAAATCCCTCTCTTCAAATGCCAAAATTTGAATCAATCGAACACGTGGACACAGTTCATGTTTGAGAACTTTAAAAACCTAAAAATTCTTCAATTCTAGCAAATTTTCAATCATTTATCCGAAGTGGATAGTACTTGTTTTGAAGCAAATCGGAGAAAAGTAAAGAAAGCGTTGGAAATGGTGATCAAGAAAAAAGACGTGGAAATGGGGAAAGCGGTTTGGAAAGGTGAGTGGTTAGTTTTATATATATATAATCAAAATAATATTTAAAATATTATTTTAAAATAATTCAGGTCTATCTTCGTATTCTCTATCACAATGTGATCGAGTTTTGTCGAAACTTCCACTCGACTACGCGGCGTTGCCAGAGAATAGCCTGTTGCGAGCCGTCGAGCGGAGGATACGGTAGGAAATTTCTGTAGGATAATAAACAATAGTTTATAGCACTGAATCATCATTCGTTTTTAAAATAATGTTTTAATCTGAAAACCAATTTCAGAGTGATCACCACCCCCGCGAAGCGTGATGTCTTGTTGAAGTCACTGACGAATCAATGCCGGAAAAATGATGGGTGAGTGTTTGCGGGTTCTTCCTCAACCCCAATTTACGATACTTTTGAATATTTGCAATTTATAAGCTCAATCTTTTATGTTTCCATTTTTCAGTCGAAACCTTCCTCCAATCGACATCTCACATCTCATTTCTTATGCCAATGATGTCACTTCGTGGATTACCGTTTTTCAATTGGCTGTCCAACAAAAACACTCAACAGTTGGAGAATTTATGAATTATAAAAAAAACCTTGAAAGCTTTAGTTGATTGCAAGATTGATTTCTCGAAAATCTGCACTAAAAATTGAAGCCGATTTTACGGTGATAGAGACGTTGGCGAAGAATTTTGAAGAATTTCACGGATCGATCCCGGAAAGGAGTCAGCGGCAAGTGGTGGGCTTTGAAAGGAGAAAAAGCCTTATCCGATAGAGAATCTTGATCTGATAGATTGAAATTGATTATTGTAAATTTGAAAAATTTTCAGGCTAATCACTTATTGAATCAATTGGAGTCAATTGAGTCGCAGAATCGAGAAATCCTTTCAGAGAGAATCGGCGAATTGTCGAAGATTCCGGTTTGTTTATCCATCTAATCTCAACTTTTGTTACCATTTTCCAATCTAAGACCAAACGAACATTTTCCAATACAAGAACTTTATTCCAGATTTTCTGCCAAGAACTCACAACTTTCCTCACCAAACCGACGAGTTGTTTGGAGATCGAGAAGGCATTGTGGAAAACGATCGAGGGAAAAGCGAATCAGCAAATCATCGGGGATACATTTTTGGGAACGTAAGTTAGTTCACAGGGATAAATTTAGCTTGCACTGGAGTGACGTGACTACTACAGCCCAGTTGATAGCAACCCAAGTTGTTTCAACATCAAAAAGATATCGAAAATCAAGAAAATGAAGCAATATCCGGGCTATAAGCGGGATATGAAAGTACATTCCAGTGCAAATTGTTTTCCATAAAATCCTTCGATTTCCTCGATTTGTGGGGATGGGCGTTGTCTTCAAGCACAAAAACGGAACCATTCCATTCGTTCTGATAGACCAATCGGAGAATTTTCTGCTCAACTTGTTGCATATGACGTCTATAAACATCACTGTGAAAAGTTTGACCCTTCTGGAACAGCTCCCAAAAAAAGTATGCCAGAGGAACACCTATCGACACACTGAAATCGCTTATTCCCATGAGTATTTCGTTTTTCCACCACTTTTCCCAATCGACCTTTCTTCAACCATTGTCGTTTCAACACTCGATAATCATAGAATATCCACGATTGATCATGAGTCACAATATTGAAAAGAGGAAACCGACCGCATCGATATTCGTTCAGTAGTTGACGGCATGACCGCGCTCTTTGGCCCTTAATCGAATTTTTCAAATGATAGGGAATTTGCCGCTGTTTCAACCACTTTCTTCCGGGTTTTTTGAGCCAATGCCATACTGTCATTCTTCAGCAATAGCTTTGTGCCAAAATCCAAGTCGTTCCTTCGGGATTTTGCTGAAGTTGGCGCCTCAACGTCTGTCGATTCACTTTTCTGGGACGACCGCTTCCTCGCTTTCGTGTGAGCCGGTTGTCACCTTTTCGGAACTTCTGAAACCATCATCGTGTAGTCCTTTCCTTGACGATTGTTGGCCCATAAAAGATTTGATTTCTCTCGCTGCTTTGGCCGCGGAAATCCTCTTCAAATATCGTTGATGGATTATTGATGGATTTCTTTACCAAACAGCGCCATGTGATCGATCACAATTTTTTTTGTTTTTGATTCCTAAAAAAGAGAATTTAACACATAAAACTGGAATTGTAAATTAGTATAATAAAAAAAAGAGAAAGAAAAAGTGTTAATTTGTCGCTGAATACGAATCAAATGAAGAAACGACAATTTTTTATGGGACAACCTAATATATGATGAATAAAATTTCAAGTTTATACAATGTTTATGGGTTAAGCATAGCATAAATCTATCACAGGTTCATTCAAGTATTAACCATCTTGCAGAATCGTCGCTTGTTGGCTCGAGTGTTCCAAAGAGTCCCGGGCATTGTCGATGGGGAAAATTGTCGAGATATTGAGAGGAAGCACAAAAAGTCAGAGGTAAAAAAAAAGTTTAAAATTAAACAAAAAAAAAATGTAAAATTTCAGTCAAACGATCGCTTGTCTAATTGGGGATCGTTGTTCTTTGATGTCTTTTCCTCAAATGATTTTGATCTTTTCCGATGCCTTGACCCAAGCAAAAGTTCTTATCGCTAAAGGAGACAAGGTTTAGAATTAAAGGAAATTTTTAAAACTCAAACCTTTAGCCAGTTTTGCTATCATTTTGGCCGATTATCGTTTCATTGATCGTTTCGATTCCATCTCCGATTCCTTTCCAATTTGTTCGAGAGGATGATGAAAAAACGGTGAGTAGAGAGTTACAAAAAGCTTAAAAAAAATTTTGTTTTTTGGATATAACTATATTTGTACTCAAGTTTAATAGAAGAATCTATAATTAAAGAAATATAATTTAGGTGGAACTTGCAGCTCGACGAGTCCAATATCATCTCGATTTTCTTCTGGCTAGAGACGAGTTCGCTTCGTTGATTGAACCGGTTGGTTTTCTTAATTTGATAGTTAAAGGTGTTTTTTTATTTCAGAAATAACGCAATTAATCTATTTTTTTCTATTTGCCTTTTTAGACTTCTAAACAATGGTTCAAGAAATTTTTTTAGTTGGCGAGTTATCTACTGACAATTATCCCAGATCTTCAACCGCCACACTTGCAAGGAGCTAAAGGTTTACTGTTTACTGGTTTACTGTTTACTGGTTTACCAATTTACTGTTTACTGGTTTACTGGTTTACTTTTACTGGTTTACTGGTTTACTAGTTTACTGTTTACTGGTTTACTGGTTTACTGTTTACTGGTTTACTGTTGATTCATTTATTGCGTTGCACTTTTTGAAGTCTTAATTATCAAATGTACTTGTCTAAGTCTTAAGAAGGTCAGCTCATCCAGTTACTTCAAATGTTTCATTGGTATCTTGAGATACAGTGACGCTTCTGAGCGCACTTTTTAGAAAACCGATTAATCAAGTGTTAAGCTATCGTGTAAGTTTACAGGCATAGGCATTGTATTGGAGCATTTGTATGTAATCTTTATTTCCAGATTGCTTTCGCATGCTACTCGGCAAGCGCTCACTTCCACAAATCGACAACGACGCCAAGTGGAGAATGCTGTTCGCATGAAGAGGAAAATATTTCAAATGAGAATTTTTATTATATAATGATTCGGGTTTACTCTACCCACTTACTCTTTGTGCCAAAATCTTTTTGTGATATCATTTTTTCAAATAACATAATTTATTGGTGTCACATTTGTCCAACGAATGGAAAAATTGAGAGAGAACAAATTTTGGGGAAAAACACACACAAAAAAATGACATGCAAATGTGGGGAAAGCAAAAAAAAAAAGGGGGAGGAGAAGAACCGTGTATCGGATGGGATTGATGAGATGCGGTGGATGTGCGCTGAATGTTGAGATGAGAAGAATCGGGGAGGAGAAACGGGACGGGGATCGATTTAGCTCAGGGGAAAAAGGCTGAAATTCAGAATTTTTCCTTCATCCATCCCCATTTGATTTTTTATAATACCTTTGACTATTTTTATAATAGCTCAACCTTTACCGTATTTTTTTAGAATTTTTAAGCTTTCTGATTGTACCGCTATACGCGAATTCATGATCCGCTAGTTTTTCTCATTTTCTAAATTTTTTCTTACAGTTTGAAGGAGTACTATATAAAAAAAATCAAGCAATTAAAAAGTTTCACTAATAGAAAGAAACATTTTTCTTTTGAATTTCTCAGATTACTCTAAAAAAAACTGACTTTTTGTGTTGTCTCTAATTGTTGGCATATTGCAGCCTTTGCAGTGTCGAGAGGATGTCGTGCATGTGATCCAAATGATTGCCCGAACGACCGAATCGCACTGAAATTCGGTAATCAGAGAGTTAATAAACATTCAACTCTCATTATTAAACTTTTAAAAAGCAATGAGAGTTGAGTGTTTTTTTTTTTTTTGATTTTTCCCAAAAAGCCATGCAGTTATTTTGCTCGGTGTTTAGGACAGTTTTTCAGCTTTCCCTTGCAGTTTTCCCTTTGAAACTCTACCTATTTACGAAGATAGTATTGTTCTTGAAAGTTTACATTTAAAATCAAATTAATTAACATGAAAAAAAGCAGCTTTATCACTTACCAAATGGTTGTGGTTGAGCGTTTCGCTTGTCCTGGGTGGAGACAGACGAGCGCTTTCCGAATCTGAAAAGTTGCACTGATGGACACGGCTATCTTTACAGTAGTCTCAGCCTATCGTACTATTCAGAGCATTCATCTCACCCCTACTATCGTACTATTATATTTCAATCCAGAAATAGGACTTACGGTAACTAGAATCCGAAACTTTCGGTAACTTTTGGTGCTAGACCCTGAATGTTAGACTAAGACTGTCTTGAAGCTAGCCGCTGTAATGTATTTTATCCCAAATCTATTGTAGATCTTAAAACCAGAGCCGAACCCTAATCATGCTATATTACCATCATCTATAGGTAAGGTTAAACGTGAGCTAGAGAAATCAGCTTTGGCACACGCTATTGGATACGAATTATTGGTGTGCTAGAAAATGGGCATTTCTAAAGTAAAGGAAAGTCAACGATCCCGATTTCAACAGGCTTCTTTTATCTAACTTTTATCTAAATATCTAACGATTTCAGCAGGCTTACCACATTGTTGTAAAAACCCGTATCTTTTCTTTTCTTTTCTCAAAAAAAAACTCCTGTTTTTAATCATTTAATCTCTTTTTTTTCTGCACTTCGATAACGGAAATGACAAAAGGATAATTAAGAAGAATTTTTCGTTTTTCTGTTCTTTCATTCATGAAATGAGAAGAAAAAAAAGACTCAAGTGAGGCATAAACACGCAAAAATGAAACAAGGAGAAGAGCGAATGTTCTTGCGGCTATTCTTTTGTGAAAAATGAAAAAGAAGAAAGAAGAAGCAAAGCAGTTTGCAATGATTTGTTTGAGCTGGTGTTTTATATACTCTGGCCTGCTTAAACGCACATTCTTTCTGGTGCACTAAATCGAAAGAAAGAAGACTGAAGCGAGTGCACTAGAAGGGCTGCGTTTCTGGCTTTAAAAGTACACTAGAAAGCTGTTAAATGGCTTGGCACTAGAAAGATGGCTTTATAGAGTGCGAATGAGATATGGCAAGTTAATTTAAAGCTTTTAAAAAATAAAAAATGTTAAATAGCCTTTGTGGTTGTTAGAAAAATGGATGAAAACTTAATTTGAAGGGGATTTTTTTTTTTTGATTCGAAAACCCACCTAACCAAGGCATTCCTCAATCCTCCATTCGGCGCGGCTCTTCCAAATCGCACAAGTGCATTGCGCATTGGGGCGGCTCGTTTCTCGAAACTGAATTACAAATCCAACTACGATTTTTCCCCATTTTCTTATTTAATCGTTGATTTGAAAGAGCTATTTTATGAAAGAGATTGGATATTTTTATCCCATATACATAAAGCAGAAAAAAAAATGGAAAAATGAAATCCGCTAATGTAACGAATCCATTAGGTGCTATGTTGAAAAAATCGCAAAATCGCAAAATAGCATCAGCAAAATGTTAAAAGCTTTGGCAAGAGACGAAAATTTTCAGAAAAACTAAGCTTTAAACTTTGATTTTTAAAACATTTACAAGTTAAGTTTAAAGATAACTCGAGGAATAGATTTCATTTTTAGCATTACTCTTAAAATGTTTCGCAGAGAATAGGAAAATTCTCTTGACAGCAACACCTGACTCTTTTGGTTCACTTGGCTCTTTGCCGCTTGACAATCGGAAACACTCATCTTTTGGCGCACTCCTTTTCAGCGGCCGTAAGGAAAGATGAGAATTTTTTTACGCCAGAAGATGTCTTTGATTTTTAGACACAAAGAACAACTTCTGTTACTAATACGGTTCAAATTTTACCTGATATCATCATCGTCTTCGAGTTGTGCCTGCGTGGAAAGTGAGAAAAGAAGAACGATCAAAAGGAACCAAGACACCAACGGATGCATTGCCGTGAGAAGTGAGCTTGGGGCAAAGGAATCCGAGGATGTCGATGAAGAGGTGAAGAGGGAAAAAGGGAAGGCGAGGGGCGGAGCCATCGATGAAGATGGCGAACAAGACAACCACTCCTTATGGGCATTCTGGAAGAAGAGAGTCTTCTCGAATTGTAGACATGTAAATAGGGATATTGCTATGTTAACACTAGCCGGATAAAGAGTTTATCAGTTTGGAGTTGAAGTTGACAAAGAAGTTTACCTAGAAATCAGGATCTAGAGGTACAACTTTCGTTTGTGCTCTGTGAGTTTATTTTCCAGCCAAACCAAGTCAGATTTTAATGCTTAATTACAGTAAGATTGTAATTCCAGGCCAAAGACAATTGAAAGCCATTGAGCTTGGTTTGGCTTGGCTTTGGCTTGGCTTGGTCTTAGCTTGGTTTTGGCTCGGCTTTGGCTTGGTTTTAGCTTGGCTTTGGCTTGGCTTTAGCTTGGCTTTGGCTTGGCTTTGCTTTAGCTTAACTTTAGCTTGGTTTTGGCTTTGCTTTGGCTTGGCTTTGGCTTTGCTTTGGCTTTGCTTTGGCTTTGCTTTGGCTTTGCTTTGGCTTTGCTTTGGCTTTGCTTTAGCTTAACTTTAGCTTGGTTTTGGCTTTGCTTTGGCTTGGCTTTGGCTTTGCTTTGGCTTTGCTTTGGCTTTGCTTTGGCTTTGCTTTGGCTTTGCTTTGGCTTTGCTTTGGCTTTGCTTTGGCTTTGCTTTGGCTTGGCTTTGGCTTGGCTTTAGTTTGTCTTAGCTTTTGAATAGCCTTAGCTTTTGGAAACAAGCAGATGACAAAGATTTTCGAGCTAGTCATAGAACAAGTTTATTCCCCCTTTTTCACACCAAAAACTGCCATCATATTTCCATTTTTGGGTTTTTCGAGGGTCGACAAAAAGAAAAAAAATTGAATTCTTTGATCCATTTTGTCTCTTTTTATCCTTTCCACCAAATTTTCGCGGCCTCATCCCAATTTGTATCTCATTTTTTTTTCAAAAGAGAAAAGGAAAAGAAAAAATGACAAAAGAGAGACTAAATATATTTAAATTAATGAGGAAACTTGGGGAACTCTTAAAGAAATTCCGAAATTTGCACTCAATTGCTATTCATTCACATCAGGACAAGGAAATGAAAAGTTTTTGAGGGGCAATTTAGAGAAAAATTATCGATGCAGCTTTTGTTTGTTGGAAAAAGGGTGAAACAAGAGTTTAACTTGGTTTGAAGTTTGAAGATCAACCAATGAATTTCAATGAAACTTTTGCTCAAAAGTTTAAAGTTTGCTTTTGTTTTATCAGAGTGCAGAAATTGTAGCTTCAAATGAAACGGAAACCATTCAATCGGTTTGATTCAAATCGAAAACGCACAAAGCAGAATGGTATCCTAATATTTGGTAGACTCAAACAAAATGATTAGCTTTAAACGATTCCCTGACCGCGAAAACCCTTGGGTACAAGTTTACAGCTAAATTTCTTCTTTTTTTTTTAGTTTGCGAGTTATCTACTGACAACTATCCCAGATCTTCAACCGCCACACTTGCAAGGAGCTAAAGGTTTACTGTTTACTGGTTTACTGTTTACTGGTTTACTAATTTACTGTTTACTGTTTACTGGTTTACTGGTTTACTTTTTACTGTTTACTGGTTTACTAATTTACTGGTTTACTGTTGATTCATTTATTGTGTTGCACTTTCTGGAGTCTTAATTATCCAAATTGTGAAACTAGAAATTGTGTGTAAAAATTGTGAAACTAGAGATTAACTTGGTTTAAGTTTAAAGATCAACCAATCAACCTTGGATGTCCACTAGCTAGATTGTAATCCAGCTAGTGGACACCCAAGCCCATGTCCCACAGTCCCAAAAATGTGTTATAGATTGTTATTTGTTCATGTGTGTACACTTAAATCTTTCACTAGGCTCAGCGAAAGACAACTAAAAAGCAATTTTTCATTTTCACCCACCAAACACGCAATCATACACTTGCAATTACATTTTTGCTTTTCTTTTCCAAAAATCTTTTCTCGCCATTTGAGCTGAAATTGATCTGTTTCCAGGGAGGGCAATTCGAGTCTAGAATTCTAGAATTCGACTCTAGAATTCTAGAATTCGACTCTAGAATTCTAGAATTTGAGTGAGCTAGAATTCTAGAATTCGACTCTAGAATTCTAGAATTCGAGTGAGCTAGAATTCTTCTTCATTCTTCTTTATTCTTCGTCATCGAAGTGTCAAATTTCTGCAAATTTTCATAAAATGACGAATTGTATCAAGAAAATGAATAAGTTTTCATTAAAGGCGGAAGGTTTAAAGGGATTTATTAATGGAATTTTGCACTCCATTCACTCTATTCGAAATGAATAGATTTCAATGACGCGATATGTATTTGTTGCTATTTTTTTTCTTCTCGCAACTACCGTATCCGATATTTTTAGCGAGATTAGGATTCGAAATTTTGAAATCTTTCATTATGATTTTCCGGAAACCTCGTTTATTGGATGACCGAGTAAACATTGAACGCGCTTTTTTTTGTGGGTGAATATTGCCGCCTGGGGCATTTTTTAGTGGACAAATTATTCAGCATCGAGAGTGAGGGAATCTTTCGTTGCATTCCCGTTTACAGAAAAAAAATCTTAAAAAGATTGATATTTTTGAAAGCGAAAATGAATCATACGGTAGAGATTGATTGCCCCGTTAACGTCTGATCAAAGAAAATTCACAGAAAGCAACATAAACTTGAGCAATTCCTCTTTGCAATTCAGTGTGCGTTCCTCTTTGTTAGTATCTTTTCTAAAAGGTATCAACTTTCTACCGTAATCTTGTCCTGGTGGATTTTTTAACCCTTCCTAAATCAGACCAAAAGTTGATCAATTTAGAGGAAACGGTAGTAGGGTACGGTAGTAAAACCCTCAAAACCTTACTTAAGATAAGTCAAAGCCTCACTTAAGACAACTTAAAGCCTCACTTAAGACAACCCAAAGGCTCACTTAAGACAACTCAAAGGCTCACTTAAGACAACTCAAAGGCTCACTTAAGACAACTCAAAGGCTCACTTCAGTTAACTCAAATCATTCAAACTGTATTGCCAGATTATCCTGATGATTAATAAATTTTATAAATTTTGTCGATAATTTTCAGAATCTAAACCACTTTTGTGAGAGAATTTCATTCAGAAAAAGAGTTCAGAAAAGATTCAGAAAAGTTCTGAGCCACTGAATCAGAAAGGAGAAAGCGACCGGAAATGTGAATTCATAAAAATCGGATTTAGAGAAGAGAAAATCCGATAACTTTGGAGAAAATTTGGAGAAAACAGTTGAGTGGATTGATGGGTGGATCTCTGTTAAATCTTTTGAGATTCACAAAGATGTTTTAGAATTGAAAACACTTAGATTTTCTTCCATCAATCCACCCTCACTTTGAGTCAATCAGCGTCGGCATTTGGGGACTTTTTCTTTAGTCGCTTTATTAAAACTAGTTTTACTTTATTTTTCCGTAATTCATTAACTTGTAAGTGGCTTTTGTTCGGTGATAGTACAACGAAGGAAAGTTTGATTTTGAACTACGTCAAATTATGAGTGAATTATTGTCGTTGTATTGGATTTAAACTTAAATTTCGATAAAGTTTCTCGTAGATTTACTCAGATTTTGTTTTATTATCACATAAAGAATCATTTCTTTTTTTAATAATTTCAATAATTCATTTTAAATTCAGATTTCTACAATGTCTTTAACAAGACAATCGACAAAAAGTCTCACTCATGGCGTCGAAATCGTCTTTGGCGTTGTTTACAAGGTTCGTGTTCAAATAAAGAATTGAAAACTTTTAATTGAAAAGTTTTAGATTTTTTTCCTATCATCTCTCGTCGTTAACGTTATTCTGTGCTTTCTTTTCACCGGAATTATGTACTATTCACATTCAAGGAAACAGGTTCATTCATGTTAATCATTATCTAGATTATCTAGATAGATATAGATCTAGATAGATATAGAGCTAGATATCTAGGTATCTAGATTATCTAGATAGATCTAGATAGATATAGATCTAGATATCTAGGTATCTAGATTATCTAGATAGATCTAGATAGATCTAGATAGATATAGATCTAGATATCTAGGTATCTAGATTATCTAGATAGATCTAGATAGATCTAGATAGATATAGATCTAGATATCTAGGTATCTAGATTATCTAGATAGATCTAGATAGATCTACATAGATATAGATCTAGATATCTAGGTATCTAGATTATCTAGATAGATCTAGATAGATCTACATAGATATAGATCTAGATATCTAGGTATCTAGATTATCTAGATAGATCTAGATAGATCTAGATAGATTTAGATAGATATAGATAGATATAGATCTAGATAGATATAGATCTAGATAGATCTAGATAGATATAGATCTAGATATCTAGGTATCTAGATTATCTAGATAGATCTAGATAGATCTAGATAGATATAGATCTAGATTATCTACATTATCTACATTATCTACTAACATTCTAGGCACTCCATCCCGCTTTTCTTCGATGCTCTTTTGCATTTATTGGTTTGAAAATGAAAAGTATATAAATCAATTTTCGTTTAGAGCTGTTTCTTTTCTATTTTGAGGTCATTGTGTTAAGTGTTTTAAAGAAAACGACAAAATTGTTCTGGCTTGGCTTACTTTTGGCGGTGAGTTGTAGTCGAGTTCGATCGATTCATTGCAAAAGTTCGATGCAAGATTTTAGTAGTTTTCGGAAGCTATTAGGCTTTCTACGATCGTAAACTAGTTTAAACACTCTTCATTTTCCAGTTCTCACGTGTCATTTTGATTATTTTCTGTTTGACGATGTTTTTATATACACATGAGACGTACACAGATTGGTTGATCATCTATGCACAAGGTGAATAACGCTTTTGCATTCAAACAAATCTAGATAAGATTTTATCGTTGATCATCGTTGATCAGTCGTTGATTATCGTTGATCATGGTTGATTAATCGTTGATCAATTGTTGATCAATTGTTGATTATCGTTGATTATCGTTGATCAATCGTTGATCATCGTTGATTATCGTTGATCAATCGTTGATCATCGTTGATCAGTCGTTGATCAGTCGTTGATTATCGTTGATCAGTCGTTGATCATCGTTGATTATCGTTGATCAATCGTTGATCATCGTTGATCAGTCGTTGATCAGTCGTTGATTATCGTTGATCAGTCGTTGATCAGTCGTTGATTATCGTTGATCAGTCGTTGATCATCGTTGATTATCGTTGATCAGTCGTTGATCATCGTTGATTATCGTTGATCAATTGTTGATCAATTGTTGATTATCGTTGATCAATCGTTGATTATCGTTAATCATCGTTGATCAATCGTTGATTATCGTTGATCATCGTTGATCAATCGTTGATTATCGTCGAGTATTGTTAGCCAATTCGATTTTACAATCTAGTGCCGACTGGCTGACTGGCTAAGAGCTCTGTATCTTAGTTGGGCAAGGGTTCAATCCTGCCGACTAGATTATTAATTCTTTCCATATGGGTTTCTTTTTTCTTCTCTACATTTAGAGCTTAGAGCTTGTGCTTTTGTACTACATCATTCGTGTAAATGTATTTTTTTAAACGTAGTTTATCCTCTAATCATTTCAGGTCATCAATCGATCCCCGGTTTGCTCATCATTCTTTCTATCGCCATTTTTTGTGTCGAGGTGATCGTCATAAAAAAGTCGGTTTAATTTCAACGATAAAGAATGTAAGATGTAACAAAAAAAATAAAAGCTTTTAGATATCATACCCTCAAAGAGATGATCGATCCGGGGAGACAAGAAGTGGTGGGTCGCATTATTTGGCAAAAACAAACAAAGAATTACATTATTTGGCTAGCTATTTGAGACTAAATTGATCTATAGACGACTACAAATTCTATCGTAATCTGATTTTGTTTATGTCTATTGTATATGTTGTGTCCGATTTAGATTTCCGTCCGATTTAGATTGAACTTATCGCGGACGTCCGATTTAGATTCAATCTAAATCTTATAGTATGATTGAACAATAATATAAACATGCTTAATATATGTTCTTAAGCGTTTTCTGTAGTTTTTAACTTTAATAGGTATAATAGATAAGCATTTAATAGACAAGAAAAAACAAGAAAACAAAAAATTCTCAAAAAAACAAAAAAATGTAATCAATAAAAGACCTTTGAAAATGCGCAGAAAACTACAGAAAACGCTTAAGAACATATGTTAAGCATGTTTATAATAAAAAAAATATTATTGTTCAATCTATATAAGATTTAGATTGAATCTAAATCGGACGTCCGATATAGACTGTAATCTAAATCGGAGGTCCGCGATAAGTTCAATCTAAATCGGACACAACATATACATTTTTCAGAACATACGCAAAGACTCGATAAACACCTCGAATTACGATATGAAACAAGCGCTGAAAGAGATGAGACGAGCAAGGCGAAAAAAGGAAAATCAAGAGAGAAATCCGTCAACGGTTTGTGAATGAAAAAAAAAGAGAAATTTTGAAATTAAACGATTCGATTAATCTTTACTTGTCGATTAATACTTTATCGACTAATCTTTACTTGTTTCATGTTTTGAAACAAACAAACATTTGAGCTTTCAGGGATCTTCCGAAGAGGAAAAAAATGAACCAAAACAATGAATCTTCTCAACAGAAAGTGTGGATTGAAAGCTTTTGAAAAATGAAAATGCAAATATTATCTTAATAAACGAATTCAAAAAGCATAGATTTATAATCAGCTAATCAAGAAAATCTCAATCAATTTGTGCTATCGAGTTTTTTCAATAAGCTGATTGAATCGTCTTATCCAAAGTAGTCTCTCAACGGCAAAAAAGGATTTTGAGGTGAATTTTGAGGTAATAGGAAACCCAAGTTTTCAAGATGATTTCAAAAAAAAAACATCAAAAAGATGGAAACTTAGAAATTTGAGTTTTTAATGAATAACTCTTATCAGTGATTTAGTTTTTTAAATGCTTTTACCTTGCATATTTTAAACGAATCGCATTTTAAACGAATCGCTTCATAAAAAGAAGGAGACAAGAAGTGGTGGGGTTTGAAAGAAAAAGAAACAAAAAATAAGCGCATTCTAGAAAATCTGAAAGTTTGAAGTTTGACTAAGAACGACTAAGAACCATAACCTAGAAGTTTTAAATACAAAATCTAGATGTTGACTGAACTGTTGACTGATCCTGTTGACTTTTCAAATCTTTACGTGTCGCAGGCTTAAAGGAATTTTTGAAAATGTCGACATTTTTTTCAAATATTTCTCAATACCATTCGATTCGAATGCTTTCTGAAACGTTCTTTCATCGAAATACGTGTGTAATCATTTCGATACCGTTATCAAGAATAAATAATTGAATGCCCATATTGAATAATTTGTTATTTTTTAAATGAATATGATTATTGTTGTTAATTTTAAATAAAGTTTACATGAATTCGTTCATATTTCATTACGATACACGGTTCTGAGTCTGTAAGTCTACCGGGCCAACGCTCTACCGGGCCAACGCTCTACCGGGCCAACGCTCTACCAATCAGCTCTACCAATCAGCTACACCGATACGTACACTACTGGACAATGAAATATCGTATTTGAAAAACGATCGTCACTTTCGCGCGTCTGTAACTCCCTTGTCTTTACCGTATTTCTAACTATTAATATTATCATTGTGTAGCCCTTGAAAAAGAGCTTTCAGAAAATGTAGAACACTAATAGTTTAAACTCAAAGTCAATGGAGTTACGGACGCGCGAAAGTGACGATCGTTCTTCAAATATGATATTTCATTATCCAGTACGGTATGCCGCACCCTGTATTGCAAATTTAGCCACCTACCGTAAATACTGTAATAGTACCCCACCCTCATAAGGACGGTGCGGAGTGTTGCGTAGTGTAGCTTTGAACGAGTTTTTCTCGACACTGGTTTATGCTACAATGCGCGCTTAGATATAAAAAAATAGCTGAAATTCAGGGCTATTTTTTAGTATCAAAGACGCATTTTTTGAAAGTACGGGTGCTTTGCAAAAAATAAAATACTAAAAAACTTTTGCGACTACGCGACTGTACGAGGGGGGTGGGGTACTATTACAGTATTTACGGTATTTTCTTTCAGCAATCAGTACTTTTAGAAATCGAATTTAAATTAAGTGTTCTGGAGAAATTGATTGATTTTCTTGAATTGACAATCTTTTTATTATAGAGAATAATAAATATTCAGTGAAACTGAGAAATTGAAATCATTTCCTTTTTAAGACTTTTTCATTATGCAGAACACAAAACAAAAAAAACCTAAAGTGAAGCGAAATCAATCTTTCGTTTATCAATCAATCAATGGCGCAATCTTTCGACCACGCTGAGAACGAGCCACCGAAAGTTGGTCGCGGCGAGCGAGTTGATTGTAAAAGTGCGTTTTTTTTTCGATAAAAGGCGTTTTAAAAAAATCGAGTCAGACGAATTTCGATAATTTCTTCACCATTCGATTCAACACAATTTTCTGCGTCAAATGGATATTCAAACGTGAAATTCTGATAGAGAACGTTTTTTTTTGCCTTATTTCGCGCGGATGTGCACCCTGTATTGCAAATTTAGTCACCTATTTTCTTTCAGCAAGTGAACTTTTAGAAATCGAATTTAAATTAATCTTTCTGGAGAAAATTGATTGATTTTCTTGAATTGACAATCTTTTTATTATAGAGAATAATAAATATTCAGTGAAACTGAGAAATTGAAATAATGCATTATGCAGAACACAAAAAAAACCTAAACCAAAGTCAACCGAAATCCAGAAACCCGTTAAACTTTTAGTAATCACAGACAACATTAAAATCGAATCATTTCCTTAAATCAATTTGCAGCTTCAACTTTTTGGAGTACAATCGCCGGTTGATCGAATCCGAATTGATCATTTAAATTGAATTTTTCAACGGGGAAATGTTCAGTGAATAGAGAACCCTCGGATCGATGCCAGAAAATGCCCAAAAGACGGAAACCTAAGGATTCGATTTGATTCGATTGCTATTATAGAGAAAGATTCGATTCGATTCAATTACTATTATAGAAAAAGATTCGATTGCTATTATCGAATCTGTAATCCTACCTTGCATCATCCACCGTAAACGAATCGGTCCGTAAATTCGATGCGCATTCCAGACAAGAGCATCGTCACTTCAAAAAGTTTGCCTTTCATTTTCATGTTTCCAAAATTCAACAGAAATTCCCCTCACCAACAGGAAATCCGAGAATGATGACCCCGTTGTCTTTCAATAAACATCGAACTTTGGCCATTTCTCTTAAATCTCCCCATGGATCGAGTGGATCACCGTATCTGGAAACTTGAATAAAATTCGAGTTTGGAAATGGAACTGATTCTTTGGTTCCATTTCCAAAAATGGAACTGATTCTTTAAAATGAGATCGTTAATCTTGATCTCATCTTTTTTACAATCTCTCAACCCAACCAACCTTCCTAGCCCACTGTGTTCAAGTGAAGAGAAGCTGATGATGAAATCGAAGAAACGGTCGAATCTGAATTTGTCAAAGTTGAAAGTTTTGAGTACCAGTTAGGATAAGATTTTCGATATTTACGCGAAAAAAAAACACTATAGACTTGTGAAAACAAGAGGCTAATCAATTTCTCAATCAAATCAATAATACCCTCCTCAACCCCATTGTTTATCTGATTTCCTTTCTCTAACCTTGTCCAATTCTTTCCCACTTCAAATGGATGAATCCAGCTGATCGCTTTTTCAGACTAAAATTGAAATTTTGAGAATAAAATTTGCTTCTTTAACTTTAATCTTGATCTCTTGATATTCCATTGTTAGAATCGAAGCGGCACCGGCTCGAAGAGAAAAGATTTCAGCCTAGAGTATGTAACTGTATGCAATGTAACTGTAATATAACTGTAATGTAATGTAACTGTAATGTAATGTAACTGTAATGTAATGTAACTGTAATGTAATACAACTGTAATGTAATATAACTGTAATGTAATGCAACTGTAACTGTAATGCAACTGTAACTGTAATGTAACTGTAATGTAATGTAACTGTATGTAATGTAACTGTAATGTAATGTAACTGTAACTGTAATGTAACTGTATGTAATGTAACTGTATGTAATACGACTGTATGTAATGTAACTGTAATGTAACTGTAATGTAATGCAACTGTAACTGTAATGCAACTGTAACTGTAATGTAACTGTAATGTAATGTAACTGTATGTAATGTAACTGTAATGTAATGTAACTGTAACTGTAATGTAACTGTATGTAATGTAACTGTATGTAATACGACTGTATGTAATGTAACTGTAATGTAACTGTAATGTAATGCAACTGTAACTGTAATGCAACTGTAACTGTAATGCAACTGTAACTGTAATGTAACTGTAACTGTATGTAACTGTAACTGTATGTAATGTAACTGTAATGTAATGTAACTGTAATGTAACTGTAATGTAATACAACTGTAATGTAATGTAACTGTATGTAATGTAACTGTAAATCTCAAATCTTCATAATTAACTAGAAATAAGCTTTGGCTTGTTTATAAAGTAAGAAATCAATCATAAAATAAACCCATGGATTTTGCGATCCAATAACAGCTCCATTTTTTCCTTTAAAATGATCTTTATAACGAGAAATTGCATCAATGACGGTTTCTGAAAAGGAAAAGCTCTATAAAAAAAAAGCTTATTCAACTTTCGTTCTTTAGTTTCTTATTTCTTTTTTTAAATCTTTACGTGTTGTAGTCCCATATGTGGACTTTTTGAAAATGTTGACTCCTTCTTTCAAATTTTCATCAATATCATTCCATTCGGTTGCTTTTGGCACTGATCTTTCATCAAAATACCTACAAACAAATAATCAAATAATTATTTTATAAGAATTACCATTTTGATATAGGTATTCGTCCAAATAATGTATACTCATTCCAAAGATTTTCTGGTACTTTCTCTGGCGCTTTATCGATTGGTGTCTGATTTGTGGTGAGCATCCATTTGTTGAAAATCTTTTGTGAAATGGATTTATTGGGTTGGTGAATTGAAAACTGCCGGCTATTGTCATATGTGACAGTTTGAGCACTTTCTTCAAAAGAAACCCATTTTGGTGTCAATGGAAAAGTTGTAGAGAATCAAAAATCAAGCTTATATCCAAATTTTCAGTACGATTCAAAAACTGGTTTTCAAGAAATGCCAAATTTACAAATTTTCACAAAACTTGCATTTTAAGCGAAACTACTCAGTGTATCTTTTTGGAAATTTGGCTATAAGCCTCATTTTTGATTCTCTACAACTTTTCCATTGACACCAAAATGGGTTTCTTTTGAAGAAAGTGCTCAAATGCTCAAACTGGGACATCTCCAGTCCTCGATTTTTGAGTCTCACACTTGTCTCACACACAAACCAAAATCCTACTACGAAAGAGGAATCCGCAAATTGCCTGTAAAATGAGCACAAGTCGTCAATAATAATGAAAATTATTTGGAATGAATTTATGGTTTTATTTTGAATAAATCTTAGTTCAAGTCCCGCAGTTTTCAATTCACCAACCCAATATATTCTTTTTATCTATTTATAAGAATAATCAATGATCTGAATAAATTTTGTGCCTGATGTTGCAAAACTGACTCGCTTTAAAATAAATAGCCTTGTTTGGGAACTTTGGGCGCATTCCCCATAGAGTCCGGACCTCGCCCCTTTTGATTACTATTTATTCCGGATCATGAGTAATGGGCTTGCGGGAGAACACTTGGATGCGGAAGAAGCAGTCAGAAATTGGCTTTGAAAGTTTTTCGATTCAAAACCAAAACCCTACCACGAAAGAGGAGTCCGCAAATTGCCTGTAAAATGGGCAGAAGTCGTCAATAATAAATGGAGATTATTTGGAATGAATTCATGGTTTTATGTTGAATAAATTTTAGTTCAAAGTCCGGCAGTTTTCAACTCACCAACCCAATAGATGAACTACAACTACAATAGATAAACCACAACTACAAGACTCACCTCATCACACGTTTCTCCAACAATTTTTCCTCTCGCTTTTATTTCTTCTTTTGATGAAATTCTAATTTTTAAGAATGATGGCTTCGGTTTCTCGGCAGGACTTGGCTCGAAAACTTTGACGATTTTTGGTTCTGGGGGATCAGGAGATTTTCTAGAATTTATTTTTGGCTACATTCTGGTATTGATTTAAAACTTATATCACTTTCTGTGTGGCCATTTTCATCTCATTGTGATTTCTCCGTAACATCACCATCAAACAAGAGAAAGCGACAAGAAAAGTAGGGTTAAGAATGCCGTTTTTAACTCCATTCTGAAAAATTTCATAAGGAAAAAGGGGAAATGGGATAAAAAATCAAATCAAATAAGACTGCAAATTATTAGATTTTTCAAAAAAAAGGATTAAGCTTATATTCTGGAATCGATTGGGTTTATAAATGGAATTGTGACACAAAAACAATTGTGCGTGTGCGATTCACTTCACTTGGAATGGAAGGGTAAACAGTTGTGCGTGTCTACTTTAAGAAAATGACTCAAATTTTCTTTTACTTAAGATATAAATAATATGATAAATGAAAGGTTAGAAAGGAATTTTAAAAATGTTAAAAAGAATGGTTGAAAGGGCAAAAAAAAAAGGGTGTAGAAATGTAGAAAGTCGTTTAGAAAGAATTGATGAATGCTCAAGATGCATCCGGGCAACGGGCAAAGGATAGGTGAAAAGAAAATGAGAAAAACGATGAGAATTGTCTGACAAAATTTGTACAATATTGTGTGATTGGTTTTAACAATTCGATTAGACTTCTTTTAGTGTATGTGTCACTTTTTTTTTGATTTGATTGAGCTAAATCTTTGAGTTAAAAAGGGATAAATGGCGACTCATCGTTAAAAGACAATGTTTTTGTTGTTTTTGCTTGTTTCTCAGAAATGGCTGAGCTAAAATTTCGAGAAATTTATGAGAATATGCAAATTTATCTTCTCTACCAGAATCTAATTTGAAAATTCGACTCAAAATACTCTTGAGCTAGTTGAATTACCCAAGTGACAGTGCTCAGTTGCTAGACTAGATCGAGATCACCACGAATGGAAATGGCCAGCCAAGGCACCTTTGTGGGCGAACGCCTATTGTGCGAGATTTAATATGCGTCGCTATCCGTTCAACTCCATTGTGTGCAAGACGAGACCAACGCCTGCTAGACGAGTTCTGTATAAAAAGCAATGTGAGCGAGCTGAAAGCTGTGAACGAGCCGAGGTGTGCCGTGGAGTCGTCTCTACTCTCCCAATCCCAAACCACTGAACCAACTATTATTGCTGTAATAAAGATTATATCTAAACCACCAATAATCACTACAGGGTATAAACTTTAAAGCTAGAGAGCTGGCTCAAGTCTGATTGTGATTAATTGATTGTGATCAAAATTGATTGTGATTAATTGATTGTGATCAAAATTGTGATCAATAAAGTTGTTCGTAAAACAAATGCCAATGAAATGTTCAACTCTAGAAATCGATTTAAAAACCGATAATCAATATGTAGAAGTTTACAATTGGAAATGAGCAAAATGCAGGAGAATTGTGTTTGCATGGCGATGGGATTATTCTTGTTTTTTTAATGAGTTTTTACGATCTTTATTAAAGATGAACGATGCAAGAAGAAAAGAATTCGGCTCGTTAAAATAACTATTGTATTCTCTCTAATAGTAGTGCACCCAGCCAAGCCGGTTTCGAAGTTTTCGCAAAAAGCTCAACCCTCTAATCCCCCCGCAAGATCTCATCGTCAGCTACATTTTCCGATCCCACATCGATAGGTTCTGATAAGCGGTTCTCGAGATTTCGAGGAATTTAGGCAAAGCTTAGGGTGCACTAGTATTAGAGAGAATACGGTATATAATTTTTCATTTCCATTTCCATTGCTCACTCAATTTGTTTTCATGTAATTAAGTGTTGTCGTAGGTTTAGATCTGTTTGTAATTGGAAAAGAAAAGAAATGGAATTGAATGGAATGGAATGGAAGAGTGTTTTTATGTGATAAATCGGTTTTGATCCAGTGGAACAGTCGTTCAAGATCTGGGGAAAAAGAGGACAAAAGGGTGCGTTTAAGAATTTGAAACGCACTGTATTAAAAGAAAATACGGTATATTATTCCAGGTTAGGCTAGTAGATCAGACTCATCTATTTCCCTAATATTTCCCGGTGAGCCGAGTTGATGACGATTTTACAGTTGATGACGACGTTTCCACCTTTATTCTCCTTTGCTTCTTTGCTCGCCTTTTTGTTGAACGATTTGAGTGAGAAACTAAAAGCTAAAGAACTAAAGCTTTACTACTTCTTTTTTGTTTTCTTGAATCCTCCTTTTTTTCAAGAGAATCAAGAAAGTTGAAAACAAATATCAATACAAACTTATTTATAGTACATTTGTAAATGAAAATTTGCATTTGAACTAAGTGTTTCATCGAAATCTCTTTGTTTTCTCTTTTTTTACTTCCAGTCATTTCTGTTATAGTTTGTTTTTGGTTAAGACGTTAGCTAAAGCTATTTTTAAGGGTTTGAATTGCTGAACTGTTCACTGCTCACTCTTGTTTTATTAGCTTTTCTGATTAGAGTTACAACTTTGTTCAAATTTTTCAAAATTTTAACGATTACGTTTATTAATTCCTTGAATAGCAAAGCGAATGGATGGATTTCAAGAAAGATTTACAACAAATCAAGTTTAATGACATCAAATCTTTGAAATCAAATCTTTAACAACAAATCTTTGACATCAAATCTTTAACATCAAATCTTTGAAATCAAATCTTTAATATCAAATCTTTAACATCAAATCTTTAGCATCAAACCTTTGAAATCAAATCTTTAATATCAAATCTTTGACATCAAATCTTTAGCATCAAATCCTTAACATCAAATCCTTAACATCAAATCTTTAACATCAAATCTTTGAAATCAAATCTTTGGAATCAAATCTTTGGAATCAAATCTTTAATATCAAATCTTTGACATCAAATCTTTAGCATCAAATCCTTAACATCAAATCCTTAACATCAAATCTTTAACATCAAATTTTTAGCATCAAATCTTTGACATCAAATCTTTGAAATCAAATCTTTAACAACAAATCTTTGACATCAAATCTTTAACATCAAATCTTTGAAATCAAATCCTTGAAATCAAATCTTTGGAATCAAATCTTTAACATCAAATCTTACTGTACAGCATTTCAAATTTTCATATTTAATCATGCGCAAAAAACATTTATGACAATCAAGACAATGCTCGTTAAAACAGTTTTTTTTGCCATTTGCCTCCTCTCAAAAGCCACCCCCAAAATCACCGCCACCACCGCCGAAATCCCCGCCGCCAAAGTCATAACCACCTAAAATTTTAAAAATTATGTAGCGAAGAATTGTTGAATTTATTAGTAACAATCAAAATCAACGATAACTATTATATTCAGCTGATAAACTTTCTAAACCTCCGCCAAAATCACCGCCTCCACCGTAATCATATCCACCACCATCTCCATAATTCCCACCACCGTAATCCCTCCGCCTATAAAGTGTAAAGTGGTTTGTATTTTGAAATCTCAAATCGCCTACCGTAACCTCCATTGTCGTAGCCACCATAATCGCCTGAAAAGAAAAAGAGTGCACATTAGAATCTGGGTTCCAAACCTTGATCATAACCACCTCCATTTTCGTAGCCACCATAATCGCCTGAAAAGAAAAAGAGTGCAAATTAGAATCTGGCTTTCAAACCTTGATCATAACCACCATCATTGTCGTAGTTTTCACTGTCGGCCCCGGCCTAAATATCGGCCTTTCCTCCCACTTTCTTGTCTCACAATACTTTAGAAAAGTATAAAGTATTCAAACAATAAGCCTACACTTTTCCCCATTTGTACCTGAGTGTCTCCCTCCGGCTGCTGCTTCTCCTCCGTCAACCGGGCCCGCACCTGCAGCAGCATCTCCCCTCCCGCCGGTTGCTGCCCGCTCGGATCGTTTCCCCATAGTACCTGTTGACCGTCGTAGTGTCGTTATTCTGCAGAAATTCGTTTATGCACCTTGATCATTTCCATCCTCTCACCGAATAATATCCACCGCCAAAACCACCCATCGGCCCATAGAAGCCCATTGACCACCCCAAAAACTGCCCATGCCTGAAAAGATGGGTAAAGCTTTTGAAATTCTCGAAAAGTCGAAATTTTACCATATCCAACCATTGACCCAAGCAACAACCCGGTGAGCATTCGATCATCACCACCTCCGTATCCTCCTCCAAAACCCGGTTGTTGCACAATTACTAGAGGAATTTTTGATCTTGTATAAGTTGATCAACTTACCAACAACTCATAAATAGCTACCCTAACCATTACAGTACATTACTATTACATTACAGTTTATCTGTTACCTGTAGACCTGACAGGTTGTGGAAAATAGCCTCCATTGCCTGGTTGATAGTTTCCACTAAAGTTCAAAAGTTTGTGTTCTGCTCAAGAATAGCTTACTTGACTGATGGATAGGCAGGCGGTGGACCTGATTTACCATCTAAGCATGATGCAATTGTAAACAAAAAGAATATTGTAAATATACTCACTATTTATTTGTTGCTGTCTTGGAAAATCGGGATTATTTCCAAGTTGTTGGTGTGGTGCTTCGGATGGTGGAGGAGGTTGTTGTGGCGGTGGAGGTAGGGTTTTTCCGATTTCCACAAACCAGGATCTGAACTTGGAATGGAAATGATGAACATTCTTGTTTCAACGTTTACTCGATATCACTCGCCGTCTTGAACAACAGCCAATAGACTTTAGAAGCATTCTGATCTATTCCAATTCCGGACAAGCAAATGCCTTGACGCGTCTTTCGGAAGGTCCGGCTTTTTGCCTAAACTTTGAGTTAAAGAAATTAATAATAATAACAAAAAGAAAACGATTCAAATCAAACCCGGCATTTTATCCGTCATCAAACCGACACAAATGTATTGAACAACATTTCTGAGAAGGATTGTGCCGATCGGAGAATGAGAGTCCTGAAATTTAGGTCTCATTTGAATCATTGGAACTGTTAAAACTGTTAAAACCTGTTAAAACCTGTTAAAACCTGTTAAAACCCAAATTCTATTTGTAAACGATAGAATACTCACTTTATCTTTGAACCATGTCAATTGAGAGTCATTGTAGAGCACAAAATGTTCTCATTCCAATCCCTCCACAGCAACTTTTCTCGTAGATCTGGATGGATCCCTCTTTTGTTTGCAGGGAGTTTACATCTAAAGCTTTTAATGATACTCAATGATTAAATGATTGACGACAAAAATGAACAGTTCCAACATTTCCAATCGCCATCTAGTTATATCAAAATTAAATCGCTGGTCGGCTTAGGAACTTCGACTTAGATATTCGCAAAGTTTTTGAAAAAAGTGAACGAGTGCTGTATAGAATTGTGAAGTGTTCAACAAGTCACCAACCTATTTTCCCTTTGTCATTGCTGGATGGGCAACAAATGATATGGAATTACGGCTTGGTGTACTAGCTGTTTTTCATTGAAATCACAAAATGTACTCGGTTCTAATGATTTGAGATTTGTTTCATTGTTACTCGTGTCCATTTTTATGCCTGTTGCCTGGGGTTACCCTCTGATTTTGAGGGTTTTTTGGGGAGTCAAGAGAAAAGAAAAACTCGTAATTAGCTTGAAAGTTTTCCTCTTTGTTTTTATGAACGTTTTGAAATTGCAGGAAAGATTAAGAAATGGGTTATTTTGGGGGAACACTAAAAGATTAGTTTTCGCGTTTCCGCGTTGACTAAAAATATTAGTTTCCGCGTTGCCGGGTACAGCGTCAAAGGCTTGAGTTTTCTTGGCTAAAACAATGACAGAAAATAAGAAAAATGAGTGTAAAGCTCTAGAATTTCTGTAATATATAAAGATGTTTTCTTAAAGACAACTATTTTAGAAAACTATCGTAATCAAATCGTTAGCTCTGATTACGATAGTTTTACAAATCGTTAGCTCTTCAAACAGCCAAATTCTGGTATCATTTGATGGGGGAATTCGATAGACAATGAGATCAAAAAGCCAATGAGATCAATGGCTTTATTCAATGTAAACTAAAAGTTTGTTTACGATAGCTTTAGTGTAAATGAGTTTGATTAACATTAAAGCCAAAAAATCAAGTACTAGTTGGGATTTTAAATTCTGAGAAACCACAAAGGCTTACGAAAATATACTATGACAAGAAAACGTAAACCTCAAAGAATAAATTTAGGTCAGTTAATGTTACCGTAACTAAAGCTCAAACTATTGTACTGTTTCGATATTTCTCTGAATTGTTGCCTTCAATAAACTCTTCAATTTGAACTTATAACCGACAATTTTCAAAAGAAAAACTCTAGATCTTTGCACAAGATTGTCACCGATGAACTTACATATTGTTTTCGCCAAAAAAAGTTAATGAACAAGTTATGAAGCCGGTTTTTTTTTTGCTTCAACTCTTTTGTTTGAGAAGGATTCGAATAAGTGAAAAAAAGAGTCTCGATAATTTGTGTCTTTCAATAGTTAGTTCATTCATTAGTCACACCATTCTCAATCACAATCAAACCACATTAAACCTATTACAAATCATTCGACGTGTTGCTTTTATGTTTTATGAGAGTTATGCGCTGTTAACACGTCTGTACAAGAAAAACGTAAACCTCTGAGAAAAAGTTTTAGGTCAATGGAATGCTACCGTAACTAAAGCTCAAACTATTGTACATGTTTTAGATATTTCTCTGAATTGTTGTCTTCAATAAAACCCTTTCAATTTGAACTTATAACCGAAAATTTTCAAAAGAAAAACTCTGAGATCTTTACACAAGATTGTCACCGATGAACTTTACATATTGTTTCGCCAAAAAATGAAGGAAGTTAACACGTCTTACAAGAAAAACGTAAACCTCTGAGAAAAGCTTTAGGTCAATGAATGTTACCGTAACTAAAGCCTTCAAACTATTCGACGGTACTTTGGTTACTATAACAACTTTTAACTGGATTACAATAGCCGAGTCGGGCTCTCAAAAAAGCTTAAAAGTGAAAGAAAAGTGATATATTTTGACAAATGATCGTAGTACACAAGATCACACAGTTAGCAAAGACTTTTCTACGCCAATACTGGGCTTTAAATTTACCTTGAGTATTTCAACAAAGAAACAATATTGGAGCTGATCTTTGCGCGTAGACATTGTCAAAAAAAAAATCGGCTTTCTTATGCTTTTGCACAGTTTCACTTGTCACTTTTCTCTGTTCATATCACGACTTTCATTCAACTTTCTGCTTATGAATTCAATTTCACTTCCCCAAGGGATGCAATTTTTTTTCACTTCCCTTGATCTTACCAAAGATTGACCTTCCTCAAAAAAAAAATTTTTTTTTTTTTTTTTTTTTTTTTTTTTTTTTTTTTTTTTTTTTTTTTTTTTTTTTTTTTTTTTTTTTTTTTTTTTTTTTTTTTTTTTTTTTTTTTTTTTTTTTTTTTTTTTTTTTTTTTTTTTTTTTTTTTTTTTTTTTTTTTTTTTTTTTTTTTTTTTTTTTTTTTTTTTTTTTTTATCACCAAGGAGGGGGGGACTGAAAAAAGAAGCAATTTTTGGATTTATATCTATCTGAAATTAAGATTAGTTATCTAAAAATAGATCTTGGGCTTAGGGAATGATTTCTTTTTGAGAATGATTTGAACTATGATCTCTAATCTCTAATCAAATATGTTATTATTATTATTTAAATTCAAAAGAAGCTTCGGTTTTTAAGATCAATGATCTAAATATTCTAAATATTCTAAATAATTCATTCTAACCAATCCTTTTTGATCATTTGAAAGCCATTTAAAACCACAGAAAATTTTAAAGTAACAATCTTTCTCATTCCCAATAAATCAAGTAATCCATTTCCTCAGCTTTTTTTCCATTTTCATCACATTATGTAAATCTTAGAAAGCAAATTAGTGTGTGAAAGGAGAAAAGGGAAAGTTTAGTGACTTTTGCAAGCGGGAAACGGACGGTGCCATTGTCAGTCGTCAGTCTGAAGAAAAGGAAAAGGAAACAGAGGAAACAGAGCTTCTCCATTAACTCTCAATTTAGCCTTCACTCCAATTTGAGAATTAAAAAAAAGAAAGAAAAGGAAAGAAAAAGCACTTTCCTTTTTGTGCCTCAAAATGGATGTCTCCTTTTCTCTTTCTCTCACTTTTTTTTTTCAACTTTCTCTCAATTTTTGGATGAGAGTTCTAAGGGCATTTCTCCATTCATTGTTCTCCCCTTTCTTTCTTTTTTTTCATCTTTTGAAGAATAATTTTCTCTTCTTTTTCTCAGCGAATTTTCATTTTTAAACTCATGCTCACCTCTCATTTGAAACTAAAGTCTTTTGAGTTGAGGTATTTCTAAATAGAGATCGGTTATTAGACTCTAATTTTTACAAGTTTTGGTAGGTGTTTGCTACTTTTGAATACTGTTATTGGTATTAGATACGTTTAGTATATAATACAAATAACGGTTAGTACCTAATACAAATAACGGTTAGTATCTAATACCAATAACGGATAGTATCTAATACCAATACTAAATGTATCTAATACTAAACGTATCTAATACTAAACGTCTCTAATACTAAACGTCTCTAATACTAAACGTATCTAATACTAAACGTCTCTAATACTAAACGTCTCTAATACTAAACGTCCCCAACACTAAACGTCTCTAATACTAAACGTCTCTAATACTAAACGTATCTAATACCCTAGTGCATATCGTATTGTACAATTAGTACTTACAATTAGTATACGATATTGCAGGGCTCAGTTACTTTACCTCCATAGTACCCTAGTCTGATATCAAACGTCTTTATATGCCTTATTAGCCCTTGGATCCCAAAGTAATTATATTAGCTCTGTAGTATACTTGTAAGCTTTTGTATTGGCAAATTCGATTCTAAAGTTCTTATATAGCACTTCATTATGGAGTACTCCAACATTCTGAAGCTTCTACATCCTAGAATTCTAGTATTTTCAAGGCGCTAGACTTGCTAGACACTTGCTAGACTTGTACAAAATTAATCCAGACTTGAGTAGGATCCAGTATAGAATAAAACTTGTAGAATAAAACACCTTACAATAACTATTTTGAAGACTTAATAGCTTAATCCAACTACACAAAGCAAAGTGCTTTTTCTATCAAGCGTTCCCCCACTCTGAATAGGTCAGGTTGAACTTCTTCTTTTTTGCATGCCATTCGATTCTATCATATTAATTTTTTTTTGTAAGTGTTCGAATTGCTTTTTCCATTGAAGAGTTTTTGCCGGCAAGAGCAAGAATTTCCTTTTTTGTCGCCTTTCTCCAATTCCGATTCGGTTTTTCCCTTTTCTATTTCAAGGGACAACCCCTTCATCGTCGATCTACACAAGGAGGTTGTCAGCAAAATGCCAACAAAATGCCAGCTTCATCTTCGTTTCACATTTCGATTTTTTTCTTTCGACTTTTTTCAAACGATTCATTTACAATGCATTTCACTTGAGTTGTTGTTTGGTTGTACTTTGGATAGATGTTCTTGAATATTTGTGGTCCATAGACCATGTTCATAGGTCTTGAATATTTATGGTCTATGATCTTGAATATTTATCAATCTCTTTATGAATGCTAATATCCTTCATAACAAGTTTAAATAGCAATTTTAAAAACCATAAGTTGACATTTGTAAACTCACAAACTCACTCACATTAAGATATTAGCATGTCTTAATACAGTATCCTGGCACAGATTAGACTGTGTTTCATTCAAATACTACAATCAAAGCTGAAGGCACTTGCGATTAAGTCTTAAATATATATTTATTGGAGTTGATCCCTAGATCCGGATTTAGCTTCAATAAATATATATTTAAGACATGAGTATACTGTAAAATATACTGTAGAAATGAGACTGAGATCATGTAGTATAAGTTGAAAGTTTAAACCATTTCACTTGAAAGTTTAAACCCGTTGAAAGTTTAAACCATTAAACCCGGCTGAAAGTTTAAACCATTTCACTTACAATAATGTCAATAGTTTAGTGGATAAGCTACCTTTAAAAAGTGGAATCCTATAGTATGCGGGCAAAAAAAAGTTGAGTGTGACTCGAGTTGAAAGCTTTCAAAGATTAGGACATTGATCTCCTGGAGTCAGAAAAGAGACAAAGGGGGTTGAAGGGGAAAAGAATTCGAATTGAAAAAAGAAAACTAGTATTCTGTTGGTATTCTCTTTTTGATTTAGTTCTTTTTTCTCTTTTCTTTTCTTCTTCAAGAATAAACCTTTGAAACTCGTTGGCAGAGTTTTGAAGGGGGAAAGGAGAGAAAAAAATGAGAGAAAACAACCACCTAGCATAACTTTTTGCTCTTGATCAGTTTTGTTGATTTTGTTTGATTTCTTTGATTGAATATTTGAATACTAAAGTTGTAGAAGTTGTTTTATGAGATTAACGATTAACGATTAACGAGTTAAGAGTGATGGTAAAGTCCCAGTCTCATGTCACACAACAGCGTTGAATCAAAATCTTTTACCAATCCATTGTGTTTTCAATTTTCAAAGCTTTCAAAGCTCTTCCTGTAATCCCTTGTAATATTCAACTCATTTTTTCTGAACTATCAAATATTTCGTTAATCTACACACTCAACTTTATGGTTTATTTTTTTCAGAAAAATGTTCCTCCGATTGACAGCCGCCGTTGCCCTCATTTCATTGGTGTTCGCTCAGGACAATTGCTTCATCAATGACTCCGGTGAGAAATAGAAAAAGAAACAAAAGTAACAAACAAAAAATAACAATAGTTGTATTATTACAGGCTTCACATAAAATTATTACAGGCTTCACATGCTGCGACAAGGGCCTCGAGAGTGCCATGTTGGGCTCTATGGGAGGTCAGCTATTTTGAGAATCTTTGACTTTTGACTTTGAAACTCGCAGAAGGGATCACAAAAATCTGAAGATTAAGATCAATTATTTGACATTTGACAATCATTTCATTTATCACTTCAAACCATTTTAGGCGGCGATCTTTTGGGCGCGGCCGACAGCATTCAGTCAGCTGCTGAAGGCGGTTTGGGAGGAAAATTCGAGACAGTCGTCGCTTTGGACGATTTCGCATACAAATCACATTTCAAGGTAACGAAAAGGATGGAATGGAAAGTTATTAAGAGGGGGTTTTCGTTGGAAATCGAAGCCGAATCGCGTTGTGATATTCTTACTGTAATTGCACTTGCCCACTTTGGAGCTGAATCTAGAAACTATTGAATCTCCAGTAAGATACTGTGATGACACAGACGAAGACACAGATGAATTTTCTTTTTTTTTCTGATTGAATCAATTTCTGAAAGCAGATTGCCAGTGCCAGTAAAAATTGCAGAATTGAAATTTACAATCTTTTTTATTGATACCTTTACCCATACTGGAGAGTCGAATACCGAATTTCTGTTAAGAAAATGGGTTCTTCAACTTTGAACGCCGAAAAAATTTTTTATAAAAAGGGCTAATTAAAAACAAACTAATTGGCTAAAAACTAGATTAAATTTGTCGTAAAATCTCTATTGGGAGCAATTCATTCGAGAGTCGTTTAAATGAACAAAATCTTGCTTCTTGAGGTGAAGTCGAAAATATGGTCAATTTTAATGCCTTAATCAAGTAACTTTTCGATTGGTAGCTTTATTGTATATTATAAAAATAGAGTTTAACATAAAATTTCTTGTTAATTTCTAACTTAATTACTAAAAAAAAGTTGACCTGGATAATTAAAAATAAAAATTTCGCTTCGCAAGTCTCTAGCTCTATAATGGATAACAGTAAGTTACAAATTTCAAATTTTCAAGGAACTTAGCCATTGAATGAAACCATTTTCAAGTTAAATAAACAAATTTCAGGAGGGGAAAACGTGCAAGGTCGAGAAGAACGGACAGTACGCTCTCGCTTGGCAACCATAGAGAAATGAAACGAAAAGAAAAGAAAAATTTTTCCATTTTCACTGATCGATTCCTTGTCTTTCATTTACACAAGTAGTTGTTTAGGAGATTCTTTTTATCGTAGGCCATATACATCACTTTTCTTTCGCGAAATTCACTTACCCTATGTGTGAATACGGTGTTTGTACATTTTTGAAATATTCAAATTTAAGTTCACGGAAGCTAGTTTTGTATTTATTTTTCGAAAATAAATTCCCGGAAAAGCATTTGTTTTTTTTGGAGCTATCTGTATAAAGTTTGAGAAAATAAACGATTTGTGAAGCTACAACAAGGCATTTTTCGATTACTGTAGCAGTTTATTAGCACAAAAACGTTTTCTCACAAGTAAAACTTTCGACTTTTACAATTTTATGGAGTTTTGTAAGATAATCCGCGCGCTGAATCTACTGGCAACACTTTTAACCTTGTCCGCAAATTTGTAGGCCAATTTTGGGAACATTTTTGGTCTTTAGATCTCACGGCGTGTAACATAACTAGCTAACTAGAAAAAAACTATAAAAAATGGTGCTTAAAATAGTAGAAACACAAAATAAAACAAGAACAAGGAGATTTTCAAACAAAGCAGGGAAAAATTTGCACTGATGTCGAAAATGTCAAAAAGCGCGCTCTATTCGGTGGCAAATCGACAGTATCCATCGTGCAGAGTATTTTCGGGGAAAAATCATTTTCCCCTTTTCCAAACTTTTCATTTTATTTTTCTCGTGTGTAGGAAAGTTTTATATTGCTTCTTTTTAGCTTTGCGGTCTGAATTAGTTACTTTTGAAAATTTTCTACTACCTGAAGTCTATTTTTTTTTACGAAAAACCCTTTGCGCTATATTTTGAAAGGAACAAATTGCTCCTTCAAAGCCTTTATTATGGCAATAGGTTCATTTGCAGCTGTTTTGCAGCAGCGGTACCTTTAGTTTGCACTAGCCAAGTAAAATACGATTGCTAACTTCAAATTAAACAGACCCCACCTTTCGAGACTAAAAGTCAAATGATAAAATTTTTGTTTATCACACCTTTTCTTGATACTGTTTATTTGGTTGACTAACTTTTTTATTTCAGGTAGTTTACTGGGACGATGCCGCGTCAAATCTTCGAAATCAAGGACTTCCTCCTCAAGGCGAGAAGCAAGGATGCCAAATCGGTCAAAATCAAGAAGAATGCTGACAATGTCAAATTCAAAGTGCGATGCAGCCGATTCCTCTACACTTTGGTGATCAAGGTGAGATTATTTTTAAACGTAAAGCCCTTTCAAAAGTTTTATAACTAGGTTTGGGTCGGTTTGTCAAGTAAAACCTTTAATAACTTGTAGCTTTTGTGAACCACAATTGTTTTGAATTGTAGGTAACTAAACTTGCATCGGTTTATCAAGTAAAGTATTTCATGATTTTGGGTCTTTGTGGACATGATTGTTTTTAATGTCTATAACCAGATTTGGATCGGTTATCAGACAAAGCCTTCAGTAGTTTGGGGCTTTGTGAGACACATCATTTCGATACTAGATTGTTTAAAGCTGCTAATATGGCGTCAAAATGTAGATACCTGTTTAGGCTCTGTTAAACAAGACATAATTATTGTTAGTTTTTACAACTGTACTAATTTTTTATTTTAGGACAAACTGAAGGCCGAAAAGCTGAAGCAAAGTCTTCCACCAGGCATCCAAGTGAAAGAGTTGAAGTAAACGTTGTTTTGTTATTTTTGTGAAGTAAATTTATTAACGACACCAATGGCATTTTAAAATGATCCATCCAGCGGATTGTTTTGGACTACAGTCTAACCAAGAACATAAACTGAATCATAGATATGCGGACATCAAAGTTTGGTACTAATAAACTTCGGCGGGGAAGGGGGGCACTTTGACTATCTTGTTCTCAGATTCTATTGTTGACTGTTTTACAAAAGTGGTTTTACTTTTTCTCGGGTAATCAAACATACTGAATCTATCGCTAACATTTTTAGGATGTTTTTAACAATTTTTGTTGAGCTGCTGGAGTTTAACCTCTGCAGTGTTACTAAGCTTTAAATGAAGAGAGGGGCAAAATACAAAGTGAAAACTTATTCAAAACACTAAAAATATCGCCAATCGATTAAGCTTATTTGATTACCCCAGAAAATGCAAAGCCAGACTTTTAAAACACGCGGAAAGTGGGGCCTGACCAAGTCGGGCTGAAGTGCCCCCCCGCCCGAGGTTTATTAGTATCTCTTGTTATGCGAATACGGTTAAACGTGTCTAGAAATGACACGAGTTTTAGTCAGACAAATTGACCGGCAATCTAGTGATTTAAAGAATAGCAGCTCTTACTTGGGGTTAGCTTACCGAAGTATTGTTTGTTTTTGTCTCTTGTTTTTAAGCTTCACATTTCGTTTGCTACTAAAAGCCTATGTGTTGACCTAAAAAATAACCTAAAAGTTGTTGACGCTACCCTGTAAACGTTGTTACAAGTTTCTAACAGATCTCTTCTAGTAGGATAGGCACATATTGCACACAATTTATTGGTTTTCAAAAAAATGGCGCTTTATGTGTCATTTGAAGTGGGCGACGCTGAGATGAGAAGTGATCTTCTTCGATACTTCTTAGGATGTGGTGGCTTCTTCTCGTTTTCCTCTTCTTCGTCGTCCTGCTCTTCTTCCTCTTCCTCTTCACGCTGAAACAAAATAAAATAGCAAAGAGGTGAAAACGATTTTAAAATAGTGTTAGATATTAAAAGTAAAAGAGTTAAAAGAAACCTTTTTTGTAGACGAGATTAACAACGGGTCCCTCTTCCTCTGGCTGTCCACCGGCTCCTGGTAGTCCATCTGGAGGAAGAGCGCCGACGGGAGGTCCTGATGGTCTCTTCTGCCCCCTAAGGATCTTGGCGAGTTGGGCCTTGTCGAGGACGAGCTCCGGTTGAGTGGGCATCTCGGGTCCTTCTCGTTGAAGCCGGCGGACTTGATCTTGATTCCCTTCTTGTAGACACCCTGAGTCGAAAGGGACTAAATAAAAAAAATTAGTGTGGACAAGAAAGACAAAATAATAAGCTATCCAAGTAAAAAAAACGTACCTGTTTGGTGCCCGGGTTTTTCCAGATAATCTTTGGGTCATTGTTGGTCGTTCCCTCAGGTGGCACAGAGTATACGACCTAAAGAAAAAGAATATGAAACTGGTGCAAGTAACAAAAAAATCATATTTACCGAGAAGTGATCGCGCTTCGATGGTCTCGAATGTCCGCCTTTGGGGAATCCCTTGAAGACGAGTTTCACTGATTTTTCTCGCCGGACCTCAACAAAGCGAACACCGGCTTCATCTTGTAGTGCTTGGGACGATTTGACTTGAGTTTTGTGATGATTGTCTAAAAGAAAAAGGATGTAGATGAAACATGAACATGTATCAGCGAAATCACTCACCAAGCCACTTTCATTCTTGATAACGAGGTCAACCATTTGTTTCTCATGATTCGGGGTGAAGGTGCACTAAAAGAAGAAGTTTAAAAATTAAAATAAGGTTGACTTAACTACCGTAATACTTGTAACAGAGTTTACAACGATTATAACCGTCTATGGTATGTCAAAAAAAGATAAGGTCTACGGCTCGCGTTTAAAATCTAACTCAAGATTAAATGATAAAGATAAACGTTTAAAATAATAAATCAAAGATTAGTAATCCAAAAAATAAAGTAAAAATAAGTAAAGTGGGAAAAAAACTTGGGTCGAATTTGGGTCGAATTGGGTCGAATTTGACTTTGGTAGCAAGCTCGGAGATGTTCGGGAATGCCATTCGAGCAAGCCGTAGTAAAATAGAGTGTCATGAATTTCTCTCCCACGAGCCATTTCTTTTAGATTTGGGATAAATGCAAATTTTGAGTTCTCAGACAGTTTCACGACGAATATTCAATCTTTGCTATCACATCTCTTACCTAACACATTCAGAGGCTCTACATTTCGAATGCCCCCCTCCCCAAAGTGTCTCCCTGTTTGCCCTCCGGGGGCAACTATCTCCCTAATCATTTTCGATATTTTTTGATATTTTTAAAATTCCAACAGTAACTTAAATATGGTAGACTTTTCTAATGGAGACTTTTTTAATGGAGACCTTTCCAATGGAGCAATAGATGAATTGGTTATTCCTAAATAGTTTTCAGAATGAAGTGTTTAAAGACTTATCGGCCAACCTAATAGCTTCATTTATTCATTGATTCATTGATTCATTCATTCACTCATTCATTCATTCATTCCTTCACTCACACCTAGCTCTTGCTTTTGGTATTGGGCTTTGATATCCCAAAATTGCTGAATATCCAATTTTTTTTGGAAATCCACTTGTGACTTTTTCACTTTCAGCGGAATGACTGATGTTTCCGAATTTATGTGTGCTCCTTTGGAGAAATGCAAATCCCAGTCGTCACCACATTAAGTTGTCAATGTTTGGGGAAACTCATTTGCTCTTATGGATGAAGAGGCAAAAGAGGAGTGGAGGGATTGACGGGGTGGAGTAAACGCACTGAACTCCCCACCCATCCCCTTCCTCACCCTCCACCCTCCCCCCCTCAATCCCTCCACACTCAAACCGAGAGATGTATCGCCATATGTTACAGCAGAAAGAAAGACATAGAGAAATTGCAGGGGGAAAGTACATGGTCCGAGTGCTTGATCAGCCATTTATTTGCCCTTTTGATTCAATTTCCGGCATTCATTTCAATGTCGTTTTTCCTTTGAAACTTTGAAATCCCAACGATTACTACAAGTTTTTCTTTGCTGTCGTGGATCAATCATCTTGAAGAAAATCGGGCACAGCTGTTTGGCGGAGCCGATTTCGAATTATCGCTTCACACCCGCCAAAGCCGAGTTGGCCTTTTTACCGATCTGAGAGAGGCAAAATTTGGCAAATTATGGCCACCGGATGGATCGAAAGATGAGATTTATTTGTCTACTGCTGAGCTTATTTATATTTATTCTTCACATTCCATGGGGTGAGTTTTAAAAGAAGTTTTTTGTCGGATTATACTGTTTGAAATCGTTTACTTCTTGTCTTACTATTACACAAAAATCTTGCTATTTATAACTGTAATAATAACATAAGCTAATAACATAAGCTAGTAACATAAGCTAATAACATAAGTTAATAACATAAGCTAATAGCATAAGCCAATAACATGAGCCAATAACATAAGCTAATAACAGAAGCTAATAACAAAAGCTAATAACATAAGCTAATAGCATAAGCTAATAACATAAGCTCAGAAATTTCTTTAGGCGATTGTTCGGAGGCTGAGGATCGTTTAATGATGGACATTTTTCGGGGTTACAACTATTTGATACAAGTTTGTAGTGTCAAGTTTTCTTGATAAACCATTTGACAAATTTTTTTCAGCCTGTCAGAAATCTTTCCGAGTTGCCGATCGTTGTCAAAGTGGCATTGCAATTGGTTTTATTGATCAATGTCGTAAGTTGTCAAAAAGCGAAACAATGAAAACTCAAAAGTTTCAGGACGAAAAAGAGCAAGTGATGCACACAAATGTTTGGGTGACTTTGGTGAGAGATTTGTGTAGATAGTTTAGAGAATTTTCCCCCAAATGTAGAGATGGTACGATTTTCAAATGCGCTGGAATCCGGTCGAATATGGAGAGATAAGGAATATTCGAGTGTCACCCGATAAAGTGTGGTTGCCCGATATTGTGCTGTTCAATAAGTGAGTCAAAAGATGGGATACAGTTTTAGGTAGCTAACTAGTTTAGGTAGCTAACTATGTAGCTAACTGGTTTTCGGAGTGGAAAAAGTTCAAGAGACATTTTGATTAGTCAAATTTTTTTATGTCATTGATGCAATGCTCAATTCTTTTCTCTTTCCAGCGCCGATGGGACTTTTGAGGTTTCATTTGAATGTAATGTCGTTATTGAACATGATGGATCGATGCTATGGGTGCCGCCAGCAATCTACAAGAGCTCGTGTATCATTGGTGAGGATATACGGCTAACTTTCTAACGACAGACATTTCTTCTTGATAAGCTAAGTTCATTAGCTCAATAGTTCATTAGTGACTGACATAGTTAGTTGAATTAGCCAACAGTTTAAGGAAAAGTGATAGATTGTAGCTGCAGAATAAACTTCTCAACATTCAAAACAAAATTCTGAATTTGCTTTCTGCTAAGCTAAATCTCAGTTCAGACGTCGAATATTTCCCCTTTGACGAGCAAACATGCTACATGATATTCGGCTCGTGGACGGTTTGTTTAAAAAAAAATTATGAAAGGAAGATTTATGAATGGAAGATTTAGTACAACGAGAAAGAGATCATTTTGGAGTTCAGCACCGCCGAATATGTTGACTTATCAGGTATTCAAAAGCTGTAAAAAAGAAACGAAATTTCTCTCTAGAATACTCAATCTCATCAATCTGGGACGTAATCGACGCACCGGCTTCTCTCGTCAACAAAAGAAGTCGGATCGAGTTTCAAGTGAAGATTAGGTGAGTTTGAGATGGGAAAACATTCGTTTACAATAGACTTGTTCAATAAAATGTTCAATTTTGTAGAATTTAATTTAATTTAATTTACCGTATTCTCTCTAATACTAGTGCGCACTACTATTTTTTCAACCCCCTCCTGGACAGCAATACTATTAGAGAGTGCACTACTATTAGAGAGAATACGGTAATTTAATTTCCTCAATCCCATCCACTTCTGCAAAAGCAAAGCATTAAAGAAATTCCAGACGGAAAACCCTTTTCTACACGGTCGTCTTGATCATTCCAACCATTTTGATGGCTTTCCCTCTCAATAGCCGTTTTCTTTTTGCCGACGGATTCAAGTTCGAAAACGATTTCAAACATTGGCTAATTTTTTTAAAGCTGAAAAGATGACTCTAGCGATTTCCGTATTGCTATCAATTGTCGTATTCTTGTTGCTTGTCACAAAAATCCTTCCTCCAACCTCGAGCACCATTCCACTAATGGCCAAGTCTGTTTTTGAGTATTTAGATGATCTTTTTCGAATTTAGATGATCATTTTCGAATTTAGATACCTCCTATTGACATTTGTTCTTAATGTAATCACTATTTTGACAACAGTTATCGTCGTGAATATTTATTTCCGAAGACCTGATACAAATGAGATGTCACCGTGGATAAGGAAATTGTTTTTAGATGTGAAATGCGGGGAAAGTTTTCTTGAAATAAAAATCTTTTAGATACTCCCAATTTTTATGTGCATGAAGCGGCCAAAACGAGTGAAAAAGAGAAAAAAAGCGGAAAAGGTTAGAGAAACCTATAGAGATCAAGATTTCAAAGAAGAAAATTCCAGAGAGCCAGCGGGATCATCACCGATTTGCCGGGTTTAGGCAAATTCTCGATGAACACTGCCGTCCACCATCCGCATTGTCAGAGTGCGAATGGAATGCATAAGTGAGTAGGAATTGGATTTTGTCGACAGCTCTTGCCACAGCGAAAGGTCGACAGCTTTCGCCTGATTATAACAATAGTTTTTTGGCCAATGACACTTTTTGTATCGTTTTTCTGAAGCCCTTAGATAGAAAGTAGGGTAGATTGAATGTAAACTGGGAGAAGCTTACGGTAGCTTTAAAGTTAGAAAGCTTAGTTAGAAAGCTTTAAAGTTACTTAGAAAACTTTAGTAAACGATTTTCCTGATCACTTTCCAGAAATCACCTTTGTCCTCCACCGGAGTCGGCGCAAATTCAACGCGATCCACAAACGTCGGCTTTCTATCCACTCACAGCCGATGCTTTACGGTAATGATGATAGATTTAGGAATGTTTTATGTGCAAGCTTTGGTCACTTAACAATCAGTGACAATGGACAATCAGTGACAATGGATGCAAAGTCAGAAATCTCAATGTATTCAGGGCAATCGACGCAATCGAGTACATCACTGATCATCTCCGGAAGAAAGAAGAGTTTAAAATGGTAAAATGAGGAATCAATTCATAAGTGAAATAAAAAAAAGAAAATTCAGTTACGAGACGATTGGAAATATGTGGCGATGATTATCGATCGATTGCTTTTGTACATATTTTTCGGGATTACTTTGGGTGGAACGTGTGGGATTCTCTTGGCCGCACCAAATGTCTTTGAGGGTTAGGAGTTTTTTTGGAAACATTAAATACCGTATTTTCTCTAATAGTAGTGCACCCTGAGCATCGCGTAAATTGCTTGAAATCTCGAGAACCGCTTACCAGAACCTATCGATGTGGGGTCGGAAAATGTAGATGACGATGAGATCTAGCGGGGGATTAGAGTGTTGAGCTTCTGGGAAAACTTTGGAAGCCGTAAATAGTCACCAACTCGGCAGGGTGCACAATTAGGGAATGCACCTTAAGGTTTGCCTAAATTCCTCGAAATCTCGAGAACCGCTTACCAGAACCTATCGATGTGGGGTCGGAAAATGTAGCTGACGATGAGATCTAGCGGGGGATTAGAGTGTTGAGCTTCTGGGAAAACTTTGGAAACCGTAAAATCGTCACCAACTCGGCTCGCCGGGGTGCACTACTATTAGAGAAAATACGGTAAACCAAATTCAATAGTTAATAACTTTCTTAAGAGATTGCTAGCAAATTATCGTATTAAATAATCGAAAATTATCGTTTAGTGGTGAACCAAGAAGAGATTCTCGATAAAATGCGCAACATTTACTACAGTCCAAAAGAATAATGAAAAATGGCTTTAAAGTGATAAATATTTTTAAAAAAAATGAAACAATTAAATCAATATTTTGATAAAAGAAAGAAATTTTCACGATTTTTAAAATTTAGCTGAATCTTACCTCAGCAAATCTCAAATAAAGAATCGCATCTTTCACGAGCGAGCTTTAAATAATGCCCGTGCAAAGAGATCATTAGTATTTGTGGGTGGAATGGAAAGCAAGCAGATTGTTGTGTTTGTCTGGCACCATTCGAGATTTGTGTCCCCTTTTTTCCCCTTTTCCGTGCCAGCCTGCACGGGGCGTTCAAAAAGCGCTCTCCGGCTTTTCCTCTTTTCTCTTCCATTTTTCTCTGTCATCTTTTTGCAAGATACCAATTTGGATGATTCCTTTTCTCTCTCTCTTTTTTTGGAAAATTGGTATCCGATCTCCTGGGGCAACACCCCAATCCACAATTGCCAGCTTCATCCACACAAAACCATTTAATAAGCTTTAAACGTTTCTTTATATGCTTATGCTTTTTTAAAAGTTCAATCATTCAAACTATCGATTGCTTTCATTTTTTGTTCAATCTTTAAAGTTTAAAGATCGTTTAAAGATCGTTTAAAATTCTTTTTTTCCTATTTTCCTATTTTCCTATATTTTTCTATATTTTCCTTTCTAATAGGGTTGAGTTTTGAGTTCTAAATTTCAAATTCAACCTCTAATTCAAATCTAACTCATCGTTAGGTTTAAATTTCTACAACTGAATCCGGAAATGGTTTCTATAGCTAATATGGAAAGTGAATGATTGAGTTGATTAAATAATTGATGAATAAAATTGAAATCAAGCTATTGTAAAGTGGATCGATGCTATGGGTGCCGCCAGCAATCTACAAGAGCTCGTGTATCATTGGTGAGATCGAGGATATACGGCTAACTTTATAACGGGGTTGAGGGTTGAGTTTTAAGGTTTAAATTTCAAATTCAACCTCTAATTCAAAGCTAACACATCAGTAGGTTTAAATTTCTACAACTGAATCCGGAAACTGTTTCTATAGCTAATATGGAAAGTGAATGATTGAGTTGATTGAATAATTTTTTTATTTATTTATTTTTTTTTTTAAATACCGACTGGGGCTACCAGTGGTGAATTTATCGCATACACGAAATATATCAATCACAATACAACGACACACACAATACTAGGCTATATCTTAACTTAACCCACGTCATGACAGACGGCTCCCTAACCCTAAGCTCAATGGGGAACTAAATAGCTTTTTTGGTGGTGAAGGGAAGATGACGATGAAGGAGAATTGATGAATAAAATTGAAATCAAGCTATTTTAAAGTAGATTTAGTATATAAAAAGAGTCAAAAATCTTTTAGTTTTTTTTTATTCTAGGCTAAAATTCTTTTTAGGCTCAGTTTCAAATCAAAGCAGAAACGATTGTTGGGAGGAAAAAGGGTAGCTGTTTTGCATGTGAAACATTGGTGCCAGGTTGCACCCTTGGAAAGCAAGGAAATCGAGGGGGAAAAGAAAGGAAAAGATTGCTGGGTGCAGATTTTTGTAATTACAAAAGAAGTGATGGTGGGAAAGGGTTTAGAAATTCGAATAACTTAAAAAGTAGAAATTTCTCGAAAAATATCTTTTCAGAGTTATTTGGGTTCAACTTTTTTGTATAATCAATGCTCCTATCTCGTTTGAAATCTTTTTGAACCTATCTGTAAGCTATAGCTAAATAAATTCTTTATTTTATTAGTGTTTATTAGTTTTTTGAAGTCTAATAATGTTTTCTAATAGTCTAATAATAATGTCTAATAATTTAAGTCATTCTAATAATCGTTTATTATGTGAGAAGGCGTTTCTGATCTCTTCACATAAAATTTCATTTATTCTTTTCATTTATTCTTTTCTATTCTAAATTGTCATTTAAAATTCAAAGGTATTTCAGAAAAAGCAAGCTTTTAAAAAAATTCAAATCTGGTCCAGGTGTGAATCATTTTGGAAAAAGAAGAGAGAAAAAGAGACATAAAAGAAAAGAAAGCCGAAAAAGGGACGGGCGGAATTTTTTCTATTACTATCTATGTACTAGTTATCTTTCTTTTCTTTCTTTCTTTTCTTTCTTTCTATTCTTTAGCAGTAAAGTGATCACAAGTTTTGAGATTACTGCTTAAAGAAAAGGATTGGAGAGAAATTTGGAATTGAAAAAGGGCCGTGTGGGTGGGCAAAAGCTTATCATTTTGTCTATTCCAAAAATATAGTCGAGATGAAAGTTTTGGCGTCATTTGAGGAATAAAATTCATAAATGTTTTTGGGTGAAAATTTGAATTCCCTATTCATTCAAATTTTGCAAGTGCGACACAAATAAGGTTCAAGATAAGTAAGTGATTTGAGGTTGAATGTTTACCATGCATAGATTTTCCATTTTTGTTTTCAAATTGCTTTCTTAATCTGGCTAAAGGTTTACTATTGGGTGATTTGAAACAAGTTTGATTAAATTATTCAAACGACATTGCCATTAGCGGGTCGTTGAGAAAGGTAGTGAATGGGTTCTTGTCAAAGCTTTCCTTTATCAAAGCCTTCACAGCCAGCCTTCACAGTCAAATTCTTCACAACCAGCCTTCACAGTCAAAGTCTTCACAGCCAGCCTTAACAGTCAAAGCCTTCACAGCCAGCCTTAACAGTCAAAGCCTTCACAGCCAGCCTTAACAGTCAAAGCCTCCACAGCCAGCCTTCACAGTCAAAGCCTCCACAGCCAGCCTTCACAGTCAAAGCCTCCACAGCCAGCCTTCACAGTCAAAGTCTTCACAGCCAGCCTTAACAGTCAAAGCCTTCACAGCCAGCCTTAACAGTCAAAGCCTTCACAGCCAGCCTTAACAGTCAAAGCCCAAAACCAATGGCTCAAAATCCAAGCACCTTCTACCAGCGATTTGTGCCAAATGAAGAGCGATTGTGGGCCCGCACCAAGAACATTTCCCCAGTCACTTTATACAATGATTTTTCTTTCGCTTTGTAGAAGATATTCATCCATAAATTTGTACCCAGGGTTTTTGGCCAATTGATCATTCGATTTGAGGTATTCCTTTTGTTGACTACTCAGTTCAAATCTTTCCCTTATTCATCTCAAAATTCTCATTAGAATCATTTTCAATTCAAAATTTCTTTCCCAGGTGTCCTACTCTTTCTTTTGACTGAAAGAAGCTTCCGTTTTGTGTTCTTTCTTTGCCAGTCGGCTCATAAACAGCCTGAAACAGTCGGCTCATAAACAGCCTGAAACAGTCGGCTCATAAACAGCCTGAAACAGTCGGCTCATAAAATTAAAGAAAAAAAAATTGTTCAGACTGACCAAAAAGAAAGAAAAAAACAAATTGACCAGAAGCTGACCCAAAAAAATGGGCAAAATAGGGATGTATTGCCTTTAGAACTGATTAGATAACCCTTTCCTTTTTTTTTCGTTTAGTCTTTTTTTTCGGGGGTTCAAAAAAGAAAGTCAAAAAGAAAGTCCTCTTTCCACTCTTCTTTTCATCTTTTGGAGGGAAAATTTGAATTTTTTTACTATCTTTTAAGCGCTTTTTTTGATATGTTTGCTATCTGTTTAGCTTTCAAATCAGTCCCGATTTGAATCAAAAAAAGATTTGCATTTGTTTCTGGGTTTCTTGATTCTTCTTGAAATCCAATTCTTCAATTCTTCAATTCTTCGATTTACTTCATTTCATTGAATATTTTTATCTGTTATTTATCAGTTTATATTTAGAGATAATCCTAGAATCAAATACCCAGACCAGAACGAGGCCAAATCAGGCTAGAGCTGAGACTCATGAACCCTAGCCCTGGCCCTGGCTTAACCTAGATGGCACATAATAATGTTATGTTTATATAACTCCTGGCTTGACTCTGACCCTGACAATTTGTGTTCAAATTTTCAAACTTCTTCCATTTCTAACTTTTCCCCAATCCCTCCCCTTTCCCATCTCCAAAAAAGATGGAAGAGTTATTCATTGTGCTTTTTTTTTGTTTCGGGAAAGGTCCGCGCATATTTGATGACCGAAAAGGAATGAAAAGAAAAGAAAAAAAAAACATTAGAATCATCGCTATTCAGGGAAACATTATTATGTGCCATTTATTGCCAGACGGGGGGATTATTGGGGTTTTGAAGAGGAATTTCGAAGGACGGTTTTGAATGGAGTTCGCGGTTGGAAGGGGACCTTGAAATGAAATTTGAAGGGGGAAGTAGAAGAGTCATAAACTGATCAGTCAATAATATAGAAAATACAGGAAATATTGTGATCAATCATTTTGCATTGTACAATAAAATCTATCTTAAGTTTTGTCTACCATTTAAAGATTAGGCTTATCGATAAGTTCGTCGAATTTGTGGCGAATAGCCACTAAAAAGCTACCTAACTCTGGCAGTCTAAAAATTGGAGAAATATTGAGGAAATTGGTGCGCCTTCATTCTATTTCGAGCCCCAAATCATTTATTGTTTTGTAGCTTGCTAGCTGAGTATCTTGGGTTAAAGCCTATATAAGGCAACTGTTGTTCATTTGGTTCGGTTATCTTTCATTTTCTTTCTGCTTTCCTCTCATTGTGTGAAAGTTGTGTCCTAATTAGGACGAAATTGTTTCTGTTTTTTGTATCGTCGCTTTTAATTGAATTGTCGATCTTGTGTGAAAATTGCTCAAGTGAGAGCCCAAAGATTCCGAGTCAGTCAGCTATTGAATAAAGTGTTTTTAGTTCAAGTGAGATCAGATATCTCGAAATAAGAAATAACGTGTCTTGAGTGAAGAGTACCAAGCACGCGAACAATATTTCTTTACAGAATTTTTTGATCAACTTTTAAAGTGTAATTTCGGGAAAGGAAGCCTTAAGTTTTGGTAAAAAAACCTTCAACTTTTATTAAAAGTTAGAATAAAATGACAGAATGATGGGATTTTTGAGAAATTACACTTTAAAAGTTGATAAAAAAATTCTACAAACATATCGGTTAGCGTAATGAGTAAAATTAACAGACCTTTGATCCTA